TTGAATCAATTTTATGAGTTTATAGTTGGATTACAGTTTGAGACAGACAAAATTAGCTAGGGTTAAAGATGTTTCTCATCGTCTTTTTCTTCATCTTCTTCATATCATCCTCGTCTTGTTAATCGTCATTGGTATTACACTATCTTTGTTGAATGCTGCTGAGTCCAGTGGGTAAGAGATGAAAATAAAGTGCAAGTGAGAGGATCCAAGGAAAAGAGTGAGAGAAATGGAGTGAATTGAGTTAGGGAGTACAGTGAGTAGAAAAAGATAGAGAGGGTATGAATGAACGTGAGTACATGAGTAAGTGAGACGGCAAGAGAAAACGTGAGGAAAAAAGATAGATGGATTCATGAATGAACTTTGTGCAACAAAGATGGAGGTAATGAGTGAAATAAATATAGAAACGACTAGCGAACCAGAACGAGATGACGAGATGTCGTGATTTTAAGATGAAAACGGACTTGTAGAAAATTTAAAAGACTGTCATTGTTATTGATTGATGGCTTATCTCATTATATTATTTTTTGTTGCTTTAATTGCTGCATTTTATAGACAACTTCCAACACCTATTTCGTATTATTCCATTCATTATTGTTGAAATTATTTACGTAATATTTTTTCTTAATTCTTTTTTTTTTTCTATGTTAAAAGAAATTAAATTGTTTTTGTAGAAATCAATTATTGCTCTAAATAATATTTTATCATTTTAAATGCTAGATAAATAGATTTTTTAAGAATTTGTGATTAAAATTAGAATGAAAATAATGTCACGGGTTGTCAATAGATTGCAATAATTTATTCAGAGGTTAAATAATTTAGAGTTCATTAAAATTAGAATAATCGATTTAGTGGAATTGAAATTTTGTAAAAAAAACTTGAAAGTTAACAAACGAAAACAAGTGAGTTGGGAGTAAAAATACATTGAAGATAAATAATCGATTATTTATAGAAATGAGAAAATAGATAAAAGTAATCAAGGGCTTACCTGGCTATGAAATACTACAATGCAGTTTGAAGAAGAAGGCAGTCGACCTTCCTGGGGGCCTTGTTATATGCAGCAAACCTAAAAACATCGACTCTTTTCCTTTTCCGCCCCGTTCAGCAAGACTTTGACTCGGTCGTGCCTCCGACCCCTTATTCTCCGTGTCGCTTTTTATTTATTTTTTTTATCCTTTTTTCCTTCTTTTTTTTTCGTTTTCTTCAGTTTTACTGGATTGGTATGCGTTTGAACTCCAGTAACGAATTTGAGTCATCAACAAAAAATTTTTATTTCAATATTTTTCTTTGACAACTTTTTTATCACGTATATACACATTATTATGATTTTATTTTTAATTGTTGCTTTTTTTTTATTTTTATTTTTTAATCGATAACAAGTGAGTAAAAAAAAAATACATATATAAATGGGAAATTATCAGTTATCGTCTTTTGGCGTAAAACTCGAGAGTCTGTTATCGACGGGTTATCCGCAATCGATTGCGTCAATTATTGAAGATAGTGAATCTCTGATATAACAGCCGGTAGTCAAAATATATCTTGACTAAAAAATATATTTATCCAATTAATAAGCTCGAATATTTATATTTCATGCTTTTCCTTAAATGAAAATAAAACAAATTTGACACTAAAAGCATTTCCGTTAAATGAAAGTTATATATTGGATGAAAAAATTATTGAAAAGTTGTTTAATTATTGTCTTCATTCTCTTTGACAGCTTAATTTTCAATTCAAGATACAATATCAGGCCTGTCATTTAAAAACTTCAACTTTTAAAAATAACCACTTATTGCATCCATTTATTATTTAAAAAGTGTCAATTTAAAATATTAAATTTAAAAGCCTAAATTTAACTGCTTATCACTAAGATTTAAACAGGTTTAAAGTGAATACATTCGTTTAAGAGATTAGTAATCTTGATTGATTCTCGTGATAATTTCTTAATTACTTATAAGAATAGATTAAACTTTTAAAAGTAGTAAGTTATGATTATATATACATAGGTATGTGTACTATATTTGTAGCCTGTACTTTATGTAGCTTGTCACTCGATAACGTACTGAACCCCACGCACAAAAACTGTTAATGCCCTCGCGAGTCAGCATCCGGTATCGAGACGAGTCAAACGGACGCTTTAAAGAAAGAGAGAAACATAAAGAATTAAGAAGAATAGCAAATCTTTTTTTTTGTTGTTAAGGATTTCAGGCACTTATTGCTTTCTCCCAACTCACTCGTTATGTCGACCTTTGTCTCAATAGCCTTAAAGTAAAGTCTGGGATCTTGGTAACATGAAAAATTACCTCTATTTTCAGAATAAATAAAAGATAACAATAGAAAAGAAGACTGGGAAAAAGAAAACTTAAAGTTTCCTGTTTCCAAGTAATTAACATCCATTGATTGAATAGAAAATCAATGGAATTCATTGAATTTAATGTTTCCGTTCTTGATATGAGTTTATGTTAAGAATTCGTTAGTGGTAAGTGGTATTAATGTTGAATGAATTATTAAGAAGAATTGATGAGGTAATTTAAACTTCCCGCGGAAAAATAATGGCAGCGTCATCGAAGCGCGTGATGTTTTCATTCAATCGAAACTTCAATGATAGCGTCGATCCATTCATAAAAAGCCCGAGGCTGAAAGTTACCATCCCCTGACACCGCAAGATGTCGTCTTTGTCACTCACTTCCACCATCTAGTCATTCCCTCTCCCTTTCTCTTTTGCACTCACGTTTCGTTGCTTTGCGTAGGCATCATTTCCCCTCCTGCGGTCTTACGAACGATTAGCATCCAATAAGTTTAGCTGTGCACGTCGATTCAGTCGTTTCTCGACGCTCGATGCGCGCGCATCTACTATCTTAATACCGCTAAATTCGAATGTACTTTTAATTTATTTTTATTAGTTTTTTTTTTTAAATATTCTTAAATCATTTTTTTTTAATCATAAAATTTAATTTTTATAATTAATAAATTATTTAGAAATAATAAAAGAAGAATTTTAGGGTGACTGTAAATCTTAGTGAAATAAAATTATCGGTTTCATGCAGTTCATTCTTTATCAGGATTTAATTAGTGCACAAGTCAATTTGAAGGATTTGTGTGTTAATTATAATATTTATAATGAAGATGGCAATTCAGTAGTGCAAAAACGTGATATATCATTATTATTAGAGTTTTGGGGTGGAACACCGGTAAAAAAACCGGTGCTGGTGATTTGCAGTACTGGATACGAAAGGCACGATTTTTGGGGAAGGACAACGTCCTGCGGGTACAGTTTTTTTTTTTTTATTATTATTATTATTATTTAAAATGTGAATTTTAACAAGCCCTCTATTTTAATTTTCTCGTTCAAAATTCAATTTTACCAGACTCGTCCTTTTCTTTTCTTATAATTGACCATGGCAGGTGTCTGTTCTCCTTCACCAAGCGGTTCATTCTTATAATGAATTCCTTCAGAATTTTTTATTACTTTTTTCCATCTTAGATATTTTTTAATAAAGCAGAAAAAAAACATCACTCTAAAATGTGATTACATGACTAACAATTCAATTTCAATTTTCTAACTTAATTACTTAAAGTGATGAAATGATTATAAAATTTTTTAATAAAATTGAATTAACCTTCAAAAATATGCTGTATAATTTTAATTTTATATGTAAATAAATTTTTTAAAACTTTTTGCGAAATATTATGATAATAAAAATAAATGAGGGACATTTAAAGTTGTAAAAAAAGTGTCAGAATAATTCGTATGATATAAAAACGATTGTTGGACTTATGAAAGTAGGCCTCAGGAGTCGCGACTGTATCGAATGCGTGGGTGATGAGAGTGGGTGCCTCAGGCATCGCGACGCCTACGAGGCGCCCACCGAGGTCTCTTGGAAGAGTTTCGAGACTGCGACAACGAGGATAGACAAACTTATATAGACAATAGAAGCATTTATATATTAATAAAATTGATTTATAATCGGATATTTGAAATCGTTAATTATTTCATACATTTGTGGTTGACATTTGTGATGAAAAATCGAGTAAGATAATACTTTTTTTGCTGAGAGAAATCTGCAGTGCAGTGCAAAAGCAAAGAGAGAAAGCAAATGTATGAGACAAAAAAAGAATAAAATAAAAGGGAAGAAAAGAATAAGAAGGAAGGAGACCCTCGAGGGTCTCCCACATTTACCTGGTGGCTGGCTATACAATGAAAGGGGGATCCTTGGAAACGGTATCGGTACGTGAACGCAGCCATCTGTCTTTCTTGTGAATCCCCGCCTTATCCTTATAACGCTTTCTCTGTCTTAGTTTGTGCGCATCTGCCCGAATTCCCAAGAAGACCCATTCAAGCTTGCAACGGATACTGACTTTACCTGAGTCTCCGACGTCGTTTTCATTCTCTTGGTCATAGGAAGCAACCAAACGCCAGACTAAAAGGACAACTTCTCCTCCTTTCTGCATTCCATTCTATTCTTTTATCTATGCGGATTTCTCTTCCTTCCTTTTTTCCACTGAGTTATTTTATTTTTTCTTCTATTTGCTCCTGCTGTTGCTTCATCATCGTCGTTGTCTTTTTTTCTCAAGAAGAAGGAGAAGAAGAAGCGAAAATTTCCCGTAGCTTTTCTTCTTATAATGTGTAAATAAGAGGAAATATTCATTTCAAATGATTTATTGTCGTCATTTTGAATGTTGTAATAGGGCATAATTGAGCGTAAATTGTGATAAAGTTTAAATGCTACACGCGAGTTTATCTTTATAATGAACAATAATAGAATGTACCATCCGACGGAAATAGATGCGGGCGCCATAATAATAGAATACTCCAGGAATAAGGCAGTCTTGAATTATCTGACTCATTAGAATTTATAAACAGACATTCCACTAGGTATACTAACTGGAAGTGTATTTTTGAGTAACGCATTTCTCTTTTGATAAGATTAATAAAACATATTATTACTAAGAATGATATAATAAAAATTAATTGGCTAAAAGATTATTTAATATTGATATTTCAGGTGGGGATGAAGTGCGTGTTGCGAGGACGGGAAGCGGCCACGGGGACACAACCTCAAATGGAACGTCGACACCAACGAGAGCGGTACCATCCCGTGCAGGTTGGGCAGTACGTTCACCAGCAGGTCCCTCATCATCAGCATTATCATCGTCACTATCATCTTCATCACCATCTTCGTCGTCGTCATCATTGGCAGTGCAAAAGTCAACAGGAGTATGGACTGATCGTACAAATGCATCACCAGCACCATCAGTTCACTCAATTTCCAGTGTACCTCCAGCGTCAAGTGTGTCAGGAACTCATCCATCATCACTTACGACACCAGTGCTCAGTCCTCGTCAAACAAACCAGTCTGGACGTTGGCCTGAGAGACTAGAATTACGAGCTCCAATGTCCAGTTCAAATACAATTGGATCACGGCCTCCATCCTCGGCTTCCAGTGGATCCACTAATAATTTAGCAAGAGTGCATGGTGGTCATGATCATACGCGGCCTTTACCACCTCCAAGATTGCCTGAAACAATATCAACAATTGCACCGTTGACAGCGCCATTAACGCCATTGTCAACATCTAGTAGCTTCAGAACGAGTTCAAGATTACCTCTGATCAGTTCACCAACTGATAGCATTAGAAGTGAAACGTCGAGAACTGTAGGTGAAGTTACGTTGACGGTACCAAGGCCGGATGGCGAAAGAATAGTCAATGAGTATGTGGAAACACCATTTCGACAACCAACAACACCACCAAGTCAAAAATGTTTAAAGAATGAAAGAAGCCATCATCATCATCATCACCACCATCACCATCATCATCAGTCGCAGTTACAAAAAGCTTCAGAAGCACGACCACAATCTCGGAAACATCAAGCACACTTATTGCAGTCATCACCAAGTCAACCTGTTACTAAGCAACCGGTATCTTTTACTAAAGAACCAGCTAATGCTCTTGGATCCGGTTCTCTGAACAGGCCCAATGACACTAGTCTCTCCATCATGTGTGACTTTTGTGGCCGATGTAGATGTGAATCCTGCCGAGAACCTCCGCCTCTTCCTAGTCGATGGCTTTGCCACAATTCTTGCTACTGTTCGGCTGAAACTGCGCTTGATTACGCATCTTGTCTTTGTTGTGTCAAAGCGATATTTTATCACTGCGCTGATACTGGTGGTAATGGAGATTCTGAAGCTGGAGGAAGCTGTGCAGATGAACCATGTTCCTGTTCTGGTTCGAGAAAAATAGCACGTTGGGCTTGTCTAGCACCATTGGCTATGATTTTACCTTGTTTACTATGCTATTGGCCGCTCAAAGGTTGCGTTACCGTTTGTGAAACCTGTTATGCTCGGCATGCAGCTCAAGGCTGTAAGTGCGATCCCAATACCATGGGAAGACATCATATTGGACCGCCCAACTCCTTAGTAGTTTCTAGAGACTCTCGAGATCCTGAAAAAAGACTACTAGATCCTGTAACACCTGAATTATGAACGAAACCAGAAAATAATATGAATCTAGTGTGTATTGAAATGTAAAGTAAACAAAACATGCTTTTGAAAAAGTACCAAAGTGCGAGTTCCGAATACAAGTGCCGGGGTAAAAGTGTGTATTTGGACAAATGTTTAAGAAATATACGATGATGGGTCGATAATATAAATGTGGTAGAAAAGAAGAAGTGTATCGCAATTAGTACAAGAGTTGCATTTAAGATGATTGTTATTTTAATGAAAGATACGCTATTAAAGTTGCATAAGAAAATGGCTAAAAATAATGAAAAAAGACCTGGAGTTTTATTGTATTTATTATTCATTTGTTAAATACGAATGATAAGAGACATAGTAATGTGCGAAATACTGAATCGTGTCATTATATTGAATATTATTATTATTATTATAAAAAAAAAAAATAAATTAAATTAAATAAATAAAATAATAATAACAATAATAATAATAACGATAATGATAATAATATTAATAAATAATCCTCGGACGTTATTTTAAACAAATTTACAATGACATTAGAAACTATGTAGACATAAACATGCAGACAATTAACAGATGTATCCCCGATATAAATTACATTATCACTCAAGTGAACAACACAACAAATAATAATGATTATTATTATTATTATTATAATGACTAATTATATTACTGTATATTACATTTGTATAAAGAGTAAAAACTTTTTCTACAGTTTATTTATTTATAAAGAGACTCGTCACGATGTTTTTTTTTGTTGGAATTAGAGAAATGAAAATGTTATGAAAAAAATTTCAAATATTATTTCTAATATTTCCTTTTTATATATCAAATATATATACATTATATATTTATATATATATATATAATATATAGATACTGATGTGAATGTAACATGTGTATATATTTATGTATAAAAATGGAGCTAAATCATTCTAATTTCAAATTATTAGACGACGAAAAGATAAAATAGGGGAACAGGAGTGATAGATAGGAAGTCGTACAAACAACAACAAATTTAAAAAAAGGAGAATATGATGATAATGTGGTTAAGAGTAAAGATAATGATTAGGATGATGACTATAAAACTCGAGCAAAAAAAAGAAACGAGTACGAGTGTCTTTACTTTATTAATTTTCTTTCCAGTATTATCTAGTCTTGTGAACGTTTCGTCGATGTGAAAACGATAAATTAGATTATTTGTTAATTATTGTTGTCTATTTTTTTACTTCCTAATTGCTTTAATATAAAATATAATCTGTTTAAAAATCTAAAAAAAAAAATAAATAAATAATTTAACATGTTAAAATATGTGAAATAACAACAATAATAAAAAGAAGTCTATAATCTAATGATTCGTTTTCTTTTGCACGTGGTATCGCCATTTTGTTTTATGATTATTTTTTGTAATCAAGATGAGAGCCTGTGTGTGTATGAGTGGGTCAATGAGCGCAACAGAATGAAACAATTAAAATGGATGAAAGAGGAAAACAGAAGCGTAAATATATTGATTTATATATTTACCATTTGTAATCACTTTCGATTCAAGATATATTTATAATGGATTAATTTAATAAATTATTCGTAATTATTGAGGGGGATGTGGGGGAAAACTGTAAAAAGCAATGGAAAAAATATTAAAAACAAAGATTAAACATTAAAATACAAATTGACATAAAAATAATAGCGATTAATAGTCAACAAATAGTAGCATGATGGCAAAAAAAAAACATGTAGCACTAGAAAAAACAGTATCACTGACCGTAAATGTGGTAGATAATATACAATATATTATAAATCTGTAAAAGACGAATATTAAAAAATAATTTCATTATATTTACCAAACGAAAATTGATAAAACGAATTTTATGATGTAAATGAGAATGAATGATTGTAAAAGAAGAAAAAACGAAATCACAAATGACTCAATGTATGAGAGAATCACGTAAAAGCCCCCTTTACGTTTACTTTTAAGCTTACACCCACTGTATATGTCTTGTAAATATATATTTGAAAAATTTGAGAGATGCATTTGTTGTCTTTTTTTTTAAAAAAATAATCTCCACCTTACTGAACTATTTTTAAACTTTAAGAAATAAAAAAAAAAAAAATTAATATGTAAATTTATTCATAATGACAATTATTATAATGATGATTGTTAAAGATTATAAACGGCAATGAGATTATGATGAGAGTACTAGTGGGTCTAACGTAGTAAGACGAAGAGAAGAAAGCAGAAAGAGAAAAGAATGGCTATTACACGGCAGAGATTCAGAGGACAGCCGGTGAATCGTTTAATGGATTTACGACCTTCTTCAACCTCCATTGCTCTTCACTGCTAAAAGGAATAAGCAACGCTGTGAATGGAATAAACAGTGGGGTCGTTGTACGAGCTATAGGGATCAAAGTTGGTTAATTATCCACTACTATCCTTCTCGTCCACGTAATCTTTTCTACTTTGAAACCCTTTTCAATTGCTAATTACTTGACAATATTTCAATGGATCCCTTTAAATAATGCAAATAGTAAAACTGTTAGATATTAATGTGCAGAATGAAAACAGACAGGTTCGATATGTACCAGTGAGGGAGAAAGAGAAGCTAGAGAGTGTGAAAGACGTGAGAGCGGATGTGACGTGGCTTGTTGGACTATAGAGTAGTAGTATAGATAGCTATACGACTGCTACGACCATTGATATAAAGGGAGAGATGGGGGATGAGCGACAGACCGTGAGAGATGGTGGGAGGATGTATTTCTGGAGGGAGGAACGACGATTTAAAGAGGAGGGGGATGAGTGGGACCACCGGAAATGCCAGTTAGCCGAGCGGGCCGCATCCGCTTCAACCTCCACCATCAAGAGGGATCTCTAATGCTCTCGATCATACTCACTAGATCTCCGGTTTATGTGCTGACCAATTATTGATGCTTTTTTTCAGTATTCATCTTCTTTCATTTATTCACATTCTTCGTTGTACAGTTTCCAGAAAATAACTGCTGATAATTCAAGAGTCTTTGGTATGTTATGATGTTACCTTGTGCAAAAAAACCCACTTTATTATTTATTTGTGTCTATTGAGTGAAGAAAGATGGTGAAATCTCCTGGAGATAAAAAAAAAACGAAAAACAAAATAGTATAAGAAATGAAGCTGAAGCAGAGTAGCAGAGGAAGAATAAGAGAATGGAAAAGAGGGGACAACCTTTGTGGAAATGTGATTCTTCGAATGCCACGACTGTGAGTCTTGTCCGGACTGTACTCTTTGCTCCTCTTCTTGGGATTCAGAGTGCAGTGACAATACCATGACGTTGCTCTTACAGTTGGAGGTCTACCAGAGTCAAACAATCAATGTTCTGTCGATTCTTTTTAACAATAAATATTCTTTAATTCGTTACAATAACTATTCCACATAAAATTATTATTATTTTTTTCTTAACAATGACAAATAACTTTAGAATTTCAATTATTCTTTCTCAAAAGTTCCTTCTTTTTTTTTTAGTCTTCCTAATTTCTGAGATTTTTTCATAAAGAAGAAATGTTTCAAATTATTTCTCTGAAGAATATTTTCATAATTAAGTTATTTTCTGTTGAAGTTAAATGATTAAAATTTTTTTCAATGACATCAAGGATGATGTTTATTTATAATTGAGAAGATATTATCACGAAAAAATGTACAAAAGCTGATAATATTCTTCAATAATTTTATACTGAATTTCTCTAGTCAATTATTACATACCTCAGCTGTTTTATATTGAAATTCATGTTGAAATTATGTTCATTTTTTTTTTGATAAAAAGCATACAGGTGGAAAGATAGTAACCGCAGGTGTGGATCGAACACTGATATGAATGAGTCCACAATTATTGAAGGCATCAGTGAGTGAGTAAGAGATGGAAGAAGTTAAGAAGAAGTAGAGAATTTTTTGGTGGTAGGGACAAGTAGGACTAGACTTGGAGGTCGAATTCCATAGCTGAAGAAAAGAATTTCCGGTGTGTTCCGGTGTGCGACCAATGCATTTTCGACAATGTATGAAGCTAAATGTTTAATAGAAAGGAATAGAAGTGAATGAAGAGGAAGATAATGATGATGATAATGATGGGAAAAGGGATAGACACACTAAAGAGAGAAGATTGCGTGGGAATTTGTTGTATATATCTCTTGTTCCAGTCTTCAACTTTGTTTTTCTTTTTTTACACATTTGACAAGATTATGTCCTACAAGCCTTCTAGTTACATCAAAAACTCATCCCAGTTTCCGGCTTACATTTTTATAGAGGTGATTGGTAGCTTGAAATATTTTTTACTGAAGGAAGTGAAAGATTAATCTAAATTTTTTGTCGCTTCCGTAAAGTTTAAAAATATAGCTAAATACTTGCTTGAAATTAATTGATTTTTCATGCTATAACCATGTCACTTTAAAGCATCTCCAATTTCCTAAATGAAGCAAAAATTCATTTCAATTTTTTTTCACGATCTAAACCTTGCTGAGTTGATGCTTTAACGACATCTCGAAGGTCTCTTAGGTAATTTAATAATAAAAAATTAGGTGAACAAGGTGAATTAATCTACATTTAGCCATAAATGAATTTAATCAAGATAATTTGATTGAAAAATGATAAAAAATTTTATGGTAAAAAGTGTAGAATGAGTGAGATAAGATATTAATAAGAGAAAGGAAAAGAGGAAAGAATAAGAATGGAAAATAAGAGAAGAGAGAGAGACAAGAGTAATATGCCGGCAAATGGAACGTGGTAGTTATTAAGTAGCGGATGCGACGAGCTAAGAATAAGAAGAAAGAAAAATAACCGGCTGGTCGTGTAGTGTCACGTGACCGGAAGTGGGACTACCCTCTTGCCCTCTCTACTTCACTTCACCAACTCCTACTCTTCTTTCCTCTCTCCTTCGTTGCTTCTTCTTCACTGCTACTGCACGCCCTTCATCGTCTCTGATCGTCTCACCATCGTCCGGTTGTTGAAACACCAGTATCAACATCATCACAATTGTACAGATTAACAAAATATACGCACCTTATTTTTATGCCATTTATCAATGGGATAATATTTGGCAGCAAACAAGTCACCTTAAAATACATTTCCTGGAAGTGAAATTTTTGATTCAATAATATGTAGATAGAGAAAGAAGAGGATTTTATAGAGAAAATTTTCATCACAATTTCAATTGAATAAACAATATTCGAAGTTGTTGCACGAAAGAGATGGGTAAACGGTCATTCTATATTAAACCTAGAAAACCAAACAGTCGTGCGATTGCGAAACGCGCGCTGATATTTTCGTGGCAGCAACAAGTAACTGCTTCCGGTCTAAAGTTGTTCTCTCTTTCTCTTTCTTTCTCACTCCGTTTCTTGGCATTTTTCTTCTCTTTCGTTTCCTCTCTTTCTTTCTTCACCATGTGTATCTTGAAGCTTCTACACTTTTACTCCCTTCAGTACGGAGGCTGCCTCTTGCTGGCCCCTTGCCTCTTCTTGTCTCAATACCTCGTCAGAAACACCCACGCATTTGACTTCCCCCCTCTGTTAACATCCCACTCGCATACTTACTCTCTTTCTCTCTCACATTTCTGCACTAAGTGCGCAAACGCGTTAATTTATTAGCATTCATGCATCTTGTGGGTGGATTTTGGAATCGAATGCAATTTTTTATGCTCATCAATCACATTTCTTTTAAGAGATGTTTCCATTGCAGTCGATAATTCAATCGTAAATTTACTTTTACACATAACCACTTTAATCATTTTTTATCCTTCCTTTTAACAATAATCTCATTTATTTAATACTAACACTTAAGTTGGAAGATCTGAAAAATAATCAACTATATTTAAATATTTTTTCAAGTAAATAATGAATTAATTGAATACAACTGAACGTAGGACGAATAATGTTGAGGAAAAGACTTAGAGGTCGAATGCTAGTTAGTCAACGTATGCAAAATAAAAGAAAAAAAAATACATTTCGACACATGATACGCACTCGAGGTCCAACGGCGTGCATGCCCTGCACTACGAAGGAACGAAAGGAGCGAAGAGAACGCTCGCGTGTGACGCGTGACCTTGACAAGGTCACGTTGAGTTGAGAACAATGCTCAGGTGCAACAAACCCTAAAGAAGAGGAACCAATTTTTTTTCTTTCCCATTTTTTACTTCTAGTTATTCGAATAGTAAATACATTAAATCCTGTACTCCACTCATTCATTACACTTAATGATCCTTATAATATATATACCATCTGAGTTTATAATACGTTTATAAACTCATTTAAGTAATACTTTAATGAAAGCAATTATTACTGTTAAAATAAAATCCAACGATCTAGAAGATTTGTAAATTAACAAAAATAAAATGTGGACGAAAAAAAAATTAATTGTGTAGTCGGCATTTCTGTAAAGGGCTAATTATTACACCAGTGAGATAATTTCTCTCTTTTCTGTTGAGTCTAAATATAGCAGGTATCTTTGTTTAAGTCAATTGCCACTAATTTTTATTCTCTCTTATTCATTTATTGTCTCTATTTTGCTGTTTCCTCACATTCACTGATTATATCTTTCTCTATCATGACAATTTATCCTCATTCACTTTTTTCTCTTTCATCTTTTTTTTTATGCACTTATTATTCTCTTGCATAACTGCAATGCCAAAAATTTTGAGATATAACAGTAGTACAAATTTAACCAGCATGGAATCTCTACTTACGTTCCAATTGAACTATTTTAATTTCGGTAATAAACATAATCATTTTTCTAAAATCTATTTTTAAATTATGCTTTATTACAGTAATGATTTTTTTGCAGTATATAATTGATTGTAAATAAAAAATTTCAGATGTTGGAATAATATTCTTTTTTTTTATGTTCGATAAGTTACGACAAAAAAGAAAGCATATATAAAGTTATTCCATGTAATAGCGAAAATGTTGTAAAAAAAAAAATTCCTCAGTACGTGGAAATATTTATGCATGTCACGTTGACTGTTTGGTGCAAGTACGTTCGCCCATATACAGGATAACGCGGTTTACATAACGTATTTTGACGACCCCGAGTAGAAGTGCTATGCCGGAAGTACGTTCCCACTTCCCACTCAAGTACACGAGGGATTCTCTGTTATCGCTGTAACTCTTTCGTAGATAATATTGCCCCTCTACTCCACTAGTATCATCTTCCCGTGTCTGTATAGAGAAGAACCTTCTTCCGCCATTAATTCAGTTGTTACGATTGAATCGTAGCATTCAACTGTTAATGTCATCATTATTGAGACATTTGTGCAATAAAGATTCATTTTTGTTAAATAATATTATATTATTTTATTTTCTACATGATTTATGATTTAAAAAAATTGTTAGATACAAAGAAAGCACTGCGATTTCCGGTGAAACCATAGAAAGCCATGGATCGTAAGCTCTAGTAGTACGACGAACCTCAAGTAATTCGCGAGTAGAAAACGGATGTTACCATTTTTGGATGGGTGAATTAATGAATTAATTTACTTCCGGTAGTATAGTTTGACCAGTTATTTATTTAAATTCATCTCATATTTTTCTTTTACTTTATTAATATGAATTATTATTGAACCCGTTATTTTTAATTCTTTTTAAATGTATCAATTTTGACTGTTTAAATATTATATAAAAAAAATTATTATTTAAAATCATATTAAGAGAAAACATAACATAATAATTTCAAAAATTAATATAATGAGTGGTTATGTAATTTATGAGACCACATATTAATTTGATTAAAATATCAATGAATAAATTAACCAGTCGATTGTTCACTGCTTAAATTTAAAAAAAAAACTTTTTTGGACAACAGTCGATAATACAGAAATAGCAGAAAAGACTGAGAGAGCTGATGCCGTAAGGATAATTATTTTAATTTGTAAGAAAGTGTTGCGATTTGATCCTGAGAGAACTCAGAGAAACTGGAATGAATTTAAAGGTCGTGACTGTTGGTACAATAGGCTAGAACTATTATCGATAGTGGATAACAATTAATAAGTTGGCAATTATTATTACCTATTGTTAAGGCTGCTAGTAGGTAACAGGGAAATCGTTTGAAAAATGATAATTTATAGTGATGCATTTAAAAAGGGGACTGTAGGTTAATTTTTTTATGAGTTATAGAAGCCAAAAGTCGAAGGGTGGTTGATTTTTTTCCTTTCACTGACTTTTGACCTCGATAACTCATTGAGAAGTGTTCCGACTACGGTTTTTAAGAGATATTTAGAAACAACAGAATCTCAGCTAATGGTACATATCCATAAATAACCTTAAGAAAATTTATTTCATCCGTGAAATTGCCGAAATATTTAGCGAACTCCCTGAAAAAGTGTGACTTCATCTCTATTTTTGCGAATTTGAGGGTGAAATAAATTTTTTCAAGGTTATGTATGGATATGTACGGTTAGCTTAAATTCTAAGGTTTCGAAAACGTCACTGAAAAGCGTTTTTAGTAATACCCCATCGAAAATTCCGTATCTCGCATAGTTTCCGAGTTATGAGCGTTTAAAGGTTTTTCTATGTTTCACTGCAGCATAACTTTGTTTTTCGCTAATAACTTACGATCTATACGCGGTGCATAGACTATAAGAATATCAATGGATTCCTGAGAGCATGAGCCTTTCATTGCAATAGTCGAAATCATAATCCGAGCATAATTCTTAGTAAAATTACAGCTAGTTTTTTATTCATCTCATTTTAGAAGTGCGAAAATAAATTATTACTAATGTCGACCTGATTCCACGCATCAAGGCAGAGAGAATGAACCCTTTGAGCACTTTCATTCTTTTACTAATCATTTACCACTACGCGACATAAATGTTGTCCAATTTTTTGAAGATTATATATCCGATATCCTATACTGTTTTATACCAAATTCAGACAGCATTTATGTCGCGTAGTGTACCATCCCTATAAATTCTACCCTGTTATTCTAACAGATTCTCACTAAGGTAAGCATTTGCATACAGGCACATTACATGGATGAAGTTGCGGGAATCAGCTAGTAATAAATAAAGTTTTATTTCGACTCCTTTTTTTAAATATTTTTACAACATTTAATACTATTTTCAATATTTTTTTTTTCATAACAGATCCAAATAATTACTCAAAATAGGTGCCTATGACAATGCAATAAACCAAAAATGTTTGAGTTTCTAGGGTATAAAGAGTATAATCATCTCTATCTACATCACAGAGAAATCCTAGATTCGTTTCTATTGCCTGACTCATTTTTTCTACTATTGTGACAATTACTGCGATTTTGTATCTGAAAAATATAATAATTATTACAATTGATCATCAATAATTTACTTTAATAATAGATTTGAATAATTTTATATTCTACCATACCTAACGAAATTAAGGTTAAATAAAATTTTTTTGCGTATTTCAGCAGCAGTCTGACTACACAGTTCTGATGCTGTACCAGCATCGTAAGTGTAATCTTCAAGACGACATTCTATTACAGATTTAATTATTTTATCAACAGGATCGACGTCAAAAGGTCTACCAGATTCAAGGCGATACGAATTTTGATATTTACACAATTTCTGGAAACAAGATTGATTGAGTGAATGTATTTATTACATTGAAAAAGTACTCTTTGCTACATTGAAAATTGTTTGATGATTGCTACATGACAAACCTGATCATAGTCAATGCTATTACGTGCTGACAATTCAAAAGTCATTGGCATTTTGATATAAAAAATATTTTAAAAACTAAAGTTATATCAATGAACGCATGTAGAATGATTTGTCGAATCCAAATACGAGACTGTGGTTCAATGGATTGATCCGTAGCACAGCGAAACCGATTACACAATTCGTTGTTGATTTTCAAAAGCGCGCGTGATTATTTCAATTTTAAATTAATAAAAAATTATTATTTGTAATCCATTTAAAGTTTATTTAATAACTTATTTATTTTATGTTCTAATGTATGTGTAAACAGTGATTTTCAATGAATTTCAAACGCTAGTAATGGAGACAAAAAATGAACTAATCAGTAAAAAAGAAAAAGATGCTCCTGGGAAAGATATCACATTATATTGTTTTCGTTAAAAATCCAATCGCATCTGTTTTGATCTATGTAAATCCAAATAGCCGTACTTTTTTAAGTCAAAACTAACAAATAATATCATGATTTACAGGCATATGTCAGATTATAAATATAGTCTATAATAAGAATTTTAAATTTCATTGTATTACCTTTGTCAATAAGACCTTGTTTTGGATGGTTTGTGCACGCTGGCGGAATCTTACTCGACTTCCTTTTTTTTCCAACTGCAATAATAAAAGTAAAATGTTCTTCTAAAAAAATTATCAATACATAATAACTTGATTAATTTTCAATGGTAAAAATATTTTAAAAATATCAAATTATTGCTTTGAAAAATATGAGATGAATTAACTCCTTAAATAAATGTTCATCATGGTAATAGTGTAATGATATTAATAAACTCACATATTTCCAAAAACTGATAGCCATGATAAGCTCGCAATCTAATCGGGACTACCAGCACCTTCGTGAGTCATGAACACTCTGGTTGTTTTCAACTGATGGTGAATGGGAAATGAGAAATTCACCCCCAGTTCACCTAAATAGCTTGTCTGTAACACATATCATGCTATGAAAATACTGACATGTTTTCAAATTGGCTTAATTTACTATAACGTGTTTTAGACAAATTACATTTACATTATTATACATTCAAAGTATAACACATATAGATCATTATGAGATGTAATGGAAAAAGCTGACACCTGGAAACGATCAAGGTTGAAACAAGTCGAGCGAAGGATAGGTGACGAACGAAAGTTGGAAGCAACCAACATGCAAAATAAAGTGGAAATTTTTTGGGTAAGTAAATGCATAGAGTTTCAAATTTGGTTGTACTATGCATGCAATAATAATCGATTATTTTGTTCTCTTATGCATCAAGCTCAACGTAATATAATTCATTTCCCAGCACATTCTTCAATACTTCCTTCAACCAGTTCGGATAGTTCCTGTCTGTCATGCTAAAGAACGATAACTGACTTCGTTGAAATAAATTTTACATCAATTTTGACGAAATCGAATTCTGATATTCTGAAATAAAATGATATAAATAACTGATAATACATTTATTTTTTAGAATTTAAATTTTTATGATAGTCGTTAGGTAATGTATCAGTTTTGAAATAACACTTAAGGCGTGATGATGAATACTATTGGAGCATGTTTATATCCAAATCTCAATTCTCTATTTGAAATATCATTTTACAGTATATTTATTAAAGTAAAATTTAATTAAAAAATTCTAAAATGATCAGATGAGAGAAAATCAATAACCACATAATTTTTTGCAGGAAATTATTATTAGTCAATTCTTACATTCTATATTATAATATTATTTTTTTCATTTTTAACAATTAAAACGTTATCAAGACTTTATAATAGAATATTGAAACAGATAAAAAAACGATACATAGCAATATCGATTTTATATCTAGTATTTGTTATAATATTTCATGTTAATAGTTTATTAATTCATTTTACACTTTAATTATTTGTATATAATACACATTCATTATATCAATCTATTTTTTAGAACACTTTCTTCATATTACAATTCCATTTAGTACATATTTTTTATTTTTATTTGAATTTTTGTTATTTTTTTTTTATATTTAAGATCACAACCATTTGCTTAGATCACTACAAATTTTAAACATATATTTATGATTAATTCCGACAAAGTATTATCATGTATTATTATTATTATTATCATTATTATCAAATGATTATCCACAAAATTTTAAAGAAAGTTTAAATAAACAATAGTTAAAAATATATCAACAAATTAAAGTCTATCGCGATAAAAGAAAATCCAGTTTTTGTGCTTCTGACCGTGATCACTTTTTCAATCTATTCAATAAACACTGTGAAATTAGCTAATCAAATTTCAATTTATAAATTCATCTTGTACCTTGATTAACATCAAAGTCTATCAGCACATGTTATGTAGAATAAATCACATTTATTCCATACATCATGTATATCAGCATGAATTTATCTGAATGCATTTACAAAAGCTCTGTAGCAATTGCAGATTATTAAAACTGTTATCATTACTTTTACAATAATTCAATTTCTGCAGTGATATTATGCCTTGCCTGATCTTCAAATTTCTCACGAAACTCTTTAGTTGCAAAAATATTTGGAATTCGTAAAAAATTTTGCAATACCTAGAAATAATAATAGATACCTGTTAGAATAAAAATAATGAATAAAGATATAATAATTACATACCTTAAGTCTTAATGCTATATACATTGGTTCACTAAGAAAAGAATATTCTCCACGTATTTTTTCTGTATACTCTGAATAAACTTCAGGAGAAGCTCCTAATACTGCCATGTCTAGATCTAGAAGATAGTGAACGTCTTCACTGCCATAGGCACCTCCAATTTTGTGTTCTTCAGTACTGTGTGTGGCTATTGCTTGAAGAAGTGCTGATGTTTCTGTACGAATTGGATCGTCCTAATTGAATAAAATAAAAATTAAATACTGCACTGTTAAACGATATTTAATGATAAATAATTTATTCTTACCTCAGGAATTCCAGCTTCATTAGCAAACTCATTGAAGAAATCAAGATTTTGATTTTCTCCATCTAGTGCTTTAGGGTCATATTCAAAGCTAGAAAATTTAATCTCATTGTGTTAATTTATTGATTTAAATGTCATTATTATTTCTATAAAGTTTATCGATAATAATTGAATGACTTACTTTTGAAAGAAAAGAGCAAGAATTACTGCCTTGGGATTTTTTAACTGACTTGTAATTTCGTTGTAAAGACGTAATTTTTCACGAAGAAAATCTAAATTATGATAAGTTCTTTTTTCGTTTGAATAAACTTCTTGTATGCGTTTTAACCATCTATCACAAACTTCAGTATTAAAATCTTGAGTTGCTTCATTCCAACTGTCTTCTATTGAGGCCATTTTCTAATTATTACAGAAAAATAATATTTAATAATGATATCTTCATAATAAGCCATAATAACTATTCATTTCAGCATAAATAATTTACTGTATTAATGTAAATAAGTTTAGATAGAACATGACGTGTCAATAAAAAGAAAAATAATAATAATAATATGTTAATTATTGATAGCTTTTGTTTGAAGAGAAAATTATGATATTACTTACGTGTCAAAAAGTGTTTTTTAAACTGACGAAGAAATAATTATTTATAACAAATAAGAACTTAAATGAACTGGACGACTGAAAAAATACGTCTGCGTTTTATTGATCGCAGCTTGCTATATTGAGTATTCTATAATATTGTCGTGAATAACGATAGAACGCATGATATGCTAGGGATATTTATGAAATATAAATTTAAAATAAAAGTAATATCAAAGTTATTGATTTTTACAATTTTTCATACTAATGAACAATTTCACTAGAGAAATTTTTTCCATGTTGTTACTTTCAATATCAAAAAATTATCCAATAAATTGAATATGATATAATGGATATTGACTCAAAAGGAAATAAAAAATATTATTTATTTGATAAAATTTTAGAAAATAATATAAAGTTTAATACATAATGCTATTTAGTTTGATAATTTAGATAATTTCAAGTACAATTTTTATATTATTTGAAACTATTCTTCATGATTGAAGGTAACGACAGTTTTCGATGTTATCGATGACAATTTAATTTTCTTTATACCATTATATGATAATCAGTAAGTGATAAAAAATCCGAACTCGTCCATCTACAACTGGCACAAGCATTTTTGAATTTGGCGCCTGAACTGTCAGAGCCGCTATAAAATTTCGCGTTTGCGTGCTACTTTGCTATCATTCTAGTCAATTCTACTTCAGTTTTCAGCTTCTGCAAGAACTGAATGTTTATCTAAGATTTTCGTGAGAAAAATTCTTTGTTTAACGTTTATGAAACGTTAAACGAATATACCAATTCATTTCATATTTATCATGTTATATATGTATATGTATTTATTATTCATCCTGTGTGAAATTAAATCTTAAGTTATCAGTTTGCAAACGAATTGCTATCAGATGTGCAAATGAAAACATATGTAAAAATAAATATTAAACATGTATTTTGAAAATATATCAAAGTTTGGAGAGATGTCAAGAATTGATATAATGATGATAATCATTATAAATTAATAAACATTCGGAAATTCCGACGCACGAATCAACAATGTTGCAAAAGAAACAATCAATAATTGTAGGAATTTTTGTATTATTATTATTACTCCTTTTCTATAAAAATATAGGATGGATATGTTTTTATGGCATACTAACAATACCTTGTGGATTAATTGGACCATCAATGATTATTTTGATTCATATTGCCTTATCTCCTAAACATCAAACTGGTGGTGGAACATCAAAAACAACTGTTGAATTAGATGCTTTCCGTACAGTTTTGATGGTTAGTATACGTCATAATTTAATGATAATTAAAATTGATTAATTTTCTTCTTATTTTTAGAAAGGCTATGAACCCAAAACTATTTCTGCGCGAAAACAATCAAAATATCCACTGATTTTTAGTCGGCCTGTTGATGGAGCACTTCAAAATCTTTTAGATTTAGCATTTCGTGATTTTGTGGGCACTTGGCTTGAAGATTTATCACTTTATGCTGATGAGATTATTCAGAATATGAAACAAGATGTTTGGGGAGCAATACAAAGCTTTCATGATCGGCTATCTCGAATTGATTATACAAAACTTGTAGCATGTAATATGGTTAATAAAGTGACATTTCATTTTGAAAAAATTAGAATAGCACAAGAAGCTGCGACCGAAGGAGAAGATCCGGTATTTATATTATCATCTCATCTTATGTCTAAATCTGCTGAGCTAAATTATCTCAGGCAAATCAGTGAACTTTGTATTATATTTTTCTTACCAAAAAGTTATTCATTATCACCAGCTAAATATCTATTACGAGAAATTATTACTTGTAAAATTCTTAAACCTGCCATTGATCTAATTACTGATCCAGATTATATTAATCAAAAAATTTTGCTGTATATTGAACAACAACAACTTGCTGAAGCTATGCATAGAAAAACTTATGAGTATGCGGAATCATTTGAAGACTTTATTAGAATGATAAAGGGCTCTAGAGATTTAGAAGTTCTTAAACATATTCGATATAATATTGTGACTGAAATAATGCAAGCCACAACTATTCAAAATGTCAAAAGAGCTCAAGGATTGGACTCAGAAAATAGTTCTTTTAATAAATCTGATATGGTTCAGGCTAAAAAATTAAAGAGATATATCAGTCAATTGACTTATGCTAAAAATATATGTGAATGTCACATGCAATCACTTGGTTGGGATGGTTATCCAATTCAGGATAATAGTGAAAGTGATCTAATATTATCTGAAGGGCGAATTCTATCACTTCAGGTTATTCTAGATAGTGTAATTGGACGTAGGTATTTATCTCAATTTCTAGAACAGGTAGCTAGTCAAGGATTACTTGGATACTGGGCTGCAGTGCAAGAATTACGAAATGCTGATAAATTAAATTGGCATCAATTAGGTGCAGAGATATTTTATACTTATATTAGATCTCCTACTGCTGAGATTAAAGTAGATAAAAATGTGAGAAAACGAATGGAAGCTTTTTTGCTTGGTGATAAAGGGCCTGGTGTTTTTTATGAAGTTCAAGAAGATGTCGTTAAAATTCTACAAGAAAAATATTATTCATCTTTCATAGTCAGTGAGCAGTATAAAAAGATGGCTGAAGAGTTATTGAATGAAAGAGCTGATGGATTAGTGGAAGATCGACAAATTGAAAGTGTCATTTCAGAGAATCCTTCTCTATTGGTTACTGAACATTCAAGTTATGCTAGGAGTAAATTAGATCAATTACAAGAAAAATTAAACAATAAAATGCAAGCTTTACAAGCACTTAAATCTTCACTTAAACCTGAAAGTAAAGTTCTCAGAATTCTTGCTAAAGAAGTTGATTGGCTTCAAGGTGAAAAACGACAACTAGAAGCTCATTTGACACATACAGAAATGTGGGCAGAACACTTAGGAAAGTGGCGAGCTGATGTTCAGAGTGCTGAAATACCAGATAATGGTGATCCACCTCATTTTACTCTAGTTGTTCATATGGCTCAAGATGATGGAAACGCTGAGAGTATTTCAACAGGTTGGGTTGTTTTTAGAAAACTACCTGAATTTCAAGATCTTCATAAGAAACTTCGACAGCTTTGCTCTGATGTAAAACATCTTGAATTACCATCTCAACCACTCAAATTTTTTGGAAAAACCGACAAAACTGCTTTAGATAAAGCAAAAATGCAAATTCAAAAATATTTAAATTTTATTTTGGAAGATGATAAATTGAATCAAAGTGAAGCTCTTTATGCTTTTTTGAGTCCTAGTTCTGAACATTTAAAACATACAACTCCTTCTCCAAAAAAATCAAGATTTTCATTATCTACACTTTTTAAAACCAATTCAGGAAGTAGTGGAGATTCAAAAGATAAAGAAGAAGAAGATGACTATTCATTATTACTAGATGATTCTGATTCTGGAAGATCTATTGCTGATGGGTATCTAGGGCCTGGAAAAGATGCAATTGCTGAACCACTTTATTCATTTATCGGTGAAATATTTGACCTTCGTGGCGTTTTTAGATGGCTAAGAAAATCTTTGATTACTTTTGTTCAAATTACTTATGGGCGTACTATAAATAGGTATTGGATTACTTTTATCGTAGTTTTGATTATACCAAATCTGTGACTAATCATGTTTTTATTATTTTAGACAAGTATGTGAAACAGTTGCTTGGCTATTTTCTGAACCAATGATCCATTATTATATTCAATTATTTATAAAGTCTTGGTGGCCAAATGGTGAAATTGCACCGAGTCCATTTCCACGTACAGATGAAGAAAAACTTAAAACTCGTGGTGAAGCCAGAAGACAACTATTAAATAATTTACCTGAAGTACTGTCAAGTCTGGTTGGCTCACAAAGTGCTCATCGGGGTGCTACTAAAGTTTTTGATACTCTGCAAAATGTTAAATTAAATAGACAACTATTTTATGTAAGTAGTTTAATGTAAATATCTGCATTTGTTTTCCGAGAAAATTTTTTTTCTAAAACACATGTATGTTTCAGGATATATTTGAAGTTTTGCTGTATGAATTATTTCCAGAATTGCATCACAAATAACTCATATTGTGATAGAAATTGAGTTATTTATCAAATATATGTAACAGATAAAAACTTGAGTTTTTATCTTTCAAATATGATACCAAAAACAGGGTTGATATGTGCTAATTTTATATTTCATTATAATACAAGGGAATATTTTTATTTATTGATCAGTATTATACTATATCCTTTGAGCCAAATTTTTATTCAAAGACCTGAAATTAATAAAAATGATTATGTACCAACTTAAGACTGTCGTTTAAAAGAAATAGGTGCTTGATTTTTATGTAAAATATTATGGTAACATTCAAAATATGCCCAGAGTAATTTTAAAAATTTTAATGATAAAACAAGTACCATAATATTTTACAAAAATTTAATTTTTATTGTGAGACAAAAAAATCTATTTAAGAATAAGAAAAACAATTAAAAATATAATATTAATAATGAAATTACATGTTTAATAAATAAATAAGTTCATTAATAAATAAATAATAGTTTTATTTGTGAATAGGAATGAAAAATAAAACTCATTTTTGCTTATAGAACATTTCATTTATATATCGTAAAGAGGCATTACGACAAATAGATAGTAATATATCTGTTATACACAATCATTCAAAATTATTTATGACGACTCTATAAACATTACAATAATATATTATTCATTTTTTCATTTTTCACCATTTCTTGAAAATTGTTTACTCTCTCATGAATGTGAGAAATAATTCATTTACTTGTCATCACAGTTATTTTCTTTACAAGTAATTTTAAATTAAATCATTTCTCTTTTAATAAATTCGTAATTAATATTTTACTTTAATCTTGATGGAGAAAATTTATTAAAAAATTTGATAGCGAAAAAGCATCAAGACTTCAGTTTATTTGAGTTCTCTGAGCCATTCAGAACTCGCTTAAACATCCATCTATTATTTTCACTGGTTTTTAATGATGTACTGTTGAAAAGTTAAACCAAAATAAATTGTTTACATCAAAATAGTTATTAACTATTATTTATCACATGTATCACCATAAAATTCTCCTTTCCCATGAATTATTATTTAACAAAAATACTAAATAAAACATTTAATGACTGTTTTATTATGACTATTTACTGTTATATCAATTTTATCCATATTTCTTTTTTACAAAAAAATTTCTCTTCATATTACTGCTGAACACTCAATGATTAATAAATAATAAGAATGTTATTTGAAAAAATAAACGTTTTGTTGTTATATTTAAATAAAATATAACGCATTACTCATGAAATCAATATGATGTGATCCTTTTTTCAAAAAGTTTTTTATATTCTTGGAGTAAATTTTTCTTTCATTGATAGTAACAAGTAAAAAAATGGCGTGGACGGCACGCAGTTGATATAATAATTTTTTCAAGATCGAAGTACAATTATAATCATAAAATTCAATTTTTTTTTTAAATTTCTTTAAAATTTTATGAATAATAATGTCCATTAGTTGTCTTTTATCTATCGGTATTTATATCATTCAATTCTTCAGCTCTGACGATTTTCACTAATGCTTTGTTTCTGTCTTTTTTGGATACTTTCTATTTATTACATTAAAATACGCATAGTAATCACTTGACTAACACCTTTTCGAATTCTGCATTTTTATAATTATTTTATTTACATTTTTAAAAATGTTCATATTTGGTTGATATAAATTCGTATAATATAAGAACCATTTTTTAGGTAATTCCATAAGATTACTTTAATTATATCAATAATAAATAGCATCAATTTTTTTACATAAAGTTTTCTTTTTGAAAATGAAATCCCAAAAAAGCTTTCAATTATTATTTCTTACAATTTTTTTCTTTCTGAAATAATTTTTAGAATTTTTCTGTACAATTTTTCATGAATACTGTCATACTAGTTTCTGAGTATTTTTTATTTTATACTTATACTTATTATCCAAGTAAATTAAGTCTTCATTTTCATTCAAATACAAATAAATAAATTGATATTACAACTCAAGTTCAAGAAGAAAAAAAGTATTCACTTTTCATCTATATTTATAACTTTTTTTTTTAAAATCTATTTTCATTTCAATTGAAAACAAATTTTCCTCGACTCTATTTACTATTTTTTAAAAATCCCCACATTTTATAAATTTTTATATTTAATCACGTAATCTGTTCAATAAGTATTGAAAAAATTATGTCCGTTAATGACCCTAATCTGGAAATTATATATAAATATCAGCAAAATTTATATAATAATTATAATTATCTGTATTATCATAGAAAAAATATACATATATTTATACTCTTCACTTAATTTTTCCTCTTTTGTCTTTTTTCTCCAAAACTTGTCAATTATTTAGAAAAATACAGATAATTTCAAGACTATCAATAATTCATTACAGTTATTAATAAATAAAAATTCATAAAAAATTTGTGACTCATCGTTATTAATAAATATTACTCAATAACAATAATTCATCTTGAATAAATAACAATTTATACAAATTAACATTTAAAAATATGTTTCAAAAGTAATTTTAAAATTAAAAAACTAGAAGATATAAATTTAAGTTTATTAGAAAAGTTTCTATTGGATAAAGATAAATAAATAGATTTTTATATTATTTTAATTTGAAAAAAGTCAAATAATTATTATAATAATAAAACTGTTAGGTCTATATGAATTTTAAAATTTAAATTCGAATATTAATATACAAATATGCTGTAAATAGCTGAAGTTCTACAGAAATATATGAATTCAATGTTTATAATTTTTTGAGCATTCTACCACTTATTCAGGTAAGTGAATTTTTTTGGCATTTGTACATAGAAATGAATTTAGGTACTCCGTTACATTTGAATTCAACAAATTTTATCGAAACATATGTATTTCGAAAAAATAAAATTATTATATTTGTATTTCAATATAAATTTAATAATAATCCAAATATTATAATTTTCAATATTAGTTGAATTCAAATATCATTGAGTAATTAATTCAGGACATCTATGTGCAACTACTTTGTTCCATCATATTCATTAAATTCCTAATCTATAACAATTTTTTTCCTTTCATAAAATAAAATCTATCAATTAATATCAAAATAATTACATTAAATAATACTATTTGTTTTTAGTATACGCAATTCCTGTGAACCGAAAACATTTTTTAAAGCTTAATTTTTCGTGTTTACAATTTGTTTCTATTTACGAAAAGTCAATAAAACTAGCTATTCTTTCTATAAAACTATCAAATTATTCGTTTTTTCATAAATAACAAAAATTATAAACTCTTTTACATTTTTCAGAGAAAAAAGTGATTTAAAATTATCAAGATGATTCAATCCATGTTTTGGTTTTTATTTGCAAATTTGCAAAGTTTTTAATGCAAATTCATTATCAGCTTAAAAGTTAACTGATGCGTATTGAAGTCGGTGAATCTCTCGGTGTAATTGAGGGAGCTCGACTACTTGATGGTGTTGCCGTTGGAGGAATCAAAGAAACTACTTCAGGGCTTGAAGTATGTCCGTTATCTTCATAAACTCTTTCCTATAATACAATGAATTATTGATTTGTTCATTTTTCTCACATTATTCATCAACTATCTTAAAAACACTGCTACAATTTCTTTGTTTTTTCAAACTCAGTCTCGGTCGAGTACCCAATAAATAATCATTCCTTTAGTACTGATAACTTTTCAGGTACGTCAAAAACTAATTATAAATTCATATTTTATATTGTCACTTATACATCAATTTATTTAAACTATTCAAATATCTGTTGGTAGTTAAGTTGAGGTTTCATCTAGCTGAACCTCTCTAAGTTGCCACTACGTTGTTTCAGTCTCATTCATTTGAATAAAATGTAGCGGTAGATGTTGTAACTTAACAGGGCATTCGACTTTCGATGAGTTTATTTTCTATTAAAGTTTGCATTTAATTTTATTTTCAGTTTTTTAGCAAATCAATAATTCAATGTTTTTAATTCAGAAAGGAAACAATAGCGCACAATTAGTGCGTCAGATTTGGATTTTATGAGAAAAAAAATTAGCGTAAAAAAATGTAACAAAGTAGATTTTTCGTAAAAATTTAAAAAGCAATATTAAATAAAGTTAGTGAAAATTACTAACCTGCGGTCTTTCACGTTTGATTCGTTTTAAAATAAATCTGTTTTCAGATTGGGAATTGTTAGCTCCAATATCAGCACTGTAATTCGGATTGGAAAATGTTAAAACATTTCTTCGACTAGAATAGTTATATTTTTCTTGTTTTGGCTTCCTTTGGCATATTAAATAAATTATCGCAACAAAAATAATAATAGTTATTGTTGTAATAATTCCAATAGTTATCGTCATCGTTGTGTAGGTTTTATCTTTGTTATTTTTTATATTTCGAAATTTTTCATCATTATCTTTATGAGAAGTAATTTTTGGAATAACTTCGAACGGTTTTTCATCTTCATTATATTCATCATCTGGATCATAGATTTTTCCTGGTTGTCTCAAAGGTACTTGTTTATTTGGTACTGAAAAAATCAATAGAAAAATTAATTAATTTGATTTTTAAATTTCACAAAAAATAATTAACTTACTTGTAGAACAATTAGTCTCTTTAACATCAGGACAAGCACACGTGTAATTACGTTTTGTAAAAAGACATAAATGACTGCATCCACCATTATCAATTACACAAGGTGACCATCCTTGCTGTATATCACTTGACACAGCTTTTATATTTGTAACAAGATTCACAGATGTTCTAATACTAATTCTATTACGTCCAGTGGCTTTATCAACTCTCATTAACACAGGATTATTTCCTATCTGTCCTATCCAGTAGATGAATTCTCCAAGCTGCGTTAGTCCAAATGGATTGTTAGCAGCAGCGATTAATTGAACTCGATAATTACCATTTAAATCAGACATTTCAATTCTATTACTTTTCATATCTGCCCAATAGAGTTTCTTATTTTCATAATCAATTGATAATCCATTTGGATCTAGTAAATCACTAGATATTATTACTTTTCTATTGGATCCGTCAAGATAAGCCCGTTGAATATTTACATGTTTTCCCCATTGACTCCAAAACATGTATCCATATTTTGGAAATAAAATTATACTAGAAAACCACTGATAACTATTATTTACTGTTTCATTAATAAGACACTTGCGACTACTTCCATCAAGTTTTACTACTTCAATTGTATTTTTTCGTTGATCAACTAAATAAAGATTATTAGCCAACCAATCAACTGCTATTTGATAGAATGAATCTGACCGTTCGGCAATAACTGTTTTAATGTCAGACATATTATGAATATTTCACTGTTCGTACATATCGTAAATAAACATCATTTTTTTTTAAATTATCTGTATAAATGATTAAATTTTTCTTCCAATGGAAATCAACAGAATCAACTTGATGGACATTAAGATGTAAATCAACATCTCTCAATTCAGGTGTATCTAGCGATATTTGGGCTAGAGATTTCTGGCCAGTGATAAGTAAAAAATTATTTGGACTATTTTGACATGTTTTTTGATCATCCATTAGAAGAATTCCTGTGGGACAAGCGCAAGAGTAGCCTCGTGGATTGCGAAGGCATAAATGAGAACAGCCTCCATTATTATTACCACATAAATTTTCCAAGTTATCAATGTCATGAAAATTCACAACCCTAATGTCCATTATCCCATCAAGTTTGCTAACGATAATTTTAGAATCTTTTCCGGTATTTTTATTTGCTTGGTGAATAGATTTAGTCATCCAGTCACTCCAGTATATATAATCTCCCATTACCGATAGTCCATATGGATGTTGAACATTTTTAATAATAACTTTTCGATGAGAACCATCTAATTCTGAGACTTCAATTACCTTTCTTTCAGCATCATTCCAATAAAGTTTATTATTAATGACATCAATTGAAAGGCCATTAGGCCAAACAAGATTTTCTGTAATAATAGCCATTCGTTCATTGCCATCCATATTAGCACGTTCAATTCTAGCATTTTGACCCCAATCTGTCCAAAATAACAATCCCTTTGCATAATGAAGTGCAATAGCTCGAGGATTGTCAAGTCCTGATCCAATGAGAACTTTTCTATTACTGCCATTTAATTCTGCGACTTCTATACTATTTAATCCCGCATCAGTCCAATAGATCTAAATAAATAAAAATAATTATTTTAGCAGAAATTTTAAAAAAATGTATTTATTTATGGGATGATAGAAGTAAAATATTACCTTACGACCAATAGAATCAATAACCATGCTATCAACAGTATCGATACCGCTAGTGATTATATTTTCAATGCGACTTCCATCAAAACTAGCTCGACTAATAACATCTTCACCTGGATCTGTCCAATAAATTTCACCAGTTTTGCGATCTACGTCGACTCCAGTTGTGTTAACAAAAGAGTCGAGAGGAATTACAACATCTACTCGATAATCAGTATCAAAAGATATAAATCTGATGTCTATACGATGGGCAAAAATTATAAAATCGTTTGGCATCTTTCGACATTGTTTATTGTCCGAATTTGGCTAGAAAAAAATCATAATATAAATAAATTTTAATTTGACTCAAAATAAAGAAATTAATATTTATTTATACTCTGGCGAATTGGGCAATAATTATTTTAAAAAACAATTGATAAAAAATATTTACCTCAAGTATTAAACCAATTGGACAAACACATGAGTATTTCTGAGGTTGAATTGATTCAGGAGCTAATAAACAAAGATGAGAACACTTTCCATTATCTTTGGCACACGGATTAGGAACAATAGTTCGATCTCGATGAAACAGTCTTACATCCATAAGTCCTGAAATATTGGACTTGATGACATTAATAGATTTTCCTTTGTCTTTGTGAACATGATGGATACTTTTAGTATCCCAGTCAGTCCAATAAATATCGTTCTTATGTACTACAAGACCAAAAGGATGAGATAACTCAGATAGACGTCTAACACGTTTTCTATTGCCTTTGAGTTCCAAATATTCTATACTTTTCATGCCTCCATCTGCCCAGTAAAGTCGTTTGTCTTTGAAATCAATTGATAATCCATTTGGCCACATAACATTTTCACCTATAATTACTTGACGATCATCCCCATTCATAGCTGCTCGTTCAATTTTAGGTTTTGCTCCCCAATCACTCCAATACATGTATCCAGTTGTTGGATCAACAACAATGTCACGAGGTTTGTCAAGATCTTGATAGATTAACAATGCCCGCATGCTTCCATCAAGGTTTGAACACTCAATTCGATTTGTTCCTGCATCAGTCCAATAAAGTTTTCTCCCAATCCAATCTAAAGCCAGTCCAGCCGGTGATTCTAGATTATTATTGATTACAAAACTTTGGTTTGTTCCATTGAGATGGGCTCGGCTGATTGAATTTAATTCTACATCAGTCCAATAAATCATGTCTTCTTCTTGACGATCCCAAGCTAATGCAACTGCACTTCTTACATTGTCTACTGGAATGATAGCATCTCTTTTAAGCGGTGAAACATAACTGTCAATTAATCTCAATTCATTTTTTCGTGCAAGAATTAGAAAATCTTCTAACGTACAAGTATTTGTTGTACGATTGAGAGTAAGTCCAATTGGACAAGCACAACTGAAACCCTTACTATTAGGTAGACAAATATGTGAACATTTACCATTGTTTTCACCACAATGATTAGCATATGTAGGTTGTCTTTGTTTGTGATAAACTTGAATATCCATTGGAAAGTGAAGATTTGATTGGATTACTTTGAAATCTCGCCCAGTTTTTTTATTTGCAGTATAAATACTTTTTAAATGCCAATCTGTCCAATATATTGAATCTTCAAAAACTGTTATAGCAAAAGGATGATGAAGACCTCTGCTAATGATTTTTTTTTTATCCGTTCCGTCTAAGTTAGCAGACATAATTATCCGATGTTTCGCTTCAGTCCAATATAATCTATCAGTTGAGTAATCAATACATAAACCATTTGGCCAAGTGATAGAATCACGAATTATATGAACTCTGCCAGTACCATCCATATCAGCTCTTTCAATTCGAGGGTTGGGACCCCATTCTGTCCAAAAAATATAACCATAGTGTGGGTGTACAGCAATAGCCCGAGGCTTGTCAATATCTTGATATATCAACAAATATCCTATTTTTGTATCTAAAGTCAATACTCCAATCCTTCGATTTTTTTCATTTGTCCAAAAGAGTAAATTGTGAATCCAATCGATTGCTATACCTCCAGAACTACCAACACCTGAATGAATCACAACTTCTGAATGGCTGCCGTTCATATTGACTCTATTGATTGTATCTAAAGATATATCTGACCAATATATTAAACCGTTTTTATAATCGTAATCCAATCCAACGGCATTATAAAGTCCTTTAATGATAGAGTTGTATTTTGAACTTGAATAAGATTCAAGACCCATTTGTCGAATTTCTACACGGTTAGCAAATATTATGGTAGGATTGCCTCCAATAGCTTTGCAAGTTCTTAAATCTGGTCGTAATACATATCCAGTAATGCATTCGCACATAAAAGAACCAATAGTATTATTACAAAGCTGACTACACACTGGCTCACGTTGGAATTCACATTCATTTATATCCAGACATGTAAAATTGTCAGGTCCTAGAATAAAACCAGTATCACAAGCACATGCGTCTTCGTTATTCGATGTTAAAATACATTGTTGAGTACATTTGTCGTTAGCAGTGCATTTCCTTTTGGTTGGACAGTCTTTTTCATCATCTTTTAATGGACAATCAGGAAAGCCATCACAAAGACGTTTTTTCGATATACAATAAAAATGTGTAAAAGGTATGATGAGGTGATTTATGGAACTTGATGAATTATTGCGAACAGATGATGCTTTACATAGATATTGAGAAGTAGGACAAATATCTGGACATTCGTCTTCATCTCTGGCATTTGGACAATCAGGGACACCATCACAGACCCAAGAATGTGGAATACATTCACCAGTAGGACATGAGAATTCATCAGGAATACAAGTTGTATTTTTTGCTAAAGTGAAATCTTTACATCCAACTTCATCATCACCATATTTGCAATCCCAGTGACCATTGCAAACTAATGAGTGGCTTATACACGATCCGTTAATGCATCTAAATATAGACAATTAAAAATATCATCAAGTTAAATGAAATCGTTAAAAAAATAAAAGAAGATGTGAAAGATTTAATCTTATTTACTTTAATTCATTAGATGAGCAAATTCCAAAACAATCCTCTTCATCACTTCCGTCTCCACAGTCATCAGTTCCATCACATCTATATTCTTTTCTAATACATTTAGGAGTTCTACATTCAAAATGATTAGAATCACAGAAAACTTCATGAATTCCATCTGAAACATTTTCAAATATTTTTAAGTAAGGTATTTTAATTGACAGTACAAGTAAGAATGATATATAATAATAAATTTCTTACGACATGCAAATTCATCAGAGCCATCCGCACAATCGTCTTCACCATCACATAAAAATCGTTTTAATATGCATGGACCACCGATGTAAGGGCAGGCAAATTCATAAGGTTTACATTGTCTGAAAAAAAAAATGAAAGCTAAATTTTTTATTCAATTTCAAATTTCTTGATACTAATGAATCAAGTTAACCAAACGGAAATATTTTTACGTATCTTTATATTTCAAAGTATTTTAAAAATAATTAATGCCTATTGTTAAATTACAACAACTTTATTACCTTTGGCCATTACAATTTTCTTCATCAGAATAATCAGGACAGTCTTTTTCTCCATCACAGCGCCAAAGTTGAGGTATACATAATTTATCTCTGCATTCAAACTGATCAGTGGTACAATTCCTTTTATTACCTTTAAAAGTAAAATAGATTGTTATTCAATTTTTTTAGGAAGCAAAATTTCTTATATACATTCTTTTAATTTGTAACTTTGTACCACAATTAGATTCATCTGAATAATCTCCACAATCATTATCACCATCACAAAGCCATTGTTGAGAAATACATAAACCTGATTCAGGACAAAGAATTTTACTTTCCCCTCGACAAGTTTCATTACCCCTTCTGGCTTCAAAAATTTCTTCACATTCCATTTCATCTTCTCCATTTTCACAATCAATCTATGTTATTAACATTAAAAAATTTTTAACTAACTCTTTAATATTTTTATTGTTAATTAAATTACTTACAGATCCATCACAACGATGATCTAAATTGATACAAGTACAAGTAGTGATACATAGAAATTGTTCCATCGTACACTTGGAAGCACATGTATACCAAGCATATCCATTATTTAATTCACTTTCATCGTCTAATTCATGAATCAAAGTCTTTTCTCCTTGACCGGAGTGACTTTGTAAGTCGGCATTACCTGATGGATTAATTCCGTGACCTCGAGACAGCCCATGATGTATTCGTACTCGGTCAGGAAGTTCACCGTATCCTTGAAAAGTGTTTATATTTCACTTCCAATGTTTACAGTCAAAATTACAGGTCATACTATATTAATTTAAGCAATCTATAATAATTTTTTGATGGAATTTTATGTAATTTTCGTTAACAATTTTTATGTTAAGTTTGATTTTTTATAGTTTTCAGTATTTCCTTAAATTAATATAATATTCAAATTGATTTAATTACCTCCATTATCATAACTGCCATAAACACCACTGCGGGGTCGCTCGAATATACTTTTACCTAAATTTCCCGACTTCCCTTGACCATAAAATCCACCATTAACTGGTGCACCATTTCGATAACTTGGCACATCAAGAGATTCATCAAAATCACGTTCGGGATTTAAGAATCCAGGATAAAAATCAGGATCGCCATTGTAGCCATGAATATTCGTTAGATGTTCTGTATTTTTTTGAACTGAAAAATAACCATTTTTGTACAGTAACTGAGAGAAAAAGTAACCCATAAAAAACAAGTAAATTAACGTGAATATATTTCTACCAACTGATCAAATATTTCAGTAAAAATGAAAATTTGAATTCAATACCTGGATAATTATGTTTTTGATCAGGTGTAATGTGATTTTTGCTATTCTCATGCTCCTTCAAATTATCTTGATGATGTGGAAGTTCAGTTGTGCTAATAACAGTAGCAGCACTTCCAGTTTCTCGAAGACTTGCACTACCATACATTTGACGAGCAGCTCCACGATTTACTGGAGAATTTGTTGATGTTCCTCCAACATGTATGTAACCTAAAAAATCTCATTCATAGTATTAATTAATATCTAACTATGATATAATATTTTTTTGATTAATCAAGAAATTTCGTTTGATTGTATGATTACGATTTTAAAGTAATTCGTTATCATAGTTTTATTTATTTATTTTATTTATATTTTATAGATATATAAATATGAATAAAAATGCTTTATTTATTTTTTTACATATAAAGTTAATGATTGAAACAAAGACTTCTTTGATGAAAAGTTTTATCTCTAAAAATAATCAAAAATCATTCAATCAAATGAAAATCATTACTATTCATATAATTCAATAGAATAAATTGCTATATTAAATCTAATGGAACAAAAAATAAATAAAGGGAATAGAGACAAGTATAAGCAATTGATTTTCAAAAAGCATATAGTCAATATTATTCAAGCAAGATTTAGATGGGATAAATTCAGAAGAATTATAGGGGTGATAGTTCATCAGCCCATGAATGGCATGAGATGCTGTGAGGGTGTTGAAGATTTTCATTCACCATTATAACGCTTGCGCAAATCGTTTAATCGATATACTCTTTGTGGTACATATCTTTTGATAAATAACTAAAATTATATTCATTAAAAATAGATTTGCAATATTCAATATTATTTTATTTTAAAAAATATTTTTATATTTTCTTTCAATTCACATCAAACAAATTTCTTCCGAAATTGTAATAAATATACATTAGATTCTAGTCTGATTTTGATTTAAATAATAAAAATATTTTATTGTTATTTAATATATATTTTTTATAATAATATTCATCAGATAGATAGAATAATTATTATTTTTAAATATATTTTATTGGAAATTTATAAAGAAAGGTCTTAAGAAATGGACATTTCTATAAACAATAAAAATTAAAATAATTTATTCTTATCATTGACTGATTTAAGCATAATTTTAATTGATGATTATAGTAAAATTACCTGCTGCCAGAATGAAAATAATACAGTACATTAGCTTCATCATTTATAATAACGTTTTAGTAGTGGAGGTAAATTTTATTCTAATGATATTTGCCTGATTTTAGGCTTATTTGTGCGATACACTATTTGAATGAGTTATTAATTATTTATTTAACTACATTGATTTCTTTTATATTTGAATTGACTTAGTCCACTCATTGATTATTGTCATTTTAAATTTGTGATTTCGAACTTGGCGATTTTCATGCCTGCGCACTTGACACAATAAGAACGCGGGGCAAGACGTAAAATTCGGTCAACGAGTTATGAATCGATAAACTCACTACGTAATTTCGTTTTGTTTTTTACTTTTTTTTCAATTATTTTAAACCTTAATTTATGAACAAACTTTGTCAATCACTTCCTATACTCTTCATTATTTATTATTTTAACTAAAGTAATTATTATATGTAAACATCTCAGATAACTTGATAAATTGATAAATCACTATTTAACATGAGTTTTAGTAAAGTCTAGATAGCACAGTTAGCATAATTGTAAGATAAACTTGAAGAGAAATCACAAAAGATTGGAAGCTTTGAGAAGAAATGATGGATGTAGTGAAGATAGCGTTCTAATGAAGAGGGATAATAAAGTAGACTGATCCAGGTGAAATGGGTCCAGTAACGAGATGTAATCATACCGAATTGTTGCAGTTAACTGAAAAGGTAACACCCACATATCACCGGGAAATCGACGCAAGCGCATATTATCACCGGTTCAACAGTAATTCTGACGCTCTTTTTATTGTGCTTCCTCTATGATATTATATTTGTTGTTATTTATACTTCCAAATTCTATTGAAACAAAAATATTCACATTTTTAGCACTCACGAATTTTTTATAAATAATATTGATTGATAAAATTTTTTATTATATTTTCAAATAAAATCATTACTTATATTACAATGATGCAAATACTTGTCATAAAACAATACATGAAATATTATTTCTATATTTTTAAATTGAAAAAAAAAATTATTCAACTTTAGAATTTTTTATTGTAAAATTACAATTTATTTTTATTATTCCATGTATCTTTTTTTGTTGTTTAAGGATGCATTAAAATGTCAAAGGAAATTTATACATGAGAAAAAAAATTGAATGGCATTTTAACACAAAGTAGAAATTATTGTGCACTTCTAATTTTAGTTTACATATAAAGGGAGGTGTGTATTTGGATCGTTTAAGATTTTATATAATATTTTAATAGGTGAGCATGACATTGAATTTTTTTTATAGATTAATTGATAACTAGTTAAACGTTAGTAATGAAATTATAATATGTGTATACGTAATTAAATGTAAACAGATGTGAAAGTTTTAAGTAAGACATTGATTAAAAATAAATATGTAAAAGATAGGTAGTATTTTGAATAATTTATTACATCATTTATTTATAAGAAAGTTTTTTTTTGCGATACAAATTAAATATTCCATAACAAGATTTTATAGAGTTATTAAAATATATTTTGTTACAGTGGTTTGATTACACTTCAAGTAGTCAATATTTTAAATAAATTACTTTGTACTTTCTGTTAATGTATCATTTAATTGTTGAAAGAAAGATATCGTTGGTTGATACAATAAAACTGGTGCATCAATGGCAAACATAAAGTCAATATGATTAAAAAATTCCATGGGTACTTTATAATTTAATTTTAAATTTGGTAATTCATTTGCTAATTTTGCTACATCGTTAGAATCAGCAAGTAAATCATTAGCACCATGAAAAATGGCCACAGGTACTTTTGTATTATTTAATTTATATTCAGGAGGCTCTAATTGACCATAAATTTCCATATTTTTTTTAGGATCATTATAATTGAATTTTTGAAATTTTTCTGCAAAGAAAAAAATTATTTATCAACTTTTTATTGAAATGTTTAAAACTTAAAAATAATGATCACAATTTATTTTACTTGAATTCATCATTTGACCATAATGGAAAAATTGCTTTATTGAACTTCCTGCTGGCAAATGACCTAAAATAACTGGTACCACAGTCTAAAATTCAAATTCAAAATTAATGATAATACATACAAAGCAATAAATAATAGGATACCAAATATAGTAATTAAAATTGTGAAATGTGAGAGGAATTTACTTTATTTATCTGAGCTGAATCATATCCAGTGATCATAAATAATGCATTGCTACAGATAACTTGATATAAGGATCGAGCCTCACAAGTGTTTCTTCCAATTCTAGTTAAAAGTGCATTGGTTGGTAAAAAGTCATGAATTTTTAACAACTCAAACGTACGCTGTTATAAAATACAAGATACAAAAACTAATTTAAATAACTTATATACACAAAAAAATACATAATAAAATGATTTTACTTACATAGATTGGTCGAGAAATTTTAGCAAAAAAATCAACAATAGGACTTTGAACATGTGAAACATAAACAATGGGTGCATATGCCGCAAACTTAATTACTTTATCATTGTATTCTGGCTTTTCAGACATCATAACAAAGAATGAAGTGGTACCTTGTGAATGAGCCAAATAGTAGAGTTTTTTGTGTTCAGTAACAGATAAAATATAGTCGATGCTTGCTGGTAAATCATAAACTCCCATTTCATGCCAACTAAAATCCCAAAATTTTGAATCCATTGTTGTCAAATTCTCATGTGCTTGTGAATATATATTTCCTCTAGAATTTCCCATCCATACATCATATCCTTCATCAGCAAGTATGTAGCCTGTATTTAAACACACACAGTCAACAGATGGAATTAAATTTCAACTTCAATGTTTGACTTTCTTTTGATAATTTACACTTAATGATTTCAATTACCCAGTCCTTTTTGTGGGCCTGTGAGTATCCAAATAGCAGAACTAGCTAAAATTCCATGCTGAAGGAAAACAACTGGTTTTTGAAGTTTTGATGATTCATTGATCTTACCAGTTATCCTGTGCATCGATAGCAAATAGCCATCAATTGTCTTTACTTCATGAGTCTCCACTTTGTAACCATATTTAGTAATTAATTGCGGCTATAATTTTTATCTTTTTTAAATTAATACTTGTAAACTATTAAAACTTATAATGCAAGTCTAGAATAATTTACCACATCCAAGTAAACATCAGGATGATTGATCATTTTTGAAAAGTCATCTATGGTTAGAGTTGGCATTACCATTGACTGAATTATACCCCAAGATTTCAAAACTTTTTCCTGAAATAATAAGGATTAATATATAATTTTCATGTCTTTCATTGTATTATTTATCTATATTTATATCGTTTAATTCTGTCGAAATGAAATTAACTATCTAATTAACTGTCTTACAACAATTTATTGTATCTTTTCTCGATTAGTAGATGTACGTTAACATATACACAGAATAGATAAACTATTACCAACTAAAGTATTTAAAATTGAGTAATAATTGCAAAAGTTTCTTAAGCAATGAGTTCAAGGCTTCAATACATTTATACACCTATAACTATGTTCTCAGTGAAATAATTTGTAATTGATCGTAATCAACTTTCAATGCTGCATAATACATGTTTACTATCAACAAAATAATAATGCAGTAAAAGTAAGAATGTGAGAATTTTTCATATTTTCATTAAAAGCATTTTGTAATTAAAGTAAATTAATTTATCCAAACTAATTTTATTTACTGACCTTAAGATCATGAATTGGTTTATTGTCAATAACAAAGTCTAATTTTTTTCCTAAAACATCCAAACTTTCAACAACTTTATTATAACCACCTGATGGAAAAAAATATATAATTTAAAATAAATGAATTTATTTTAAATAATATCTATTTCAATCATTATCTTACGTGTAAAATAACTTTTTCCTTTGTTGTAAATATTAATAGACCATTTTTTAATACTTTTAACTCCAGGAATTTTTTCCAACCATTCAGAAAATTTTGATTTTTCAGATTTGTGTGCTGAGATTCCAAAAAATTGGATAGAATCGTTATAATAACCCATCACTAGTAACTCAGGTTGATCAGTTGAGGCAAGTATATATTGAGCTATTTTTGCTAGTTTTTCTTTTTCCATTGTTTCATCTCTTGAAATAAATTTTTGAAGATAATTTAATAATTTTTCATATTAATTTTTTCAGGAAAAAAATTAATGGATCTACCGTACGATATTGAATGTTCGATGACACTTGAATTGCTTAATCCAAGCCAAATATCATAGCCTTGATCAACGAGTAAATAAACTGTAGAAAAAAATTAATTAAGTGTTTATTATACGTTCATTAAATGAGACGTTTCGAAAGGAAAATTATTATATTAGTTTTTAATAACTACCTACGGCAATAAGAGGTTTATTGGCAAAACAAGATTCTGAGTTACATAAAAAACCATGTTGAATTAAAGCAGGTCTTTTTCCATTACACTGAAATGATTTTGGACCACATGAGATTCTATAAAGTATTGTTGCATCGTTTTCCTTTTCATTTTTTACGGCGGATTCTGAATTTGGTAATACGTCTGGAAAGATATAGCGTTCTATCTTGTACTCTGGCAGAATATTTAACTACAAATATAAAAGGTATATCGATTTATTTATTTTATATTTACAATAATAAAAAATAGAATAATTATAAAAAAAAATTTGCACAATATTTTTCTTTCATTTGTGTAAACTCTAATTTATTAGTAACAATATTTTATGATTTTTAATCATTTGAAAATAATTTATTTTATACAATTAAACTTACAGTAGTGTTGTCACTAATATCAAAATAACTTTCAAATCGATCCCATGTTGAAATTGATCCAACACTGAAAATAATAATAATAAGAAACACGAAAACTTTAATAACTAAAACCATGATGTCTTCATTCAGTTATTACTGTTATTAAACTCAGAACATTCTTATTTGTTGTTTTTATGCATGAATTTTTAACTTACTGACGATATTTTGTAAACCTTTGACCCGTTGATAAAGTCACACAAACTCATTCATTCATTGTAGATACACAACGCTTGAACCATTGAATCACTTAATGACGAATAAGTTGAAGAAAAAGATCATTTATGACATGAAAAATTATTATACAAAAACATACATGTTTTTTGAAATTTATTGTAAAAACAATTAATTATTCTATAAAAATAACAATACTATTATGATTATTTACAGCTTAATTTAATTACTAATTTTCTAATTATCTTTAAAACGACGCATAATTCCAATGACTTTTTCATAAAGAAGTGGCTTTGCATGCGTTCCCCATAAATAATCTAAATGACCAAATGGTGAATGAGGTACTTTAATTTTAGCATAAACATTGGGTAATAAAGACTCCAATCTATTGACATCTTTAACATCTGATAACCAATCATTAGTACAGTAATGAAGTATCACAGGTATTTTTATCTTACTAAGATCATAATCTGGCGGTGTAAAGCGACCATATTTCCTTTTGTTTTCAATGAAACCGTAGTCATATTGTCTGAATTTATCTATAATCCAGATTATTTATAAATTATGAGTACTTAACAATAATACTTATCATTTAAAAAAAAAAGAAAGATTAATTAATACATACTTGATTTAATTAATTGACTATAATGAATGAGTTGTCGAGTTGCTGATCCAGCAGGAACATGACCAAGTATAGACGGTAATAAAGTTTTATTCATTTGGTCTGATCCGAAACCTGCCATCAGGAAAATGATGTTTTCACAAAGTGGTTGGGTCCATGCATCAGAATGACATATAAGTCGTTTTAACTGTTTCATAAATGCTTCTGTTGGATGAAATTCATACATTCCAAGCATATCCATCATAATCTGAAATATTTAAAGAATTGTTATAAAAATCTTACTAATCTTTTATTTATTTGTATCCAATTATCAATTAATACTCACGTTGATTGGCTTGTCAAATCTAGATAAAATTTGAAAGAAAGGACTGGTCATATGTTTTACAAAGGCAACTGGAGCGAGAGAAGACATACTAATTATTTTATCATTATATTGAGGATAAGTAGATACCATAACATAAAATGAAGTCGTTCCTTGACTATGGCCAACATAAAAGGTCTTTGTTGCATTAGTTTCTTTCAAAACATGATCAATCATTGCTGGAAGATCTCTAGTTCCTATTTCATGCCAGCTGAATAACCAATATTGTTTATCAAGAGTAGATAAATATTTGTGCTTTCTTGAGTAAAAATTACCACGAGCATTGCCCATCCATACATCATAGCCTTCATCAGCTAATAAATACGCTATAAAATGATCATTCAATAAATTATTAGTTATTATTATTTAAGTTTTTTTTAAAAATATTTTTTTCTTAATTCTCTAACCGAGAGCTTTTCCAGGTCCAGAAATAATCCAGTCAACAGAGCTGCTGAGTAATCCGTGCATTAAAAAAACAACTGGCTTATTGGCGGGACTTGGATTCCAGTGTGGTCCAGTAATCCTATGCATTTCTAACATGTAACCATCCAATGTTGTAACGGTATGAGTTTCTCCATGGTATCCGTATTTTGCTATTAATTGTCTCTAATTGAAAAAAGAAATTACTATATTAGTCAGCTAATAAAGTATATTTATGTTGATTGATTTTTTAAAAATATTTAATTATAAAAAAATAATTTATCTTATTTTCATGACTTACAGCGGTCAAATCTGCATCTTCATGTACGTGGGAATTACCAGTAATATGATCAAATAACCCAAAAGTCTCAGGATTAAGCTTTTGATCTGGCAAATAAGCTCTGGACTCTCCTAAGACTCCGACAAGTGCAAGCACGAGAAAATATTGTTTTCGAGCAGCCATGATCTAAATGGTCACTGTTCTGGTCAGTTTGATATTTGTTAATTTATACCTTACTTGAAGTGCATTTAACCCCTGATATCTTTATCATTCTGATTAGATTGATCAGATCAAAAAAAATGTATCAATTCATCTCTCTTAACTTTAGGCAACAGGTAAGTTTAAGAAGAGAATGGTATTATATTGTTTTTATTATTATGAATTATATAAGTATCAGAGATAATATTATGTTGAACAAGTATTGACATATCGAATATGATGAAATGATTGTATCTATTTTAATTGGAAATAAATATTAGAAACCTATACTTTTATCATTATCGCTACGAGAGATTTGATGATTATCTTATTGTGATCTCCATGTTTATTTAATCTTTCGACATTTTTTCAACTCAAAATATATCAAAATAATCATCAGTTAGTATTTCATTAAACTTTTATTCAACAATTTAATGACATTGTTTATCGTCAACATAATGACTAGAAATTTCTGTTTTAAAACAACAAACATTTTAATTTTAATTCAGTAATTCAAACAACATTTTTACCGTATAATTACATGTTTTAAATATATTAAATTAAAGAAAAAAAACAACTAGAATAAATATTATAATTATCGATATTGTGCAAAAAGTTGAAGTAGAGGCTCATAAACCAATTCACGTGCCAAATCACTCCACAAAAAATGATAATGATTGAATGAACCCCAAGGTACTTTGTAGTTTAAGACAACATTTCGTAGCTTTGAACTTAACAGTTCTACATCCTAAAATTGAAATTATATTATTTGATAATGAATTAATATTTTTTTTATTAATATATAATTAATAAAAGTTACCTTAGATGTTGCTAACCAATCGTTATCACTACTGAATAGTGCAATCGGTGCAGTTATTTTATATAACTCGTATTCTGGTGGTGTGAACGAATTATAAAGTCGTAAATTTTTTTCACTGTTCGCACCATAATCAAATTGTCGAAAATGTCCTTTCAATGAAATAAAATGTAATTAATATCTCAAGATTTTCAGTAAGCTGATGTATTTTATGTGAACTAACAATATTTTTTTTTCATTCCAGAATTGATTGAGAAATGAATTTATCATTAATTTACCTGGAAAAATATATCCTTGTCCAAAATGAACGACTTGTTTCCAAGAAGCTCCAGCAGGAACATGAGCAATAATAGTTGAAAAATTGGCCATGTCAAGTTCTTCAGGACTGAATCCCGCAACGAGAAAAAGAGAATTGCCACAGAGAACTGGAGTAAGCGAACTATTGTGGCAAAGTAAATTGTTAATAATTCTTACCCATGGTGAGCGTGGTCCATATTCTGGATAACCAAATTTTTCCCCGACCCACTAATATTTATATTTATTTAGGGAAAAAAATTTTATCTTAATCACCAATATTAACAACCATGAGATATTGATTAAAATCACAACGTACTACACCAAAGTATGTCAACTTGGTTAGTTGAGTAATTGGACCCCGCAGATTGCCGGTGAACGCTGCGGGTGCAAGGCCAGTAGCCAGTTTGATTTTTGCGTTGTATTCTGGTTTTAAAGAGGCCATTACACAAAATTGAGCGTTACCCTGAGAATGGCCAACATATAGAAGCTTAGAATATAATGTAGAATCCAATATATAATCAATCATTGCCGGTAAATCATAGAGACCGAGTTCATGAAAGCTAAAATAATTTAAAATTAATATCAGTGAGTATTAAATCATTTTTTAGTAATGATATTTTACCTAAAATCCCAGAAAGTACGATTTGATGTCTGAATGTGTCGATGACTTCTAGAATAAATATTTCCTCGGTTATTACCGAGCCATACATCGTAACCTTTATCTGCTAATATGTAGCCTGAAAAATAAGTGCGAAAATATTTAGAAACAATTTTTTTAGTGAAAGGTAGAATGTAGTGGTTGTCGGAAAACGAAACTTTTTAAACAGCAATAAATAACTATTAATCTAATGATATATTCAATACCATAGTATATTCAATATTTAGTGATTCTCAAAAATAATATTAAGTTAATTTAAAAGAAATGTTACCAAGAGCTTTGTCTGGACCAGTAAGAATCCAATCGGCAGAACTTCCGGCAAGACCATGTTGTAGAAGTACAGGAGTTTTACGATTAAATTTTTGCTCATCTCCATAATGATATTTTCCATGGGGTATTCGATGTAACTCTAATATGTAACCATCGTCAGTGACAACTTTATGAATTTCGATTGGATATCCATATTTTCTTGCTAAATGTGGCTAATTGGTAATATTTAAAATTATCACTATTTCCTTAAGATAACTAGTTTTATCATTTTTATTTTTTCTTATAATATTTACACTTTTATAGAATTAATAATTAGACCAGTTTTAACTATTTTATAACATTCAACAAATATTTGTTTACTGAAAATTTCGATAAAAAATAAAAATATATTCAATAATGATAACTTACAGTTTGCAAATAATCATCTGACTTCAAATCCAAAACATCAATGAGAGCTGACACAAGTCGAAAGACCAAAAGTAAAATTTGAAAAATACGTAGCAATGACATCCTGCAGATGAAGCAACTCTTTGTACGCGTAGTTCTCCGTGTCTTTATATAACTTGTACTAAAGTGCAATGACATACGCTAAGTATATAAGTGAGTGTAATGTAATTTCTATTGATTACCAATCTCTTTCCCTTCTTTTTTTCTTGATTATTATATTATACCCTCCCACATTTTTTGTGCCTTGAATGTTAGACATATCCTTCAAATGATCTTGGCAGATGTCAAGCTCATAATGATAATTAACTGGAAAGTTGGATAAGTAAAAAGTGTTCAAGTATTTCCTTATTTAAACTCTAATAGTGATCGTTTTTTTATTCTGCTTTTAGTAATCGCGTAAGGATGCGATCATATTTGTAAATCAACTGCCCTTATATCTATCAATCTGAAAAGCTGTTTCGAAATTAAACTTAGGTGCAAAGAGGTTGATACAAGGTCGATTGCATCAATATCGCTGATTAAAGATAATGCGTACTTGGTATTCCTAATATTGTACGATTATTCTTTTTTTAAATTCAATTGTTTTCATGATTAACAACTTGTCATTTCCAAATAATTTTGATAAAATCATAACGATAAGTAAAAGTAGTTGTTCTTTTTTTTATAATTAAAAGAAAAAGATTTTTTTTTATTATCAAACAATTATATTTACTTAAAAATCTAAATTTAAATAATTTTAAGATTAACTAATGAAAGCAACTGTTCTTATATAAAATCATAAATATTCAGCAAATGAATGATTTTTATAATAGTTTCTGTTATAGAAAACTAAAGTTTCTATAACATCATCATATAATTCTTTTGTAATATTATTTGAACCAATGAAATCTATGTGACCAAAGTTTGGAGTTGGTACTTCTTTTGCAACTGCTGCAGAAACTCGTGATAATACAGCTTCAACGTCCTAAAATAATTAATAAATGATTTGACCTTAATGTAATTATATCTTTTATAAGAACATGAATGAATTTGTTGATAGCTAAAACCTGTTTATTAGTAATGTCGTCACCCGAGCTATGATAGATAATCAGAGGAGTTGATATATTCTCTATAGGATATTCTGCTGGCTCAACATTATTGTATTTTCGGTGATTTTCATCAGATCCAAAATCATATTGGGTGAATTTTCCTGGTGAATATTTTACTTTAAATTTCAAAAGACTTAGATAAATATTAGTAAAAAGTATTATAAGAAGAATTAAAAGTACTTACTACGCAAAACTATTTGACCATAATGAATAATTGTTCTAATGGATGTTCCTTGGGGATAATGACTCCAAAATCGTTTGAGTGTTGGCTAAAATAATTTAAATGTAATTAAATTTAATCAATACATGAATCATATTTATTTATGAGTAATAAATAAATTTATCAGGTATTCAATGATAATAATAGCAAAAATTTTTAGTTTCATTTTAAATTACTGTAGATATATTAGAAAACAAATAATCAAATTAATCAAAACTCTTACCAAGTCTATGTTCAGATTATTTACACCAAAAATAAAGTCCATTAGTCTATGACACAATGATTGCACACTTCGATTCCAACATAATTTTAACCAAAATTCTGCAGTATTCAATTGCTTAGTTGATAGTCGAGGAAACAATTCAAAGAAATTGAAAAATTGAAATACTTTCTATTGAAAAAAAAAATTATAATTAAAAAAAATTTTATAGTAAAATGAAATAATAAAATGAATGTCTTTGTAAATTGGGCCAAAGTTATATGAAATATCTAAAATAACGATCCAATGTAGATCTTTGTTATTTTTTTTCTAAAAATATATATGAGCAAAAAGTATCTTTACTTCTAATTGATTGCCATAGCGAAGCATAAAATTGATGAAAAGTCCAGGTAATTCATGAGTAACTATTACAACAGGAGCCCATGCAAGAGCAACATTAACTTTAGTATTGTACTTTGGTCTTGTTGACAACAATACAAATTCTTCTGTTGCACCCATTGAGTATCCTATTAGAGATATTTTGGATTGTTGAGTTAATGATAGGATATAATCAATTGACGCTGGTAAATCATAAAATCCAATTTCATGCCAGCTGAAATGTTTTTTAAATTCCGATAAGTGATATTTTATTCACAGTTTGTTTGAAATAGTAGAGGTATTTTACTTACCTAAATTGCCAAAATTTTACGTCTTTATCCGAATAATTCCTGTGTCTCTTACAGTAAAAATTGCCACGAACATTCAACGCCCAAACATCAAATCCATTGTCTACTAATTGATAAGCTGTTATTAAATAACAAATTTTTTAATAATTTACAAATAATATACATAAAATTCATAATTATTTTATTAATATTATAAAACAGTTTGAATATTAAGTATTTAAATTTAAATTGACGGGTTCAATCTATCTTAATTTCTAACGTTTATTAATCAATTTCTAACTTTTTTTTCAATTTGCAACGTTATGGTCTCAAAAATAAAGTTAAATATTTACTTTCTAATATCTTTTTTTTATTTTTATGTTTAACTTACCTATGTCATATCTGGGTCCTCGAAGAACCCAAATGTCTGAAGCACCCATCAATCCATGTAGCAAAAGTACAACAGGTTTTCCAGGTCTAACAGGATTCTGAGGACCACCTGATATCCTGTGTAATAGCAAATAATATCCATCTTCTGTTATTACTTCGTGTTCTTCTGCAATATATCCTGTTTTAGTTACTAGATCAACCTGAAGAACAATCACTTTATTAATTAGTTGAAAATCAAATAGCACTTGAAATTTCTTACAAATGTTTCCAACTGGTGAATTTTATTATTTAGCAATTTATTCTGATCGGTAGTGAGAAAAGAAAACTTTCGGCTGCTAGCATTGGCACAACAAAAACATAAGATTGATAAAATAAAAAATAATTTATAGAAACTACTATTCATTTCGACTAGACAATGATGATTATTGAAAATAATTAAAACTTAAAAATTTTTATCTTTTATATTTTTCACATATTTTTAATAATGTTTTCATTTTTGAAAATTTTTTTGCAGTATTTATTAATTCATTAATATTTTTGTAATTTTACTTTTCAGATGTTTACGAGGCAAACTAACTTTTATAAATGATCTTGAACTGAATGCCTAACACAAAATTTAGTTTTTGTGATATGTCAAGATTTTTCTTTTATCCAAGTTTAACTATATACAGATGCTTAGCTTCATATATTAACTGTATGGGACCATTCGTAAAATGATGTCAGGCGCATATTTAATGAGCTAATCTTGTGAAGAGCTAACAGTGAAAAACGGTAAGGGCTTGATCATCAACATTTCTTAGTTTTTTTTTATAAATGCTATTTTATTTGTGGGATATCTGTCTGGTTTCTTTATAACGGTAAATAACATCTCATTATCTTTTTATAATATATAATAATTTACTTAGATTTTTTTTTTACATTAATCCCATGAATAATTTGTAATTGTACCGATGAGTCAGTTTTTCGTATCATGAATAAACAATAAAATGATTCAATCTTTTGAGTGTTTTATATTTATAAATAATTCTTCTTTAACTTGTTAAATTAAAAAACTAATAATTATTACATGCATTAGTTGGACGTATTCAAGCGAAAGAAAATCAAGTCTTCATTTCATTTGAATTAATATACCAATTAGGCACTAGAGGTCAGCAATCTCGATGCTGCGTGCGCAAGTTGACATTTCTTTCTTTCATTCTTTCTGTGTATGTTCTCAAACAACTGAAATATGGTGAGTAGATTCTAGTTTTAATTATCCATTTATTTTATTAACATCTTGATAATATTGTAAAAAAAGTCTTCATTATTATGACAATTTGATATTAATGAGTTTGTTTTAATTTACAGTCAGCTCATAAGACGTTTATTATCAAGCGCAAGCTTGCCAAAAAATTGAAACAGAACAGGCCTATTCCACAATGGGTTAGAATGCGAACTGGCAATACAATCCGGTATAATTTTAATTTTTTAAGTCTTCTGTATAACAAATTCAATAGAAAGCTATGCACGTAGTCAATAATTCTATAATTCTTTAACAAGGCTGATAATTTTTTGTGAATTTGTTTCCTTTGCAAAAACCAAACATAACCTTAAATAACTTTTGTACACAATACACAGTAACATCTAATAAATTTTTTTTTTCTAGATACAATGCTAAAAGGAGACATTGGAGGAGAACAAAACTCAAGCTTTAAGCCCGTGGAATGGATATATTTTATAATGGAAATTAACAATACGTTCATTAATAAAATAATGTCAATTTAAACTTATTGTAAGGTCTATTCATTCAAAAGTAGTTATATTGATTTCAAATTACTTTTAAACAGAAAAGGAAAATGAAAAAACTTTGATATTTTTGTTTTATAAGCCATTTATAAATCTAATTAATACACATTAAAGAGCATTGCCAATTTTACGTTCACGTAATTTAGCTTTGTAATCTTCTAGTAACTGTTCTTTAGTTTTTGGTTCAGGGAGATAATAATTTTTCGGCGGTTTTCCCTCTTCTAGTAGTACAAAGTAATGAACATGTCGGTATAATATTTTTGACATTCTCATTTTTCCACGTCTTTTCATACCTTTAACTGTTACTCCTTTTGTAGCAAAAGATTCAGCTATGCAATAAAATGGATGTTACTAGAGAAGAACAAAATTCATCGATAATAGTAGGAGATTGATTGAAAAATATACTTACAAACCCATAAATTACTTTTGAATTCGACATTATGTTTTTCTACAGCCATTTGCTGAGCTTCTAGAATTGTTTCTTTAGCAGCTGCTGCACCTTTTTTCGCACAAAAACTCAACTGTTTAATTGCTTCATCAACAGAAAGACCTCTGACTAAAGAGGCCACGTACCACATAGTTTTTGGACTGTATTTAATATTTGTTTTCATGTGAGCAACAAACTAAAAAAAACATGAAGTATATTACAGAACTTTTGTATTTAAATAAAATAGTGAATCGAATGGATATTTAAATATATATATATAGAATGAAGTTAATTATTTTACAGGAGAGTAATGATATTTACCGCTGGTCGACGTTCTTCTCCAGGTTCTTGGGGTGGATAAACATAATTATTTCGATTTACAAATTCTATCGGTCCTTCTTCATATTCTTCACGTATTTTTGTAAATTTATTCGCAACAGGTATAATTAGTCTATTAGCCGAATAGTTATCAATTTTTAATAAACAATTGGCCGATAAACTGCTCAAACATTTCCTGAACATTTTGACCTGGAAAATGACATTGATCAACAGATTAAAGATGGTCAACAAATACAGATATATGGGCTATACAAAATAATAAAAAGACATTTTATCAAGAGACACGTTTATTTTAGTAGTGTCTCGAGCGCCAAGTATGAATAGCGGTGACGAAGGCACTACCGTGTCTCTATTCCGCTCAGATTAGCGCTTTTGAGGTTATGCTCCTTTAAAATTCTAATTTCTCTGCAATAATGACATAAACTTTATTAAAAAATCTTTGAAAACCCCATTAATTAGCTACGACAATAAATTGTAATTGCTATTGTGTCCTGAAAATCATTCATTTGCAAAAATAAAAATTGGCCACGCCCCTTGGACCGCATTTTAAGTAAAAAGAATCTTTTTCCTTAAAAGTACGACTTTTTTTTATAAGTTGGTACTACCATGAAGTTGCTGCATGATTATAGAAAATATTATGTTGGTAAAAAACGAAAGAATTACTGAGGCGCCAAATTATGAATGTAAATTTTTGCAATTATTGCAATAACAATGAAGTAAAGTACAACCAAATGAACATTGTCATTTTACAGTTCAATGTCTTGTTCCAGATATTACACATCAAAAAGAAAAAAAGAAAAAGAAGAGGAGTTGGAAAAGAAAAGGGTTCGACAAATTATTAAAAATATTAGGAGAAAATTAAATAGATTTAAAATCATGTTTTCATGTTTTTTTGAATTTTTCATATTCTGAGGTACAGATAAATTAAAATATATACTTTTTTTGGTAAATAAATAAAAAAATATAAAAAAAAATAATCAATGAATATTCTACTAATCATAATGAATATACTTTATATCTAATAAATACATGTACTAGAGGATGATTGAATAAATAAACACAATAAACGGTTAAAATTGTTTCTACTCTACCAACATTGTAAATTTACTGCTAGCACATTTCGAAAGGGGCACAAATGTTATATGACCAAAATGTTCAGGGACAGTATAGTTCTGGTATAAATGTCGCTCCAGTACAATAGTATAAGGCATTAAAGACGCAACAGTTAAAATTACGTTAAAATTATTAATAATTTTTTTCAAAATTACTTTTTATTTGAATTGAGTTTTTGGGAAAATTCTAAATACAGATTTACAGAAGAATTCAAATAGTTATCCTGTTAACTTTTGATTCACTCTCATGTGAATGCAGCATGAATCTTCTGTCTACTTACGACTTCATTCTGAACGGTCAATTTCCCCCCTAAAGAAAACCAAAAAAATTTAAGATAGAATTTAAAATTTATGTGTTCATATGAATTATTGCACTAATTATTTTACTTACATCTCCTCACTTGTTACTTTTTAGATTTTATAAGTTAAAATCAAAAAAGGCGCAAAAATCTAACATGCCGGAAAATTTAAGGTGCCGCTTCTAATTCTGAACCTGCGTGGATGTTATGCGCGACGATCGATCGTACATCCCGCGCTGTCATTATGCTGTGTCGGTATTATGCCGACCGAGTTTTTCGGTATCGAAAACGACAAATATTTATGTACATTTTAAGTTGATAGGTAATACATAAAATGTAATACCGATGATTTTATGTTTTGAAAAAAATCGTTTTACGTTTTTTAAAAACGAATTTATGTCCTTCAATCACTAATTTTGTTTATATCTCAAGATCGGTAAGAGATAACAATTTTTTTTTATTGAGTTGATAGTTAAATACTACCAGACTGAAGACTATTATACAGTACCGGACATAAATGCTGTGTGATTTTCTATAGGACGGTATAAGAAAATCGCCTGTAGAACCCTTAAAAAATTGAACAGCATTTATGTCTGGTACTGTACTATCTATACACAGATAGTGATGTCTGTTCTAAAATTCCATGTCGTAGTAACCAAAATTATCCCAAAATTATAACCATTTCCGGTTTCACCGCCATTTTGGTTCTAAAGTCGTTGGAATAAATTGTGATTTAAGGTCAAATTTCGGAACACCGGAACGTACAGAATAACCACCAATCAACAAAATCGGAAAATTTTCTTCTCTAACCTCAAAAATAGAAAAAATCGTATTTATGCTTGGATCAGAAAATGAGGGTGTCATTAGAAAGAGGGGGAGGAGACGGTTTCCAAACACTGGCTATCGACTGTATTCATCTTAGCAAAGCTTTTTTTTCTGAACATAACTGGTGGCAAGAGAAGTTATAATAGCTATTATTAGATGCCGGGTTGGCGTGCCATCTTGTGGTCATTTTTATGAATGCTGACAGCATTTCTTAGCTCTCATATGGACTGAACTCGTGTACTGGTCTCTCTTCTTAGACCGCGATTATGCTTTTTTTTTGAGAGGAGAGACGGATGTGTAAATGCTTGTAACTGAATTGTATAAACATGTACGTTCTCAGTTTGCTATATATTTGTGTATGTGTGCTTATCCGATAAAATACCGGTGTACCATACTCAATACAAAATATTTATCTATGTAATAAGTATAATACAATGAATTTAACTTTTTGTACAATGCAAAAGTTCTAGTCGAATTGATAATCATATTTAAACGCATCAACATTTTGATTGATATTCGGAATATAGACTACTAACGCTGCTATTGAACGTCGATATGTTGCCTTTTGTTGCTACACTTTTATTAATTTAACACACAACATTGTGTATTGAATTTTTTTTTTGAATTACATTTATTTATTGTCTTCTTGATTATAACAAATATAATACTCTATTCTTGGATATTACAATAATTTCTATTTTTTAATAATCACAAATAAATAAAGACTCGTATTGTTCACTTGAGCGGACATGTAAAGAGAGATAGTTTCATTAATCAACGATTAATTATTCAATTTAATACGGATTGTACATATTCAAGAATTATTAGTAAGTATTTTAGTACGACTTACGCATATTTCCAGTATGTTTATTTAATAATTGTAGCAAGAAATCATTCATTTATTTTTCTCAATAAAAAAATCTTGTATCAATGCCTATCACGAAGTCACAACGTAACCTATAAAAACATTTTTGACGATTAATTTATCACTAAATTAGTATTATCACACCAAAAACAGCCCTAACGGACTTCACAAAAATACGCGCCAAGTATGAATAACGAAGACGATAATCATCGTTCATCAGATGCGATTTCTATAAAACTTTTTATGCGAACAACTACAAAAATGCATGAAATCATTGCAGCCAAGTATTTAAACATAAAGATTAATTATATTTAATAAAATAAAATAGAAATGTTTTTTTATTTTCGTTAAATTATTATGTAATTTTCTACATAAATCAAAGACAAACTCTTTATAATAAGATGAAAAAGAAATTCAATACATGAAAAAAGTTGACAGCCTTATTACGTATTAAAATTTTAAAAATAGAAAAAAAATTGAATTAAAAAAAAATTTCTCTTTTTTTATAAAAATTTATTTAAACACATTTAACTTGGCGTGGCTATCGATTATATGAACCATCTAATCAATTATCGTTTTATCTACAGCTGTAAGAGCCACGCCAAGTTAATTGTGTTTAAAAAAATTTTTATAAAAAAGAGAAATTTTTTTTTAATTCAATTTTTTTTTCTATTTTTAAAATTTTAATACGTAATAAGGCTGTCAACTTTTTTCATGTATTGAATTTCTTTTTCATCTTATTATAAAGAGTTTGTCTTTGATTTATGTAGAAAATTACATAATAATTTAACGAAAATAAAAAAACATTTCTATTTTATTTTATTAAATATAATTAATCTTTATGTTTAAATACTTGGCTGCAATGATTTCATGCATTTTGTAGTTGTTCGCATAAAAAAGTTTTATAGAAATCGCATCTGATGAACGATGATTATCGTCTTCGTTATTCATACTTGGCGCGTATTTTTGTGAAGTCCGTTAGGGCTGTTTTTGGTGTGATAATACTAATTTAGTGATAAATTAATCGTCAAAAATGTTTTTATAGGTTACGTTGTGACTTCGTGATAGGCATTGATACAAGATTTTTTTATTGAGAAAAATAAATGAATGATTTCTTGCTACAATTATTAAATAAACATACTGGAAATATGCGTAAGTCGTACTAAAATACTTACTAATAATTCTTGAATATGTACAATCCGTATTAAATTGAATAATTAATCGTTGATTAATGAAACTATCTCTCTTTACATGTCCGCTCAAGTGAACAATACGAGTCTTTATTTATTTGTGATTATTAAAAAATAGAATTATTGTAATATCCAAGAATAGAGTATTATATTTGTTATAATCAAGAAGACAATAAATAAATGTAATTCAAAAAAAAAATTCAATACACAATGTTGTGTGCTAAATTAATAAAAGTGTAGCAACAAAAGGCAACATATCGACGTTCAATAGCAGCGTTAGTAGTCTATATTCCGAATATCAATCAAAATGTTGATGCGTTTAAATATGATTATCAATTCGACTAGAACTTTTGCATTGTACAAAAAGTTAAATTCATTGTATTATACTTATTACATAGATAAATATTTTGTATTGAGTATGGTACACCGGTATTTTATCGGATAAGCACACATACACAAATATATAGCAAACTGAGAACGTACATGTTTATACAATTCAGTTACAAGCATTTACACATCCGTCTCTCCTCTCAAAAAAAAAGCATAATCGCGGTCTAAGAAGAGAGACCAGTACACGAGTTCAGTCCATATGAGAGCTAAGAAATGCTGTCAGCATTCATAAATGACCACAAGATGGCACGCCAACCCGGCATCTAATAATAGCTATTATAACTTCTCTTGCCACCAGTTATGTTCAGAAAAAAAAGCTTTGCTAAGATGAATACAGTCGATAGCCAGTGTTTGGAAACCGTCTCCTCCCCCTCTTTCCAATGACATCCTCAATTTTCTGATCCAAGCATAAATACGATTTTTTTCTATTTTTGAGGTTAGAGAAGAAAATTTTCCGATTTTGTTGATTGGTGGTTATTCTGTACGTTCCGGTGTTCCGAAATTTGACCTTTAATAACAATTTATTCCAACGACTTTAGAACCAAAAATGGAGGTGAAACCGGAAATGGCTATAATTTTGGGATAAATTATGCTCGGATCATAATTTTGACAATTGCATTGGAAAGCTCTTGCTTTCAGGAATCTATTGATATGCTTGCTGTCCATGTACCTTCCATAGATCGCGAGTTATCGCCGAAAAACGAAGCTATGCTCCAATAAAACATAAGAAAACCTTTAAACGCTCATAACTCGAAAACTAAGCGAGATACGGCATTTTTGACGGGGATATCCTATAGGGGGGATCGAATTTTTCACTGAGGTCCAGATCTTCAATATGAGCCCTCGATCAACCCCGTAGCATCATTAACATAGAAGTTATGCATATTTTTATGTTTTGCCGTTTTTCAAGAATATCTTTCGATCTATTCAACTAAATATAGTCGATAGCCAGTGTTTGGAAACCGTCTCCTCCCCCTCTTTCCAATGACATCCTCAATTTTCTGATCCAAGCATAAATACGATTTTTTTCTATTTTTGAGGTTAGAGAAGAAAATTTTCCGATTTTGTTGATTGGTGGTTATTCTGTACGTTCCGGTGTTCCGAAATTTGACCTTTAATAACAATTTATTCCAACGACTTTAGAACCAAAAATGGAGGTGAAACCGGAAATGGCTATAATTTTGGGATAAATTATGCTCGGATCATAATTTTGACGATTGCATTGGAAAGCTCTTGCTTTCAGGAATCTATTGATATGCTTGCTGTCCATGTACCTTCCATAGATCGCGAGTTATCGCCGAAAAACGAAGCTATGCTCCAATAAAACATAAGAAAACCTTTAAACGCTCATAACTCGAAAACTAAGCGAGATACGGCATTTTTGACGGGGATATCCTATAGGGGGGATCGAATTTTTCACTGAGGTCCAGATCTTCAATATGAGCCCTCGATCAACCCCGTAGCATCATTAACATAGAAGTTATGCATATTTTTATGTTTTGCCGTTTTTCAAGAATATCTTTCGATCTATTCAACTAAATATAGTCGATAGCCAGTGTTTGGAAACCGTCTCCTCCCCCTCTTTCCAATGACATCCTCAATTTTCTGATCCAAGCATAAATACGATTTTTTTCTATTTTTGAGGTTAGAGAAGAAAATTTTCCGATTTTGTTGATTGGTGGTTATTCTGTACGTTCCGGTGTTCCGAAATTTGACCTTTAATAACAATTTATTCCAACGACTTTAGAACCAAAAATGGAGGTGAAACCGGAAATGGCTATAATTTTGGGATAAATTATGCTCGGATCATAATTTTGACAATTGCATTGGAAAGCTCTTGCTTTCAGGAATCTATTGATATGCTTGCTGTCCATGTACCTTCCATAGATCGCGAGTTATCGCCGAAAAACGAAGCTATGCTCCAATAAAACATAAGAAAACCTTTAAACGCTCATAACTCGAAAACTAAGCGAGATACGGCATTTTTGACGGGGATATCCTATAGGGGGGATCGAATTTTTCACTGAGGTCCAGATCTTCAATATGAGCCCTCGATCAACCCCGTAGCATCATTAACATAGAAGTTATGCATATTTTTATGTTTTGCCGTTTTTCAAGAATATCTTTCGATCTATTCAACTAAATATAGTCGATAGCCAGTGTTTGGAAACCGTCTCCTCCCCCTCTTTCCAATGACATCCTCAATTTTCTGATCCAAGCATAAATACGATTTTTTTCTATTTTTGAGGTTAGAGAAGAAAATTTTCCGATTTTGTTGATTGGTGGTTATTCTGTACGTTCCGGTGTTCCGAAATTTGACCTTTAATAACAATTTATTCCAACGACTTTAGAACCAAAAATGGAGGTGAAACCGGAAATGGCTATAATTTTGGGATAAATTATGCTCGGATCATAATTTTGACGATTGCATTGGAAAGCTCTTGCTTTCAGGAATCTATTGATATGCTCGCTGTCCATGTACCTTCCATAGATCGCGAGTTATCGCCGAAAAACGAAGCTATGCTCCAATAAAACATAAGAAAACCTTTAAACGCTCATAACTCGAAAACTAAGCGAGATACGGCATTTTTGACGGGGATATCCTATAGGGGGGATCGAATTTTTCACTGAGGTCCAGATCTTCAATATGAGCCCTCGATCAACCCCGTAGCATCATTAACATAGAAGTTATGCATATTTTTATGTTTTGCCGTTTTTCAAGAATATCTTTCGATCTATTCAACTAAATATAGTCGATAGCCAGTGTTTGGAAACCGTCTCCTCCCCCTCTTTCCAATGACATCCTCAATTTTCTGATCCAAGCATAAATACGATTTTTTTCTATTTTTGAGGTTAGAGAAGAAAATTTTCCGATTTTGTTGATTGGTGGTTATTCTGTACGTTCCGGTGTTCCGAAATTTGACCTTTAATAACAATTTATTCCAACGACTTTAGAACCAAAAATGGAGGTGAAACCGGAAATGGCTATAATTTTGGGATAAATTATGCTCGGATCATAATTTTGACGATTGCATTGGAAAGCTCTTGCTTTCAGGAATCTATTGATATGCTTGCTGTCCATGTACCTTCCATAGATCGCGAGTTATCGCCGAAAAACGAAGCTATGCTCCAATAAAACATAAGAAAACCTTTAAACGCTCATAACTCGAAAACTAAGCGAGATACGGCATTTTTGACGGGGATATCCTATAGGGGGGATCGAATTTTTCACTGAGGTCCAGATCTTCAATATGAGCCCTCGATCAACCCCGTAGCATCATTAACATAGAAGTTATGCATATTTTTATGTTTTGCCGTTTTTCAAGAATATCTTTCGATCTATTCAACTAAATATAGTCGATAGCCAGTGTTTGGAAACCGTCTCCTCCCCCTCTTTCCAATGACATCCTCAATTTTCTGATCCAAGCATAAATACGATTTTTTTCTATTTTTGAGGTTAGAGAAGAAAATTTTCCGATTTTGTTGATTGGTGGTTATTCTGTACGTTCCGGTGTTCCGAAATTTGACCTTTAATAACAATTTATCCCAACGACTTTAGAACCAAAAATGGAGGTGAAACCGGAAATGGCTATAATTTTGGGATAAATTATGCTCGGATCATAATTTTGACGATTGCATTGGAAAGCTCTTGCTTTCAGGAATCTATTGATATGCTTGCTGTCCATGTACCTTCCATAGATCGCGAGTTATCGCCGAAAAACGAAGCTATGCTCCAATAAAACATAAGAAAACCTTTAAACGCTCATAACTCGAAAACTAAGCGAGATACGGCATTTTTGACGGGGATATCCTATAGGGGGGATCGAATTTTTCACTGAGGTCCAGATCTTCAATATGAACCCTCAATCAACCCCGTAGCATCATTAACATAGAAGTTATGCATATTTTTATGTTTTGCCGTTTTTCAAGAATATCTTTCGATCTATTCAACTAAATATAGTCGATAGCCAGTGTTTGGAAACCGTCTCCTCCCCCTCTTTCCAATGACATCCTCAATTTTCTGATCCAAGCATAAATACGATTTTTTTCTATTTTTGAGGTTAGAGAAGAAAATTTTCCGATTTTGTTGATTGGTGGTTATTCTGTACGTTCCGGTGTTCCGAAATTTGACCTTTAATAACAATTTATCCCAACGACTTTAGAACCAAAAATGGAGGTGAAACCGGAAATGGCTATAATTTTGGGATAAATTATGCTCGGATCATAATTTTGACAATTGCATTGGAAAGCTCTTGCTTTCAGGAATCTATTGATATGCTTGCTGTCCATGTACCTTCCATAGATCGCGAGTTATCGCCGAAAAACGAAGCTATGCTCCAATAAAACATAAGAAAACCTTTAAACGCTCATAACTCGAAAACTAAGCGAGATACGGCATTTTTGACGGGGATATCCTATAGGGGGGATCGAATTTTTCACTGAGGTCCAGATCTTCAATATGAACCCTCAATCAACCCCGTAGCATCATTAACATAGAAGTTATGCATATTTTTATGTTTTGCCGTTTTTCAAGAATATCTTTCGATCTATTCAACTAAATATAGTCGATAGCCAGTGTTTGGAAACCGTCTCCTCCCCCTCTTTCCAATGACATCCTCAATTTTCTGATCCAAGCATAAATACGATTTTTTTTCTATTTTTGAGGTTAGAGAAGAAAATTTTCCGATTTTGTTGATTGGTGGTTATTCTGTACGTTCCGGTGTTCCGAAATTTGACCTTTAATAACAATTTATCCCAACGACTTTAGAACCAAAAATGGAGGTGAAACCGGAAATGGCTATAATTTTGGGATAAATTATGCTCGGATCATAATTTTGACAATTGCATTGGAAAGCTCTTGCTTTCAGGAATCTATTGATATGCTCGCGGTCGTGAGTTATCGCCGAAAAACGTTTCTGTAGTCGAGCGTGTTACCTCTGAGCTGTTACAAAACTATCGAATTGGTTTTATAGCTTCTGTGTATGTTGCGAACAGAGACGGATCTTCTCCATTTAAAAATTGGTGCTTGAAAATAAGCTGACTCATGATTCTTACAATGAGAGTAAAAGAGAACTTAAATCTTATCTTTTTTCTATCTTAGATTGCGGGGCGCGGCTAGAATAAACCGTTGCAGCGCCATCGCTCGATTGGTTTACAGAAACCTTCATGTTGTGACCTGAGATTACCGACATGTTGACCCAAAATACTGACACGTTGACCGAAACTTTGTTCGGATTTTTAACACAGCATTGGACCTTTATACTGGTCTCTTTTCTTTTATTTACGTCTTGTTGTCATTTAGAAAACATAACCTCTAAATTTTTGAGTTTAATGTAGACAGTGTATAAAACACATATGCATGTATAATTTTATAAAATTTTGACATTTATAATTTAGTGTTAACAATCATTAAAATATTTGATAGTCAAACACTAAACCAGTCTCATCAAATTTCTATTATTATTCATATTAATAATGTCGATTAAGATTTTAAAAGATTCTAAACTTGATTAAAGATCATTATGTTTATGCATTTAGCAACAAAAATACTTCAAGAATATTATGTTTGAAAGTGAGAAAAAAGAGATTATTCAGCAAATATTTTTTATTGCAGTGACATCATTTAGTTTTATTAATTAAAAAGATTCTTATTGAATTAATGCAATTCTTTTTCCGAAATTGTGAGGTTATAATAAGCCAAGCATCTAATGGTTCTACCCTTTATTTAGAATCGTCATATATGTACAAGTAACAGTGCAAATGTTTAATCAATAAAACTCTTGAACCATTATATTCCAAGTGATATTTCTGACATGAATACTAAAGATTATAATGTGACTAATTTTGACAAATTTTAAATTGATTACTCCAATCAAAATCCAATATTTATTCAGAAATTAATCGTTATGATCGTATTTTATTTTTTTACGATATATTTTTCATTAAATTGAGAGAAAAAATATTTTTAAAAGAAAATATCAATATTATCAATAAAATAATTATAGTTCAAATATATCAACACATTAAATGTGAAAAAATACAGTTTATTCAAAAAAAACTAACTAAAAGATTCATGAATCATGGCTGGAGTAGTTCCAATGTCTGGAAAACCTTTAAGAAAACAGTGGTTTGTTCACGGTAAATATATATATATATATTTTCTTTTTCAATTTGTATTATTAATTGAAATCAAATTCTTAATCAATAACAAAAAATTTTAGATGGTCCAAGAGGTTCTTTAAGGGGATTGCGATCTCAATTAGCTGAAGATGGTTGTGCTGAATCTCAAGTAGTTTTAGCGAAAAGATTATTAGAAGAAAGATGTGGTAAATATTACTCTATTTAATAATTAGGATTGTAAATTTTATACAACTTTTGAAGTATTTAAAAATTGATTAGCAATTAATCGCGAGTCGAAATACTGACTATATTTTATTTCTTTGTGTAGAATTAGAGGTCGATACTGAAGAGAATGCTAAGTTAGGAGTTTATTGGTTAACAAAAGCTTCAGAACAAGGCAATCTAGAAGCGACAGATATTCTACGACAATGTTTGAAAACTGGTCATGGAATTACTGAACACAATTATTATGACACAAAATGTTGCTTAGAGATGTCTCAAGACGAAAAATTAGCTCGACGAGCAGCTCGAGAGTTATTTATGTCATTATCAAATGGTGAAGATTTCGTAACAATTGACCAATTACGAAGACAACTTAGAATTATAAGAAATCATATACAAAATTCAGCGTGTTCAAGAGCATCCAGATCAACGTCAAGAAAAGAAGAAAATCGATCTTTGGAGTATGGAGAACCATTCGATTTTCATGGAGAAAAAATAACAGAAGCAGCTTTAGTATCAGCAGCAAGTAATTATGCACGAGGATTGCTTCCAGTAATGACTCGTGACCTTTGTACGGTAGATTCGAATAGACTAGCCTTAGAGAACCTTCCATTATTTCATAGACCGTTGATATATCCAATTGAATCGTTAAAATGGCTCTATGATATTATTATCAATTTTTGTGGTCGTCAAAGTACCTGGATTAAGACTTTTTTGTCTTCAAAAGTCTTCACACTAATACTTTTACTAGTATATGCACTTTTTGGCACTGAAAGCCTTATTTTATTTGTTCCGATGGCTTCTTATTACTTTTCTTTCATCATTATGGTAATTGCTACCTTTCAAATGTTATACAGTAAGAGAGAATTAAATGATTTTAGAAACTGGTCTAGGCTTTTTATCAGTTATTCTGGTGGAAATCTAAATTCTGAGGAAGCAGAATATCAATTTTGTAAAAATAATTTAAAACCTTATGGTCATTTTTTCTTAGCATTACTGTTAAATTTAATGATTTATCCTGTTATTGCTCAACAATGGACTCCACAATCAGAATTTACCATTATTGCTTTCGTTTTAACACTTTTTACGCTATTCAATCTTGCTTGCAAAGAACCAGGACACGTCCCAGATTTTCTAGTGTTATTTAGTTTTGCTGTTCATGTTTTAGCAAAATATCCATATGAAACTGATATGGTAGTAGCTCAAACTTGGCGATTTTTAGATATACGAGTGCCAACTTTTGCATCTTATGTTGTAGGTAATGGCATTGAATTTTGTCTCAATTTTCGAGCAGTTTTTTATCTTTTAATTCCGGCTGTTTTTGCAAAAATGGCTGCTAGAGATGGTTGGAAAGGTACTTACAAGACTCTTATACCTCACTGTGTAACTTTAAGTTGGTGGCAAATTGCTATTTTGAGTGCTCAAGGTGCTACGTGGTATGGATTGATTCGAGGAACACTTGGATTAGTTGGTATGGTGCTATTTTTACCAATTGTAAGCATAGCATCAGTTCTACTCCCAATTGTTGCAATTATTAAATATTTATCTGATAATGATTGGGCTATGCGAATTGTTCTCACAGCTATCATCGGTGGTTTGCCTTTTTTAATTTCTTGGTATCTAAAAAAGACCAAGAATTTTCATTATAACTGGCTTATCACCTGGCTTCAACTCATTCTTGGTGTAGTAGCTGGACTGTTCTTATCTTGGCCACTTCTTATTGGATTTATTACAGAAGATAATATTATTTCTTATAGAAATATGGAAACTTTATCTTGGGAAGTCTATCAAAATCACTGTCATCAACCTGCTTGGGAAGAAGTTTCATCTAAAGCTCAAGTTCAGGTTCAATGTGCTCAGTTAGATGGTCTTCCAGTTTCATGGGATGGATATGTCACTAATGTACGTCTTAAATCTATTGATAATAGTTTAAAGAATTTTCTTAAAATCTTTCCGACATCATTAGAAACTAAATTGAGTTGTTTGTTTGGGGAAAATATTGAGAATGAAGAAAATTTATGCAAAAATCTAAATAAAAATCAACAAAAAAATTGTGAAACTATAACAAAATTGCAAAAAAAGATGAAAAAATGTCATCTGAACAATTGGAATAAATATGAATTCGAAATTTATGTTAAAATGAAAAATGGCATTTGGGGAAGTAATGCAGAAATTATTTTATTGGGTGATGATTCTTTTGCGAATTTTAGTCTACATATTTATCCAGGAGATAGAATTCAGTTTAATGGAATTCTATCAAATGACAAAGGAGAAAAGGAGACTTTGTTAGGTGGTATGAGACCACACGTACGTCTTGAAGAAGTTCAATGTCTTCTTTGTCATACATCTGATCTTAAAGCGTATAAACGAAATAAAAAATATCAATTTTCATTGAATCTTATTAGCCAGACATTTATTGTGGGAATGAAGACTGTATTGAATTTTTTATTAAATCCTTTAGTTGTTTTTAAATAAATGTAATTCTGATGTAATGAATATCTGTGCAGAATTTTGTAAATGGGTTATTTGATTGTTTTGTAGGTAGTGAAAATATTTTAATAGCAAATATGATCGACAATATTCGGTAATTCAAAATTGGAAAAGTTACAAAGATTTAAATACCTACAAAGATGATATAAAATTATACATTACTTGTAAAGTACAAAATTCTGTACTTTCATTTATGAAATTTTTGTAAGTTATGATAAATGTATAGTTATGTTCAAATTATTTTCAGTATTAAAATTCTGTTATAAAATTTATGAAAAATAATTTTTTAATTATCGCAGTCATATAATTTATTCAGGTGTTCAGGGGACAAAAGCGTTTGAAAATTTTAAAAACATGACAGAAAAGTGGAATAATTATTTTTTTCAAAATTATACGTATTTTTCATAAATTTTTTTGTAAATAATTTGTGCTAGAAAAGTGCCTTGTATAAATCTATTTTAAATAACTATAATAATATTCTAACAAACATTTTAATTAAATATCAAGAATTTTATTTGGCTTTTGGCAACTACGTTCCATGATATTTTTATACAATATACAAACTTGTTGTATTAAGAGTAAGGATTGATACAATATACATTAAAAAAATTTTAAATGTTTTTCCATAAAAGGTTTCTAAGTTACCAAAAAAAAATTATCCAGTTGTTTATTATGATGATCCACAAAGTTCAGTCGATGTTTCATCAGTATAATTGATGAGAAGTATTTACTTTTAATTTATTTACTATTATTTACACGTACAAATATAAAGTCCACTTCAAGTAATTTCTTAGCCTCGATAAATTCATGTTCGTATTGCAATAGAAAATTTGGAAATAATATAAAGTATTTGAATTTATCGACTATCAAGTCTAAGAAATTATTTAATTGGAATAATTTATAACTTATTCACGTTTTTAAAAACATCATTAACGATTTATCTCTTACAACAATTCACACATGTTTCATACAATATTATTATTCATATTATTCATACGATTTAATTATAAATCATTATTTTTGTGTGCAATCGACTAGTAAAATCGTTTTCTGCTATTTTCTTGATGTTTTTGGTAAAACATTATACCTATTACAACACATGCTATTATTACTAGTGATGCCACGAGCATAAGTAAAAATATTTTAATTCCACTTAGGGATGATGGTTTTGGATCGTCTACATGATCTGTAAAAAAAATTATAAAATTTAATACTATGATGACTTAAAATATTTATTAAGTTGTATAATTATTTAAATTTCTGGAATATTATTAAAATAAAATAAAAACAAACGATAATGACCTCGTGGTGGCTCGAAGAATGTCGCTGAAGGGATAATATTAGACCTATCTTCTGAATCTCTTTCCTATTCATTGGAAAATAATTACAGAATTAGTAATTCGAAATTAGATTTTTTTTAAATCAATTATATATGTGTAATTAATATCAAATAGATAAGGTTAAGTAGATCAAATACAAGTATATAAAATAGATAAACCGTCATCGAAGCATAGTATTTTATTCTTGTAGAATAGTATTCTACTTCTTTAATTGCAGACCTGTTTGATAAGTTAAAAAAATACTTACGGCATTCGGTAATTCAAGTTCAAAAAGACGAACTGAAAAAATGTCATGATTATCAGACAAGTCGCCAGTAGTAGCAGATATACCAAAATGATATCCAGTTGGTAATTTAATTCCATTAACAGTGAAACAAGGTTGCCATGCAGCTTTATTGGCCAAATCCGTTGATACTGATAACAAATACAAAATATTAATAATTGTCAAAATATATTCAATTAACTATTATTTGATATTTTTAATTTTCAAATAAACATTGATTCACATGTTTTTAGTTGTTAATAATAATAATCATTTTTCAAAACATATTATTGATATAAATATAAATATTATTGGAAGTATAGTATTTACCTGTTAATGTATCTCCTTCGTATCTTATTGCAATATGAGTATCATAATTAAGATTACGAAATTTAGCTTCACATCCAGCTAATTGTGTATGAGTTCCATCTCTATCATGATCATAATGCAAAGATCCATTATTTATCATAGCAGATATGTAAGGATGTTGATGCTGTAATTAGATTAATTATTACAACTATTAATCTGATAGAAGATAGAAAAAAATGTTATAACATAATGGGATTTATTTAAGTTGTTAATGATTTAGGGCATTAGTATATAAATAAATTACATTATGAGGTCCATTGTGGTTACTATATGTATCCAGAATGACAGCTAGACCATGAAAATAATCTTTATTTCCAAAAACAGGTCCGCTTTCCTTTTTCTCTTTAGCATACCAGATTGCTAAACCATCGCCATATAGATCTTTTCCTTTACCATGAACTTTAAAATTGACTTGAAGTTCCCAGTTTCGAACATTGCATGGCTGAAAAATATAAATGTATATTTAACTTCAATAATTCTTACATTAATCTTTAATAATGATAATACAGGAGTTAGACTTTAAAATTTGATGTGAAATTTTAATATTCAGTCTGAAAATAAAATGAAGTAAAATACTTCACATAAAAGTGAATGAAATAAAATAATATTAATAATTATTATACCACTGTGTTCCAAATAGCTCCTTGTTGGCTTTGGAGATCAGGAGTAAGTCTAATGTAATTTTCAGTAACTATAGTACTACCAGTAAAATCCCAGTAAGGAATAGTCATACCCATACCTGTAAAGTATAATCACTTTATTAACACGTGTACATTTTTGAATAATCTTCAATTAAATTAATGTACATTTTAATGAATAGCTTTGTTATAACATAATTATACAGTATATAATGTAACTTAATAACAGCTTCCACGTTAATAGTTTTTAGTTGTAAAATTATCAAATTTATGTTATATCTGATATTTTGATTAATTAGAAAATACTTTTCTTGACTAAAAATCACTTATAAAATATTTATTTCTCTTTTTTCTAAAGATTAAAAATATTACTGTTGATAATAATTATAAAGATTTATTGATAGTAAAATGATATGTAATTAAAATGATTAAATGAAATTCTAAGATAGGTTTCAACATTTAGAGTACATATGACATCTAGATGTAATGTTTACATAAATTCCTTGTGAATTTAAATATACACTTTGACTTTAGTGAATGAGGTTAGGTTAATTAGAATAATTAATTAATTCAAAAAAAGTGAACCTTGGTAAGGTCTGATGAGGGAATGTTCTCTTTTCATAAAATCTCGAGTGTTCCATTCAGCTGACTCGGCTCCCACGACCTCCAGAATGCCCAGAATCACCACAGAAGAATACCATGAGAAACGCATTTTTCTTTCACTTTTTTATGCTTTTTAACTTTCACAAACATAAATATGAGAGTATACGTTAGAAAAAAATATTAATTTAAATTACAATGCGATAGATGCTTTAATGTTAAGTCACTATTATAATGTATCATCTGACGCACAGCAGCACATATTATTGAATTACCAATCAGTGAACGACACAAACTGCCACGACATATGGCTATAATTTTTCCCCCCGAAATAGAGCAAATACGTATGCCAAAACGTTTGGTTTACTGGTTGTTGGTAACATCATAATCTTAAAGTTTGATTATTATTATTAATAATCAATTAACAACTTAATATTAATGATAAATTTATAATTTATATTTAAAGTTCTAGTGTTAATTCAATTGTGAACTTGGTGAAAAAAATTTATTCAATTTAAATTGATATGTTTTGATTTTGGAGTAGAGGTTAGCTTGAATTTTGGAGTACAAAAGAAAGTGGCGCGCGCATGGAAAAAAATAATCAATAACAGTATTGTCGGGTTCTGATATTGTGCAATCAGCTATTTCGATCATTTTTTACAGTGCCGGCCGGTGTTTTTTTTTGTCTTTAACCGGTGTATAACCCGTACATTTTATAAAATTATTAAGTTGAAAAAGTCGATAAACATGAAAATAAAAATTGGTTAAAGGTTTGTATAAAAAGTATTTTTTCTACTCACTTTTTATAATAATTATTTCAATCAAGAAATTGAATATTTGTTTTAATTATCGTTTCTTAAAAATGTTATACACAAATAAATTACTTTACTATTTTCAAATATTAAATAAATTTTACTTTTAATTTGGAAGAAAATATACTTTGATATTAAGAAAATAATAAATGTGTAACTCATTAAAGAAGCATTTCTATTACAATATTTAATTGATATAATTAATTAATTAAAAATAAATAAGACATTTTATTACACATTTTAACATTAAAAGTTACATGAATCATGGTGTAGGCCTATTGGGGATCCCGCCATGTAAAACAATGGGGACGCATCTTGGCACAGTACCCCCTTGGGTGATGAGGAAAACTGTGCTGTTTATTCTTTTCTTTATGCTTATTATTTCAATTAACTTTTAACCCTACTACCTACTGCTTATCATAACTCTCATCTTGAATTAATAAGCTTGAAACTATTACACATTCCATTTATTTAATCTTAATATTTATTCATATCTCATACTGATCATTTTTTGCTGTGACTATGAAGTTCAAACAGTAATAAAGTTAACTTCTATGCATTCAGACTCAATTTGTTTTCAAAAATGTTTATACAAATCAGTGAATATTATGAGCTTCATTTGACATTAATAATATATTTCACATTACAGAGATAATTAAACAAGTAATTCAATTATAGAAAAATATAACTGTGAATAAAATTCACAATTTCTTTTAATTGACATATTTTATTTAATTGCTATAAAATTTATTTCCATTTTGTGGATTTGATTTAAAATGATAAATATATCATGGCATTTTTTGGAGCACTTTCAAGAGTTTATAATGTAAACATGATATTAACTTAATAATATGGTAATATAAAAGAATTTAATTTTGAATTCAATGCACTTTCATGGAGTTTTTTATGATACAAAAAAAAATTTTCAATTAATTTAAAAAAAATGTCTTTTGAAAGCAAAAATGTCTTGAAATGATAGGGTACTAAAAAGTGAATATTTATTAAATCATGGACATTTTTCATCATCAGTTAATACAACAAAGTATCCAGTTGATTTATGATGGTAATATGTAAATATGATCTTAAAGTTAATCTGAAAGATCAACGATTTTTGATATAGTTAAAGCGATTTAGATGAATTGGAGGTCCAAAGAAGAAATAATCAGCAGAATGAAAAAAATTGTAGCAGAGAAGAAGCTGCACTGCAGGACATTGGTAAATGAAAATAAGGAGATTTTTAGGCCACTGCAGCGAGGGAGAAGTTAGTATGAAAGAAAGAAATAAAGAAAGAGAGAAGGTATGCACACAGATCGAACTCAGAGGGGGGTAAAGGAAGAAGCCAGTGCCATGCCGTGCCGGGTAAGTAGAAGTCAGCCGACAGACGAGTGAAAAATGAAGGGAGATATCTCGCCTTCCCTCCCACTCTTCTTACTCTTGCCCCTCAGGCCCAAATGACTCCAGGCGAGCGAAGATAATTGCAATAAGAAGAAATCGAGCCGAATGCATCAGCGAGTAAGTACAAGCAATGCGTCGGGCAACGCCATCAAGGTGCACCGAACTATATGACCCAGTTGTATACAATACGCTTTTACAATCATAGTCAAAATTATTCTGATTACTTTAACCATTCACAGCTACTGGATAATTGAGTACACTTGTCAATGGTCAGTGAGTGCTTAAATTATTATGTTATGTAATTAGTTAAGACACTATTTTACATTTTTTTTTTTCTTTAAATATTTATTACTTAAAAATTATTTTGAGACTTATAATCATTTTAAGGATTTTATTATTGAATATCAGTTTTGCTTTTAAAAAAATTTTTTTCCCAAAAAATAAATTAGAGATCATTACTCTGAAACAATAAATTTTTATTCATTTATTTTCAGAGTATAGAATAATACTAATATATTATTGAAAATTAAAATAATTTTTATTATAAAATATGTATTAAAATACTAGTGTAAATTGTGAAATTATATAATCATGTCATATCCAAAAAGGAAAAAAATGTAAGACGTGCATTGACATTGAGATGTATGTGTATGAATGATTCATGCTGCAAATAGAAAAAAAAAACCATCTGTAGCAGAATGACGTATTGCTTCCCAACAATGATTTTTATTTAGTACATAAATAACATAGTTTATTGTATGTAAATGTTGATTTTATTTTTTCTAATCAGAAATTCAACTTCTCATAGAAAAATAGCTATTTCCACTTACTATTACCCTTTATATGATGCCTTTGAGTCATGATAAAATTCACGATATTCTCAATATACTTTTTTTCCAATCAAAGGCTTGTTTCATGAATAATAAGCTTTCACCTCTACATATAAACATGATATTTGTTTTGTTAGAGAATAAAAAATATTTATAATAAATTGTTAATAATTTTTTTTATTACAGTATAAATATAAGGATCAAATTATATCATTAAAATTAATTTGATTGGTTAAGATTTATTTACTGCTAAAAAAAAAATTCATAATTTCAAGTACAGTTATTTAAAATGGTCATGAAAATTTTACTTTCTTTATTATGAGTCAACTGGCATATTTAAATAACAGAATATATTATTGAAAACAATTGAAAAATTAAAAAAAAAAAATGGCTACAGAGTGTATGAAAAATTGTATATATATATATTATTAATCCATGATCTATCTTTTTAATATATTACGTGAGTATAAACAATTTGTAACCAACCATTGAATTATCGACTTATGAAACTCTGAGAATTTATTTTTCTTCTTCAGCTTAAACATTTTTTTTTATATCCAAATTTTTTGTTTCATCGTGATCCTTTCGATCCCCTCAAGTCTTTTTACAAACCGGCAATTACAAAGATTACTTTTTTAAATTACTTGGGTGCACGCGAATCATCATCTTCAAAGATCGCATCTGGTTTACCATATTTCTTTTGCTGTTGTTCTCCGTCATTTTCGAACAAAAAGTGAAAAAAAAGGTTCAAGAAACATTTCGAGTGTTATTAAACTTACACATTTGTAGAAATATATTGATTTAACTGAAAGTTTATCTAATTTTGACAATTAAAGGCAATTATTTATTTTGATTCCATGATAAATATTGATTATTAGTTTCCGTATAATTAATAATCATATAATTATTCTAAAATAATATAACATTTCGATGCTAATTACAATGATACGGTTGATAGTTGAAAAGTATTTTTCATTTATCAAAATAATATCATACATTGTGCCGCTACCTCTATATGTTCTTGACAATATCCAGAACGGAACGAACTGCGAATCGCATTTTTCATCCGGCCGCTTCTTTCTTAATTGGGCCTCAATGGCGATAAATATGTCCGCTTGTTGGATTCTCTTGGCCTCGAAAAAAGAGGAAATGGTCTTAAACTAAAATTGAGGATAAGAGAAAATTTTACTTAACCATCCAATTAGGTGATAATGAGTAGGTACCTTTACCTCCTTTTTCATCATTTATATACAATAAATACGTTTGTTTAAGTACATGCATTTGTCCTTGGTTTTAAACCATTGTTTTGTCACCTATTGAGTAATAAATACACCATAATGTAATCTGAATACAAGTTATGAGTGACTATTTAAATACTAAATCATTTTATAATTATAATTATTTTGAATGGCATTTAATTATGACATAATAATGATGGAATTTTCTAAAAAGAACTCATTAAATGATTATTATCATTATTGTAATGATTATTATTATATAATTAATTATTTATTTGATGTAAAAGAGAATTATCAATGATTATGATAGTTTTTCTTAACTAAAGCCGCGTAACCTGGTGATCTAATTTCCATAAGAAAGAGTTTTAAAGTAAAGAATGTTGACAAACGAAATTGTTCAGGTGTCTCAGAAATACGTGTCTCTTGTCTCTCAGAGTCTTGTATTTCTTAGTTAGTAAACGTACGTTGACGAAGTAAGTCGAGTAAGCAAAGAAGTTAAATGAGGAACGCACATGTGGCCTACTTGAGAGAATGTCAGAGATGCAAGAAGATGAAAAAGAAGACAAACAACTGATGAGGAGAAAAATAAAACAATATAAAATCACGAAAGAGAATGACATTTCTTATTCTTATCAGCTTAATCTATACTGTAAATGCCCATTATCTATAACTCACTTTAGTCATATGTTCTTGCATTTATATTATTATATTTACTTCAAGAAAATTTATTTAATAATCAATTTATTTATTTCTTTTTTAAAAATAACATGTTTATAGTGATTCCTTGATTGATTCTTGTAAAATGTCAAGAAATATTTTTACAATGAAAATCTGTTAATTATGAGTAAATCATTTCTGTTATCAAAACTTTATAATCATTAGCTTTCTCTATTGACCAAAAGGGAGAAAGTTTCAAGTATTAAACTGAGAACAATTAAATTCTCCCTCATTATTAATACTAATCACTGTCATAGTTAATCATTATTAACGTTGAATTATTTTCTATGTAAGTCGTTTTTTGCAAAAATTATAAGTAATGGTTTGACTTTATTAAATTAACATCATGAATTTTTATTGATATTTATCGTATATGAATTATTTACAAGGTATAATGACTATTATTAAATAATAAAAATTTAATTTCTTTAGAAACTAATTACAGTTTAAGCTATCTAACATAATTTGACTTTATTTTAAGTTTTATGTTAAATTAAATATGAATAAATTTTCATTAAAAAAAAATTCTAAAATTTTGTTTTTATTTCAACATAATGTATGGTTTATTATATGTAATAATTAAATTTTTTATTTTTATAAATAAGTTCTTATCGATAATCTTGGAGCTTAAAAATACAACATATAATAAAAGTAAATCTTTAAATCAATTATAATCAATGACTAATAATAAAAAAATAAAAGAGACAAAGAGACAAAATGTCAAATTTATTGTGTAAAGTATCGCGACGTTTTCTTGAAACGTCTTCCCTCTTGAAACTTTCACCAAATTAGCGCATGGCAAGGAAACTAGACATGAGGATAGCTGTTGCGTACAATCATATTAGATGGGGCTGCTTTAGAGCCCGCTTTCGCTTTCGAAATCATAGCGCAGCAATTGGAAAGACTTGCGAGCTGAATTCAAATACATTTTTTTCTTCATTCTTTAACTCCCAGCTTATGTAAATAAAATGTCTATGTATGTATAAATATTATTGCTTCATCATTATCATTATTTATTATTAGTATTATTATTATTAGTAGTATTATCATTATTATTATTATTCGAAACTTTCTAGAAAAATCTATTTTTATTCTATTCTATTTTTTTTATCACGAAAATGTTTAATTTATAACAATAAAAAAAATACAACACAATCAAGCCATATTTTCACGTTCATCTCAATTGCATTTGATGTATTAAATACATTTGTTCTAATAATTAATAATGAACTTATCAGTCTCAAGCTTTCAAATTTAAAAATAGTAATTACTCTTCAATAAAGCAAACTAGTATTATATTACGGTGTTTATGATCTATTATATAGATGTGAAATGGGTTATGAATGAGTTTTAATCACAATCATGTTCTGTCAATTGAATATAATAAAATAGTTATATCCATAGAGAAAGTTTGAATGAATGTAAAAAGTATTATTAAAAAGTATTGAAGAAATAAAAAATCTATTATGATATTTTCTCGATGATAAATACAATTTTCACTGATTGTAAATGATTGTGTTAAATAGAATTGATTATTTATTTTATTGTTTACTGGAAACTAGAATTACTTATTCGTTTATTAGTTATTAATACAATGAAGATAATTATTTATGTGTAGTATTATTAAGAATGATCATTTTAATAATAATTATCTAATTGATTAAAGTATTATTCATGAATAAATTTTATTTAAAATAAAAAAAAATATTCATAATTAATTAATGATAGAAGAAATATAATGATATCGAAGTATTATGCAGAAATAATGGTCAGTTTCCGGTTTAATAAATTCGCTATAAAGAGATCAATTGAGAAAAAGTATAATTAATTTAATTAATAAAGTCACAATAAAATTAATTATTTTAGTTTTCCCTCCATTTAGTGAATTCCAACAAATTTTTTTTACAAAAGCACAATAATTTTTAAACCAGCAAAAAATTAATTAATTTTGGTTGAAATAAATAAGCGGTAATGTTCATTTCATACTTACCCTACATAATGTTTTTCAGCTTCCTCAAAATAATTATATCTTCTTTCAACAATTGTCATACCTAAACATGCTTCATAAATGTTTTTACAACGTTGGAATGTCTTTGGGAATTTTATTAGCAGCTTACCGTTTCCTCGAAAAAGAGAAATGAACTCGAAAGTATAGTACAAGTAAAGTAATTATGAAGAAAGATGAAGTAAAAATATGACAAGTGTAAAAAGCTACCGTTAATCGTTTTCAGGACATTTTCCTTAATGACCTTGAATGCAGATCAAGATTTATAGGAAAGAGCATTGAAAGCAAAAAAATAACAAGTACTTACGTACGTTTATGTATCGAGAAAAAGAGGAAGAGAAGGAGGTGAAGAAGGTGGTATCGAAAGATGAGAGCAACTCATGAGTGTGACGGCGGGCGCCGTCGTCTCGGCGCGTTGGGCCTTAGGCAATGTTATAAGCAGGAGAAGTGGTAGAAGACACCGGGGAACCACACGGCAATCCTCGAGTCTCGCTAGTTGGTCAGTACCTTCAGTGGCGTTATGCCAGGAAGGCCTCGTGAATCTCATCATTAACCTTGTACAGTACGCTTTTATTTATTTCGGTAACTTGATCACTTCTGTTTCGTTACTTTCACTGTTACTTAAAACATTTACATGTCCTTCTTAATCTTATTAGTGATTCTCTAGTCATGTTTATTGTTATTTACACCTCGCCCTGGCGAGATTACAGTGCTCTAGTGTCAAAGTGTATGAAAACAACATCCGAAATAATTGAAATAATTTATTAGACGAAGACTTGATTTTATTGACGGTGGTGTTTTGATTGAATTTTTGATATTTTTCAACGGGGTGATATTAGTAGAGGAATGAACCGATAAAGCTGCAGGTCCTGGGACACGCATATGGGGTAAGTAACTGAAATGTCTATAAATAAGTGAAAACTGATAAATAAGAGAAGATGTGTTGATTCTCACTTGGGAATCCTCTTTATATTGCGGCAAATATGTGTCACTTTTTACGACACCGGATTGCGGTGGCCGTTGCGGTGGCCGTGGCCTCGAACCCCATAACATCTATCTGGAGAAAGAGAGATAGTTTAAGAGGAAAAGAAAGACGCGTGCACATGCTCGATCTACAGAACCAGAGTCTTATATACAGCCGGCCCAGTTTTCTTCCGTGCTCAAGATACTTTTTATCTCACGTACGTAAACCAATTGTGACTGATAAAGGGTAATAAGTTTCTCGTCGAAAACTTGATGGTTTTTGTACCGTTCAACTCACATATATGTATTCAATATCATTGATTATTTTTAAACCCTTTGTCATCATTGACACTTTATTCAATATGATTTTTGTTCCCTTCAAAACTTTAAATCAAATTTATAATCATCATTTTAGATAATCAAATCATCATTTCAATGAAAATACATTGTTTTTTTGCTACAGAATAATTATTGTTAATAAAAATTTTCATTATTATCAATCAATAGAAATGATTTGTTTTTTTATTATAAAAAAAGGAAATGAGTTTTATCTAAAGTAAAGGTTCATTAGAAATCATCGAAGCTATTATTTTGCTGACTAAACACGACCTAACACAATCTCAGTCAAAGTTAAACCAATGAAGTAGACCAAGACGGGTATCAAGTCTACTAATCGGCAGGTTTTAACGGGCTTATCATTGGTGTCTGATAAACACCTAACTGACGAAATTAACTTGAATACTTAAAGCTTACGGCATATATTCTTATACTGCTAGTGTACTCTTAATACTTGGCTGCACATGTCTCTGGTGTATACCAAGAGATATAATCCGCCGCACTTGCGTATGTAACCCTCTCGCTTTTCCCGTTATATTTCTCGTGCAACCGCGCCCGTAAACTTCCTAAGACTAAGTAGCCACACGGTATTGGCCTGAAGCAAGTGCAACAACACCAGCAGCACCAGCAATCGCATCATATACCAGATGCTTTCGAAAAATTAATATCTCCTTCTCATTGCTATTCACCCACGGTCCTATCCTAACTCTCTACACCTTCCTTTTCTTGCTTTTTTTTAACCAATTCGTCACGCTATTATGTTCTTGTCATCCTCTTCAATTATAAATCTAGACATTAAAATTATCATTATCATCACTATCATCATCATCATTATCATAATTATTGAGTTTTTTTTTTGGTTGTTTTGTTCTACTTTTCAACTGAAAATTTAGTTTTGACTGAAAATTTTTTTTTCTTCAGCTTTTTATAAACTATTTTTCATTAAAATTTTTATTTTAATAGGTTTATTCTTAATTTTGACTTCTATATTGTTTCTTTTTTTCTTTTATTATTATTTATAAAGACAATTATTCAACTAATAATAGTCTTTTACAATTACCGTACACAATGGTGACAGCTAATTGAGAACAAAAATTATTGAAAATAATAAAATTTTAACAATTGTTTAATTAATAATCAAAAAAAAAAAGACTAACATTATTTTATAATATAATATCACTGTAATAATAACATTGAAATTAAAAATGTTATAGTCTTCTTCTTATTGAAAGCATATTTTTATCAGAAAAATGATTTAAAAAATGATTGATTCAATCTTTATGAATACTTAAAGTAAGTTGAGTTCATATAATTACAACTGATACGGTAAATGATTAAACTAATGACACAATGATTGATTAAATTGTATTCTGTAGACAGTAAGTAGATTAATCAATCAATGAATCAACGCCTAGACTATTTCCTAGTTGTATACACTAAACACTGTGTTAATTTAGTGGTCGATAAAATCAGTGGGATACGAGAGTTAGCTGGTATTAGGTCAGTCGATTCGATTGGATAAATTCCTGCGGTTAATCATTTAATCCTTTAGGGAAACCGATGAGGCGATGGATGGAAGAGAGCTCGCTCGAGTAGCAGACATCAATTTATATATACTTTTTCAGTCTTTAGTTTCATTTAATTTTTTTTTCACGGCCCCTAAATTACGATCAGCTTGAGGGCACATTGAGGGGTTCCGCTCTCGCTTCATCCTTCTTCTCTACTTTATTCGTTTGTCTTTGTTATGATTATTGAGATTATTGTGATCCCAATCCCGTGAGCCCGACTGCCCGAGTCACTGTACGGCCTTTACTCCCACCTTACATCGCCGGCTTCTACACGTGAGTTGTATAAGCACGTGGTAACTTAGTACCGGTACTTTTCGTAATAATTCAGATTAAACATTGTTATCAAATTAGCATCGAAATATTTCATATTACTGTTGTATATTTTAGGAACCAGCATGCAGTGGATCGGTTTCATGGCCACGATTCTCTGGTGGTCGAGCGTCGTCAGGTGTCTCAACACCCTAAATCGAGGTCACAGTTAGTAGAAATTTTATTTCTTATATTTATCTGTTAACTGCAACTTGATTAATTGGAAGACAATTCATTATTGATTGGAAAGAATGGAATTTTATTTCTTTCTTAAAATTAAAAACAATTTATTTTTAATAATTGCGAATTACTTTTTACATTACTCAGTATAAGAAAAGAAATTCATAAAGTATATTTGCTAAAATTATTATCTAAATAATAATCTTTGAAAATATCCTTGAAATTATTCTAAGTAGAAGATGCAAAATAATTTCTTTATGAGTTATGAGTGGTCAGAGGAGTCTGAAAGAATGCATGATGAGTCAGAGAAAGTCCTTAGGACGAGTTGCAGTTAAAGAGAAAATAAAATTTATACTAAAGATAATGAGTTTCTAGGCTACAAGATAACTCCAAAGCCCTGTCGTGTGGCCGGTCCAGATGGTGGAGCAAGTTTGCATGGCACATGTATGTTTGTGTGGGAATGTATCAGGTCTCAAGGTACTCATGTAGGTGTTTGCGTGGATACATTCATGTTTGGCAGTTGTTGTGTTCTTAGTAACAATGAAACAACATCAACGTCAACGTCAACAACAACAACAAATTTGGTTGATACTCAACAGTATACATCATCCGTAACTTCAACTGTCGAGCCATCCAGATTGTCTGACACTACGATTAAAGAAGTCGTGACAACGACTCAAAGGCCAACTGAAAATATTCTTGAGACTACGAAACCGAGGCCGGATTATTCGAGTTTTATTAACAGGCCAAAGAGACCGCATTCACCTTCTTACAATTTACAATCAGTACCAGCAAGACTTCCTGATGATGGAAAAACCCAAACAGCCGATCAACCTGAGAACAATCAACGAATGCGACCTAGTGAAGGTTTTCTTCATGTTACTAAGCCAGAACGATCACCGTCGTTTACTAATGTACCACCTCCACCAGAACCGCCTTCTTCCGGTCTTCATTATATCACTGAAAAAGAAGAGGACAATGTAATTACTGTGAGTCATAATCATTTTGAAATGAAAGGATTGATTAAAAACTTTGGTTTAGTGAATAACGCTGTCCTAATTTTTATACGCCTTAAGCAATTTATTCAAATATTATGGATGATGATTTCATATTAAAATACATATTCTCTTTATAAATTTCTAATTATTTATTCTCGTAGAACACACCTTTAAATTTCATTTGACTTTTTGAACTGTAATATCTTTAACTTTTTTTTTATATTCTCTAGGAAATAGCTGGAGATCGTATTACAGCGGCGAGCTCAAATTCTATAAGAACAGAAAAACCACCAGCTCATTGGTTAGCAACAAATGATCCATTACATGGATCTACCTTCTACTCTAGTGTTAAAACTCAAACTTATAGACCTGGATCATCATCATTTAATCATCACACATCTACAGAAGAAAGACCAAATTTCGTGTCAAAACCAGATAACATGCATAAAAAACCAAGCAAAGTTTGGACAACATTCAAACCAACTAGTACAGAACAGAGGTAAGGTATATTCTTTTTGTTTGCTTCGCATTATCTCTTAATTAATTAATTTATGTTAATTAAATTCCTAGCATGGCTGAATCACTGCAACCAACTACACACTGGTCAGTTACGACAGAACCGGCTTTTATTACAAAACAAAAATATCCAAGTTCAGGATTATCATTAGTTAATCGTCCGAGTGATTCAAATAATTTTTGGGCTGATAAACCTTGGACAACAGCGAAAGATAAACGGCCATGGTCTAATGATGGAGATCGTGGAGATGATAATGAAAATTCAATGAAAAAACCTGACCAAGAGGTTTGTACATCTGACATTGATTTAAATTTGTTCAGTGCTCCATGAAATCGATTTTTTTCACCGCAATGGAATCTCCTGCCAATACTTTCTAATTCCAATTCAAGATACATTGGAAATCCACTGTTATTCTATCTTCTTTCCGGATTTTTTTTTCCCACCTCCTCCTCCTCCTTCTTATTTAGTTGCTGCCAAGTACGTCCAAGTTTCCACACTTTTTACTTATCAAGACGCTTTCTCAAAGATCCGTTTTCTCTTGTATTTAGAACACACCAGTAGAATATGGTAAGCCTCATCATGGTTCAGCGAATCACTACATCACTACAGCCGATCTTGGGTCATTGGTCAATTCAAAGCCTACTCGTAGACGAACACCACAGCCACCAAGAATAGCAGCTACAACTACAAGTTACTTCAACAGTAACAATTATAATTTACATGGTGAAACATCTACAAAGCCTACTACGACTTTAACTGCTAAAACAACTACAATACCTTCTACAACAACGCCAATGATTGTTACATCAACGACAATGTCTTCAATTCCAACGACTCGAAAAAATCCTCCAGGGTCCATTCCAACTATTTCAGCAGTTTCTGGGCAATCTGTTGAAGGAAAACATGTAACACAATGTGGAATACCTCCTCTTTTTCCCAGACCGGAAACTAGAATTGTTGGTGGAAAGGATGCACCATTCGGAAGATGGCCTTGGCAAGTTTCTGTTCGCAGAACTTCATTTTTTGGATTTTCAAGTACTCACAGGTGCGGTGGAGCTGTTTTAAATGAAAATTGGATTGCTACTGCTGGTCATTGTGTTGATGAGTGAGTAGGCATCCCCGTTATTATGCTAATCTGATAAGTGTTATGGGCTTGAGTTATTACAATACATTTTATTACGCCCAATATGATTATATTGGTTCTTGTCCATAATCTCCGTTTTAGATTTTATCGTTAATTGAAATTTGATTTGCTATTATTCATTATTGATGATGTAAATTGCGATTATTATTAAAATAACCTCGTACATAATATTTTTCCTCTTTTTGTGTTAATCGATGGTTTTAAATAACCACGTACACATTGTGAATATCAAGTTGATGGTCATCATTAATACTTGTGAAAGTGATCTGATGAAATTCAACTTAATAACTCTTGAATGACACAACTCTATATTGTTGTTATTATAACAATCTACCGTACATGTTTATCATTCTTAATTTCTTTCTCTATATTTCTCATAGTTTATAATGTTGAATTATTGAAAGTAAGGTGAATTTAGAAAAAGTCGTATCAATTTATTATTTCTTTCCAGCTTATTAACCTCGCAGATAAGGATCAGAGTAGGTGATTATGATTTTTCTTCAGTTCAAGAAAGACTTCCGTACGTTGAACGAGGAATCGCAAAAAAAGTTGTGCATCCGAAATATAATTTTTTCACTTACGAGTACGATTTAGCTCTCGTGAAGTTGGAAACTTCATTAGTTTTTGCTCCTCATATATCGCCAATTTGCTTGCCTGCAACTGATGATCTTCTTGTTGGAGAAAATGCTACAGTTACTGGTTGGGGAAGACTTTCGGAAGGTGGAACATTACCATCAGTACTTCAAGAGGTACAATTAATCAATTATAAACTACTAATTAAGTCGATTAGTATAAAAAACTATAAATAATAACAACTTTAGTTTTTATAATTTGGTTAAAAAATTATAAAAATAAATTGAGTTTATTCATCTTAATACTCGATTATTTATTTTTCAATAGATTGAAATATTATTATTAAAAATGATATTGTTCATCTTCACTAATCTCTAATTTAATTTACAGGTTTCCGTACCAATTGTTAGTAATGATCGATGCAAATCAATGTTCTTACGTGCAGGAAGACATGAGTTCATTCCTGAAATATTTTTGTGTGCTGGCTATGAAAATGGTGGACAAGATTCATGTCAAGTAAACTAAAGTTCTATTACTACTATTAATCATAAATATAATTGTATACATGATTTTAGAAGATATTCATGACTTGAATTTGTTTTAGGGTGATTCTGGTGGTCCGCTCCAAGTTCGTGGTAAAGATGGGCGTTATTTTCTAGCAGGAATTATTTCCTGGGGAATCGGCTGTGCCGAAGCAAATTTACCTGGTGTTTGTACACGTATTTCAAAGTTTGTACCGTGGATTTTGAAAAACGTGTCTTGAAAAACGAGCCAATTTATTTGTTTCTTCTGCGTCGTCAATTGTAAACATAAAAAGACACAATATTAGATAGTATATTCTATATATACATATATATATATATATGAATATATTATAAATATTATATATAATAATTATAATTAATATTATAAATGTATTTAAATTTATTATTAATGCATAAAGATTATATATATACATATATATTATTAATTACAATTTAAAGAATTATGTTTAATAAATTTCAAAATATGCACACTCTCTTTTTTTAGATAATGTAAAGACGCCAAAGTATAAAGAACGTTTTTTATCTATTTTAAACAGTTTTGGTGTTTTCATCTATTTCTTAAAATTCACAAAAATGACTACGCTAATAATAATATTATGTTAAATGATTTAATATAAATTCTAATTTACTGTAATAAAAAACAACCTTTTTTAATTTTTTTTATTCTTTTACCTTGAAGCCTTAGTATGATAATTATTTTTTATGATAAAGATTGTGGAGTATTAAAATTAATGACTTATTATTTGAAATAATTGAGAGTCTTAAAATATGGTAAAGATAATGTTCCTTATGTTAAAATATACATTTACACATAATCTTTATATAATTCTTGAGTTAAGAGGATCATCAATACGTCCTGCTATCAGAGAAAGTGATGTCTCAGCATCCACAATAAAAAAAAGAAATGGGCGATCAGCAGTAAACGGGATTGGTTCTTTTATACCAAGAATATTTTCTGGAAAAAAAAATAACAAATAAATTGAGTAAAAAATTTTTTTTAGTTACAATTAACAAAAAATCAAAATGATCTTTTATCAGTTTTCATTTGTACAGTAATTATAATCATTAAATTAACGGATTTTGTAGTCAATGATCTGTATAAAGTTACAACTATTTTTAACAAATAATTTTAATGGTGGTAATAACAAAGATGAAAAAAATGCCTTGACAACTTTAACGTCCTCGTAATTTATTTCGTTGAAAGCAAGGCTTCGTAAAAAAATTTGTAGTGACTCAGAGTTGAAAGAATATCGATTATTAAATATTACAAGTTTACGACAATACTGAGAATATTTGTTAGTTCATAACAAACACGAGAAATGCATTGCTAAATGTATGTTCAAATATTTAAGTACTTTATCCCAAAAATGGCTAAACATAAATTATTAGACTAGACAATTAAAAACGTTTTGTTAGAATAATTTATTTTACTTTATACTAATTTATCAAATTAAATTTCATTAATTTCAATTATTATGATTTAAATTCTTTTCTGAATTCGGACATTTGTTTAGTGATAAATATTTATCTGTATTTTTCAATAAATATTTTTATGTTACCTGCAGGATAATATTCGTCTTTTTTGATAGATGTGTTTGTTGAATTATCACCATTTTCATTCCCTTTCAAATAATTTCTAATATTTACACCGATACTTTGATGGACATCTCTAGCGTAGATTCCCAAATCAGGACTCATTGGTGATAAATCAGCAGCTCTCGGCTCAAATGCATCTTTAATTCCTAACTGTTGAAGATAAGGAGTCAACGTAATAAATCCACGAAGCATAAATGAAGGAATTGTTGCCTTAACCCATGTTGATCTCATAGAATTTCTCAGATATCGCAAACTTTTGGAAGGAAAAATTCTTGTTAAGGTTTGAGCGTCTACATCATCAGTAGGTACCATAATAATCATATTGTACCTTGGATCCTTAAAAAAACAAGAAAAAATTAGTTACTTATAACCGAATAATTACTAATATATCATATTTTGTAAATAATTGCCAAACATCTAATGGAAATTCCAATCCAATTGCATGAAGAAGAGGAAAATATGCAAATGGTAAAACTGTGGTATAAGTAACAGTGGTTATAGAAGCAGCATCACAGCCATGCACCAGAAATTTCAATTCTGTCGTCTGCTGGTCCATAGATTCTTGAAATTCATCATCAGATGTTGGATAGTCTTGCCAAGTATTTAAATCATCAAACCACACAGGAAGTAATCTTCTGTGATGAAAACTCCGTTTTCTTCGAACATTACTAGTATCATTGGTATCAATAGCAACAGCATCTGTTTGATTGTTAACATCGGTAACACTGTCAATTATTGAAACTGTCATTTCCATTCTAGTTGTTACGTTAGCATCGACTGATGACATAGAACTCATTCCATTATCACCATTATTTCCATTTCCGCCCATATTAACTACTGTTTGATTTTCAGAAGCTATTGGAGTTGTCAAAGTAGTAATAATATTGGTGTCAGTAATAGTTCCAATAGCCATTGATGGAGTTACTGTAGTTGTTTCTAAATTGTTAATTGGTATTCTTGTGCTATTTTCATTCATAATATCTGCCATAATAGCCATATTTGTCACATTATTTGTTGCAGCAATGATTTCAACCGTTGGATTAGTTGTTGCTGGTGTCAATGAATTACTAGCTGTTGTACTACCTGCAATAGTATCAATTACTCCGGGTACTGCCAATATAGGGGCAGTTGTAGTTTCAATATTTTCAATCATAGAATCGGTTTGATTATTGGTATCAGCTGTTGTACTATCTGGTGATGTTGAATTGACAGTGTTATTAATTGTGCCATTCCCTTTCGTTGTGTCAGCGACATCGAATCCATAAAACCTCAAGATATCCTCGTATTCTGGTCGCAACATGATATCATCCCGATTGAGTGTAAGTCCACCCAGAAAGGCGTCTGCATTAAGATAACTCTGTTAAAAGTGAAAGCAATTAATAATCAAGCAAAATTTTTTTAGTTATATTAAAAAACTGAACATTAATTACAAAAAAACTTACTCGAAGTTTTCGATTTATATCACGCATTCCAACTCGTGTGACTCTGCGATCACGTGGAAGACTCAAAACGTGAATTAATTGTCTATTGGTATGCCCTGCTGATCCTTCGTATAAGGCAGTTAAGACAAAAGCTAATCCAACTGGTGAAAAAGCGACATTTCCAGGTCGTTCAACATAACAATTAAGCAACTTTATTCCTAAATCGTTAATAATATCCGTCATAACATTCAGCGGGTTTTCATGAGGGCGTGTTAAGGGTCTCCAAGTATTGATATTATGTCCAATAACAACACCAATTGTCACTGTTAAAAGTTTAAAACATAATTAAACGAATTTTCAATCTATTTTGATAATGTTAAAAATACATACAAATGACTAATAAAAATCATTTCGAATATTTTTAACAAAACATTTTGACAAATTATGAAAATACTACGGTTGCTAAAGAATAATATTTTTATGCAATATTGAGAAAAAAATAATTAAAAAAAGATGCTCCTCTGTAACAAGAAATTTTTTAGTCAAAAAAATTCAGAAATAAATAAGAAGAAGAATGAAAGAACTCACATGAATAAATAAAAATTAATATGTTTTTAACAATCATTTTGGATAAAAATACTTCGTCGATTAGATGCTGGAAGCAAACTAAAGGTTTTTCATTGAATAGAAAGAGAATAAATGTAAAAGAATGAGGAGGGTGAAGGTAGAGGTAAAGAGGCAAAATTGAGAGGTGGGAGAAAGAAATAGTCAGAGTACTGAACGTTTAAGTTATATAATATTTTCATTGGTATTTTTTTTTTACTGTGTTCGCACGGTTGAAGTTGCAAGTGAATTACTGCAACCGGTGTATTAAAAGCCGGGTTGATTAAACAACTATGAAACTGCTTCTTCAGGCCTTAAATTTATATATGTATTGTCTTTGTCCATAACTCTCGTCAAAGCAATTAAAATGATAGGAGTTAAGTAATCATTCAAGAAAAGGATGAATCAACTTGCGTTCTTTGGCTACTTTACGTTGATATCGGTAAAATTCAAAACCTAAGAAAATAGATGAAATTAAATAACCTGTAAAATTATATCAATCAGTGATCGAATGTCATTTTCTTATCAGAATTATTTAGTTATTTTGTTTTTTTTTACCAAAAAAAAGAACAAAGAAAATTCCTTGCATGTCATGTAGATCAACCTTGTGATTACTTGCTTCTTGATTGTAACCATTATTGTCTGAACACTCGTCTTTTGTTGATATCCAACTTCTTATCCATTTGTTTATTAATCCTGATTCATGCATTCTTCGCAACCTAATAATTAAAATTGATTTAGAATATATTCATAATTGATAACATTGCGAGCTCTTACTGGACATTGATCAAATTCAGGTATGGACTATGAGCTGGAACGATCATTGCAATTGGTTCTTCTAAAGCTAAAATATTAGTTCCAAGTGCAAAATGACAAACACCATCATTTATATATTCATTTCTAGCTGATATTTTGAGTGCATTTGTCCAATCAATGACAGCGTGTTTTTCTTTTTTAACTCTTTCAATATTTTTCCGATAACTAACAGTGTTATGTTTCTCAGCGTGAGGTTCATGATCTGGGAGTAATTGTCTATAATTCAAAATATCTTCATTGTTATTAATTGACAAAAAGGTTTCGAAAAAGCTACCAGCCGGTAAACTCCAAGTAAATTCAGCTTGACGTTGTAATAAATCGTCAATAGTTAATATTGTGGCTTCCATTTTTGGGAATGTCAAAAAAGCCACTAGACTACCAGAATAAGTAGCAACAATTATCATTACTACAAGCCACCAAGTACCAACAATAAGACGGGCACCATCTGTTTTAGGTAAGTTCATTCCACCTAATATTATCACAGAAACATATCTAAGGTAATTTTTAAGAATAAAATATCATATTTTACTTGAAATTGATATATTATATACCTTGTTGAAGAAGAGCTCCATAAATATACCACATACATTTAAGCGGAGACGCAAGAGTTCCTAAATTCTCTTTCAACGGATTCTCAGGATCGTAATCTCTTCGAGGACTATATGCATGTACTATAAATAATATTGGTCCTACAAGAATGATTGATGACGCAATACAGGCCCAAGCCTAAACATAAAAAAAATGCTCAAACAAATGACAATTTGAAAACAGTCATAAATTTATTTAATTTTTCTTACCTCCATTGAATATGGCATTGTAAATAGAAGAACTCTAGATAAAGGTTTTGGTTTCGGAGTTAATAATCCATATGTTTGAACTGTTAAAGGAATTGTAAAATTCAATGCAGTATCATCATGATAAATTCCATTAGTATAAGCACACGCTGCCATAAATACTTCTCTTTTTCGTACTAATGCTGTTACTTCATCAGGAACTTTTTCTGCGGCTGACATTGCTGATTTTTTTGTATCCTGTCACAACATAATAATTAATTAATTAACGTTGAAGTATTAAATGATTAAATATTGAGATAAATAATATGTCTAACATTTTTAGATGCCATTATTTCAGGTGAAGAATCAATGACAATAATTTTTAGTGTAAAATTGAGAACTCTCGATAACTCTTCCATGATATCAAAAATAAATCCATCCCACTTGGTTTCATTTACTCCAGTAGAATGTTGTTTTATCTTCTTAAATTGCCATGGCGGATTCTAAAAAATAAATTCTTAATCTGCAGAACATGAAAATTGCAGAACATTATTTTAAATATTTACATGATATGTAACAACAGGTAATGATTTTCCTAAAAATCCATTGATGATATGTGGAAAAATATGGTCATTAAGTTTAAAACCTGAATCAATCATCCATATTCCAGTTTCTTTTAATTCATAGGCTTGAAACTGACTATCAGGCCCAATTCTATTACCCCATGTCAATGCCGAGACTAAAATCCATTTAATACATTGACCACAAGCAACACTATGATTCAGAAGCCGGGTACCATTGAACAGTTCACTCTAAAATAATCTTACTTTCAATGTTAAATTGCGTTATTAAATAAAAATTTATCAATAAATTTGAAAAAGACTGGAAGAAGTATTGATAACTTTGATTTAACTCAATACTGAATTTAATGAATTTAGCAACTTACTCTCATCAACTTGATAATTTCTTTACTTCTAGTTGATTTAGTTATTCCTAGAGATTCAAATTCTTCTTCAGTAGTTGAATTAAATAATTCAATTTCCATTGATAAAGCATTTTCTATAGCAATTGCTAGAGCTCCAACTATTTCTTTAGCATAGCAAACTGGTTTGTTTCGACATTTTTCATTATTTTGGATATTTTTTAAATTTGTTTTGTTGTACAAAAAAGCTATGTTTTCTCCTTCTTCAAGATAATCTTGTAAAAATGAAATGTTTCTACGTAAATTTTCTGGCATATCTGGAATTACAAAAAGCCATTGGCTATCGGGATGAAGCATTTTCTGCACTCTTGCCTGAAATATACATATTTATAAAAAATTATAAATTACAAGGCTACAAAAGTAATAAATGAACCATAAAAATATTCTTACACATTCAAGGAATAAAGGTATCAGTTTATAACTAATTATGATTAAAAAATTTTCATCTATCGAACGAAAACGAGGAAAATTTCCAAGCAATTTTTTTAATCTATGTTTGGTCATAGCATTAGATGAAGCTGTTTTTAAAAAGTATAAATAATGTGTAGCTAATTTATATTTAGATTGAAATAAATCATTAGTAAAAGCTTTTGACACTTGTCCAATTTCATCTTTCTCTGAAATATTTCAATTTTTAACAAATATATTTATGTATAAAAATGAGGTCACTGAGAAGTCATTCATTGATTGATAATAACGTACGAACAACTTCATCATAAATTATATGAACTTGATTCCATTTCAATTGTTGAAAATTTCTCAAATCATAAAATATTTGAGGAAGTTCTTTGCCAGGTTGTATTAAAGGAATACTGATTCCTCCATCATTAGGAAGTCGTGGACAATTTGAATCTTTTAATAAATACACTAAGATGAATTCACTTAAAATTTTGTAATTCATTAAAAGAAGAATAATTTTTAAAAGTTGCTACCTGTTAATGCTAAATGTACAAGTTTTTCCTTTCTGGCACGACGGAATAATCTCCATGTTGTGCTACATGTTGCAACTGATAATATAATAGTGTAATCTATTATTTAAAGAGAAAAAAGTAAAGTTAACAGTAGAATCATCTTTTAATTATCAGATAATTAGACATAGAATTCTCTTTACCTCTTGCTAAATTAGTTTCAATATCATCATAAACAACAATTAATAATCCAGTAGTTTTCATTTTTTCCCGAACTACTTTTGTTAAAACACCTGTAAAAGTAGCAACACTCCTTTCATAGGAATCTTTTTTTTGGTTTCCAGTTTCTTCAAATAATATTTTTCTCTCATAAAATGGTCTTTCTATAATAAACACTAAATAATATATGATCCAATTAATTATCAATTTTATTATTTATTTATGTTTTAATATTAAATAGTCATCCTTAACTTACCCATGGTGGCATTTGCAATCATAAGTGATGGAAAATCAGTAAAACAAGTAACAAATTTTAAAAGAAATAACAATGATATTGGAATAAAAATATCCATTATATTTTTTCTTGGAAAAACAACTGTGTCAAGTATTCTACAGTAATAAATATCAAGTCCGGTGAAATAAATCCTAAAGTTAGCTAAGAAATTGATTGCATAAAAAATCGATAGTGATTGCCGTCTACTAATGTAATTTTTAATGAGAAATTCACATTTCAATCAGCATTATTTCAATATTTTATCATGTAGCCTCAATTCTTTATTTATGTTTTTACTTTATCATCAGTGTAATGTTTTGTCTATTGTTTTAGGAAAACTTTACCATGATATTGAGATATTCTTATATACCTTGGGTAAACGATTTGTTTCGTTCCAACTGAAACAAAAAAAACAATCAAAATTTTGCAATAAAAATGTTACAATTAATTTCTATAGGATTAAATTTCTATTTTTTAAGTTTTTACAATTCCACAATATAAATTGTAATTTAAAAAAATGAAAAATATGATCAATTATTCGGTCCATTAAATAGAAAAAGAAGTAAAGTACTTGATTAATTATTTTTATTGTGTTATCCACTTTAGACTGATGGACATCTAATGGTTTTTATTTATCATGACAATTTACTTAATTAAATTGTCAGTTGTAATAAATGTTAGTCTTTCGCAAATACCTATATGAAAACAGCTTTTAATCCAATTGATCTACACTTCATCCCATTGCTATAGCTTTTTCATAGTGACTCCATTTCACAAAAAAACTCAAAGAACTAAATTTAACATAGCTATTTACAGTGTACTTTATAACTATTTTCAAAAATATATATCATTAGAAAATTGATTAATTATTAATTTAATCATAATGCTTGTGGAAAAAATTCAGTTGATATTTTTTACACTATTGGGTCTTGCACCAGTATCATATAAATATATCAAGCATTCTAAGACAAATAAACCAATTACAATAAAATTTGTTACTTCATATGTCAACATGGGATTCAATATGTTGTTAAATATTTCAATAGTTGCTCTAAATGTAATATTTTTGCCTCAATTTTTCACTCATTATTCACAAGCCATCTCAAGATTTACAAACTTATTTGCACTTATTCTTGTTATTTGTGGCAACATCTGTATGGCAATAATTTTGTTTATTATTTTTTTACGCTATCGAGTTATCATAAAAATTGCAAATCAACTGGTAGATCTTAATGCAGCTCTATTGCATTTTCGAACGATTTATAAAGTAGAAAAAGGAAAAATCCGATTATTACTGATATTTTGTGGGAACACATTTTTTTGTGTATGTCTGATTGTTTGTGAATTTTTTTCTCATCATACTATTTTTCCACCAATTTTTTTATTTGTCAATGTTCATCGAATTATTTTCAGTTATTTTTTGATTCAATATGCACTGATTTTAACTTTTATTGAAAAAAGATTCAGGGGCATAAATAATGCATTTTTAAAATTAAAAAAAACAGAAAATGAAGTAGAATGTCGAACATATGATACTCCAAAAATTCCACTTGATAGAATGTGTATTGTAGAAATAATTGGTTTAAAACGTTCATACTCATTTCTGTATAAGTTATGTACAAAGATAGCTGATTATTATTCATTGGGAATAATCATAATTTTGCCATATTTTACTGCTGCAATAATTACCACTATTTATGATCTTATATTATCTTTTCTTCAAGTAGAAGCATATAAAAAATCAATGTTACGACGTGTTGTTGGTATACTTTGGTTTTTTATTGAAACATTTCCAATTTTGGCTTTATCTACATGTGCTACCTCTATCACAATGGAAGTCAGTAAGAAAATGATTTTTTATCATAACAATGATTTATTCATTTTTGTTCTTCAATATTACAGATGAGGAAGACTTCAGATATCGTACAAAAAATATTGTACTATTGTAGTATGAGTAATGAGATTAGAAAAGAGGTATTCATCATATTCAAAATCAACACTATCTTGTTTTATAATAATTCTTTTTATCTTGATTTAGCTTAAACATTTTCTATTGGAATTGTTGCACAAAGATTTTCAATTTACTGCTTATAATGTTGTCTCTATAGACAGCACAATGTTAAGAACGGTAAGTAATCATTTAAATGATAATTATCAGTAAAACAAAGACTAAAAACAAATAGTAATTATATTGCTATTATTATTTCAGATGTTTAGTGCAGTAGTAACGTATCTGATCATCCTTATTCAATTTCAAGTTGGAGAAATTGAAAAAGCAGCTAGAGACTAGAATCAAAAAAATAACAGTCTCTAAACTAAATCAAATTAAAAAAATGAAGTATAAATTGTAACTCGTAGGACCATTCATTATGATCATCATTTTGTAGTTTATTACTTGTGAAATCTCATATTCACTATTTTTCAATATTTTATTATAATTATTACTATATACATATATGTATATTGGCTACGAAACGGAAGCTCTTTGACAATGGCAAAAAGTAAGTTCACACAGCCATATCAATCGTTTCTTTTATATAGTAAAGTTGACCATCAACTTTAAATACTTTAATTCTAAAACGAAATTATGAATTACGAATATATTGATAATTTTAATTTATATATATTACCTTACGTGATAATAAAGTAAATAAATTTATTATTGGAAGACCGAATCACTTGATTACTTACCAGAAAGTAGCTAAGATAATTGGAGCTTTAAAAGCTATTTCTTATCAAATTTTGCTCTAAATTTGCCAGCATGTCTTGTCGAGAATTTAATTAATGTAGTCGCCAACAATTATCTTTAATAAATTGCATTTCTGTATGACCAAGTAGAAAGCTAGCGTTATGACTGCTTCTAGCTCAATTAATAGCTCATGATCTCTTTTCGATAGGCAATATTTTGATTCAGAAAATTTTATATTGTCTTCAATATTATCATCAAGGTTTGTGTTTTGATAAACACACGTTGAATTTAGAATTTGATCATTTCAAGCTGGGCATGGATATGCAATAATTCTGAGAAATTCATGAAACAGCAAAGCCACACATAACTTCTGTTTTAATTTACATAAAAGATTTAAACATTCTTGACCAGAGACTTCATATGAAAAAATTCCTTTCACAGTTGGTAATTTCTTAGAATATGTATAAGAGCTCAGAGAGAAATAGAAATCTTTGTACTTTATATAAGCCCGGCATTTATGTATTTGCTCTTCATCGAGAAAGAAGTCTTCTTTCTATTTCTGGTACCCAAAGTTGTAACTAATGTCATCTATGTAGCACTACGAATACTAATTTCTCACACATATAAGTTATGTTTTTCTATACTACGTTTTTCTCTACATAACACGATTTCTAAATGCAGCAAAGTAGTGTACATTGTATAAAATCAATTCAGGTGTACATACATGTATGAAAGCGTGAGCAAGCTCTCATTATTTGTAATTATTTGTACATGCCATATACAACGGGTTTTGTTTTTAGCAAATGGCTGACGACTGGACCAGAGCGATTGTTTGCCGGTGAGAGTTGATAAAAAAATTAATTAATGATTGTTTAATTGATTGAATATTTCGTATAAATATATTTAAATTTTATTGTTACAGTTACTACAAAAATGGCTTATGTAGAGAAGGGGATAATTGTAGATATCGACATGCAGACCAGCAGTCTGCTGATCGAGAAGAAATGACTGATGACAATAATTCTGATAACAGTACTAATGTACTCTCATCAGTAATCGTTTGTCGATTTTTTAAATGGGGAACTTGTAAGTTTGGAAGTCGTTGTCGTTATAAGCATATTTCAAATAATCATACGGTCATGTCAGAACAAGAATCAGACGAATCTAAACCTGAATCAAGGAAACAGTCCAGTTCAACGGCTTTTTCATCCACCGATGCAGCACATTCATCACAACCGTCATCTTCGTCACATTCTACAGAAAATACGTATGTAAATTATAATGAAAATTTTCTTGCATAGATGAATAATTTTTTGCATGGAAAATATTTTTTATAATTTTTTGTTTAGTTATGAGTTATTTAAAAGCTTGATTATTCAGTAATTAAAATGCTTTTAATCAACATTGATTGTTGAAAATGGTACAAAAAATGTATTCAACTTTTTATTATCATAATTAAACTAGTATTAATTCGTAAGAAGTTCATTAATTGCATTTGAAAATTTTCTATATTAAATAAAAATGGATTTAATTGAAGAGTATTGTAAATTACAGGGAAGCAAATAAATATGAACCACATGAATGGATAAAAGCACCTGAATTTATTCCACAATCTATAGCAGGAAATTTCAATACAGATTTTGATATGGAGGAATCGATAATAGTTGAAAAATGTCCTAAATCTTATGCTAGAGCGGTCAATAGCTCAGGAAGATGTGTAAATTCTTCTTCAGAGCCATTGTGTCCTTATGCAGAAGCAACTGGAATATGTACAAAGCTTAAATGCCCTTATTTACATGGAGATATCTGTGAGTTATGTGGACGAGCAGCTCTTCATCCTTATAATGAAGAACAAAGACAGCAACATAATAAAGTAAGCTAAAAAACTAAATTTAATTAATTACTATTTTTTTAAATCTACTTTTTATACAACATAATATCTCTTTAAGGCGTGTATAAAACAACACGAAGTAGATATGGAGCTATCATTTGCAATTCAAAGAAGTCGTGGTAAAGCATGTGGAGTATGCTTTGAAGTTGTTATGGAAAAAGCATCGAGAGATCAAAGAAGATTTGGTATTTTGCCTAATTGTAATCATTGTTTTTGTCTAAGTTGTATACGAAAGTGGCGTCAAGCAAAACAATTTGAGAATAAAATAATTCGCTCGTGTCCAGAATGTCGTGTTACATCAGATTTTGTGTGCCCTAGTATATATTGGGTGGATACTAAAGAAGAAAAAGAGAAACTCATTGTTGAATACAAAGGTGCACTAAGGTAAATTATATAGATTATATATTATATCACTATTATTAGTTAATTAATAAATAATTTAATTTTTTATTTTTTTAAATTTTCTTTTAATAGTCAAAAAGATTGCAAATATTTCAACAAAGGTCAAGGTAAATGTCCTTTTGGAAATAAATGTTTTTATCTTCATGCTTTACCTGATGGAACTAAAACAGATGTTGGGCCCCCATCTCGACAAACTTCCAATTCGAATGGGGATTTCTTACATGTAAGTATTTTAATATTCGTTTTGAATAACCCAATATTTTTAACTTAACCAATATTTTTTTACAGCAACTTATATTATGGAATTTTCTCGAAGAAAGAGATGATAGCTGGATTTATATGGATGAAGATGATGAAGTTGTAATGGTATTTTCAGATTCAGAGGATTCTGATTGGTCCAGATATGGTTCTTATGATTAGTTGATTGTCATTATTAAAAAGATTTTATTTTAACTTCATATCAATTTAGTTTTAGTTATTATTATCGTAAATTTATAAAATCGTTAGATTAATATTAAGTTTTTTTCTCATCAATTTATTAAATAGATACAAAATGTTTTGCTTATATAAAATGGGCTATAGTTAAATTGCTAATGTTTTCTTTATTACATAATTATATTTTTTCATTTTGCAGTGTCTTTCACTTATTTGTTAAAATTTTTCTTATTCAATAGTGTGAAATAAAATATCTATTTAATATTTTAGGGATCTATAAAGAGTGATAGAAAAAATTATATAAAGTAAAAGTATAAATGATAAAAGCGTGATTTTCACGTACAATGTATAATAGATTGATAGTGTTCGTTATTATAATTATTATTAGCTTTAAATGAATTATCTGAATGTTGGTGCGTAAAAAAAAAAACTTGTAAAGTTTATTCAATTTTACATTCTTTTCATAACTCACATTGCTAAAAAATTATAAATTAATGTGATTTGTTAAACTGATTAAATTGCATTGTCCTAGTTAATTCTTATTGCTAATATATTTTATTATGGAAAAATACATATGCATGATACAATAATAATAGCAATAGTTAAAAGTCGTGATTTCATGTGGAAAAATATATTCGCAGTGGTTTTTTTTACATTACCTTGTGATTAAAACTTGTGATTATTGTTTGTATAAAATCTATAAATATTAACATTGGGGCTATTAAGTATTTTGCAAAAGTCTTTGTCATATGTAAATTATATTCACATTAAAAAAAAATTGATATTTATTCACAATTACCTTCTACTAAAGTATATTATTATTATATAAAACTAAAATTTAATAGATAAAAATAATTTAAAATCATTACAATATTTTATGAGCTTAATTACAACAATTAGCAAAGACTTCTGCAATAATTTAAAATACTATGAGATAAAAAAATATTTAAACAAATTATGCCAAGTGCTGTTTAAATTACTTAAAAAGTATCTTTATACAACCGTCGAGTCTTTTGATGCTGGTTGGCATGTTTGTGTATTGCTGCAATCCTTTATGTTGTCATTGCCTCTGTGAATGAATTCAAAAAACATTAAATAGCTGAATAAAAAAAATGATATTTTTATAAAGTATGTCAAAAAATATACCTTTGGACAACGTATGATTGACAAGATGAATTAATCTGATTAGAAATATTAATTCTTTGTTGTGCTGGATGTACATGAGAAGAACCATGATGCCCACTATTTGTTCCTTGATTTACCCCTTGACCGGTAGATTCCATTTTCTTTCGGAATTTGGTTGAGTATTTATAAAAATCAGACATTTCAAAAGGTTTCGTAACTTCTTTATAAGGTTGATATTTTCCAGCATGTATGATAGTTCTTCCATCTGTAATTATTTTTTCTGGCATATTGAAGTTTGTTGATTCAAAAGACACATCACCACTAATTTGACTACTATTTAGTCGATTATTTGATTCCGCAGGAATCTCCAAGTTTCTCATAGTTTGAGACAATATATTAGACTTTGAATAATCTAAATCTATTGCAGTTTCATACCACTCTTTCTCATTATCTCTGTAAGAAATACGAGTATCATGTGAATTTTCAGGAGGATATTTATTTCGGTGAACGGATCCTGCCGTCATTGATGGCAAAGTGCCACTTGTTTCCAGAACTGGAGTAACACATTTAACATCTCCTGAATGCCAAGTTTCAACACTTCCAAGTGATTGAGTACGCAAAAGTATTCGCGTGGATGGTGGTAATTCTATTCTATCACATTGAATAGCTTGACTTTGTTTATTGTTCAAGTATTTTGGTGAGTTAGTTGAAGAATCTATGAAAGAATTAGTTGGTTTAATAACTCTATTTTGAACTGAAGTTTTACTGATTGTTGTCAACATATCTGGATTATTGACAGTGGTTTGATAAGCTTGAGGATTACTATTAGAATATTTTCGACGATCAATGCTACCAAATCTATCAGAATGGGTTGGGTAATCAGAGGTCCAAAATATATCATCATTGTTAGTGGACCAACTATCATTGGCATTTATGAGATCTTGACGTCGAGAAAGTGACATATTTTCGTGGCTATTTCTCTTGAACGTTTTTTCTTTCATTAATTCACGTTCTTGTAATGATGCAGAAAATTCTTTCCCATCGGGGGAATTTACTAAATATGAAAACTGATCTACTGGAACGCCATAATATGGATGCCTCACTCGAAATTGTTCACTAGGTTCATGCATTTTTCCTATAGAATCACTGCTGGGTGATTGAATTTGAACCATTTCATTAATCGTAGGGGATATATTATCTCTGTGATAATAATGTTGATATCTTGGAGTATGTTTAGAGGTTTTAACTTGAGGCCGTTGATTATAATGAGGTACTTCACACTGTCGTTTTTGTTCTCTTGGCCACATATTTGGCGTTCCTATCGTATTATCCTTTGCATTAGGAACAATACGATATGGTCGTTCAGTTGGTTGAGTTGAACTGTACTTTGTGTGATGTGAACTTGTTTCTTCATTGTCATGAGGATATAATAATGCTGAATGTTGATTTGGTAATATGTACACATCATTACTGTCATTTAAATCATGTATAATATCACTATCATTTCTAGAACCTTTGCTGCTTGAAAGTGGTAATTCATTTGAGATCCATTCATTATTTTTATCACTTGGTTTGTGCTGTTGATCAATTCCAATTAATTGATCATCAATACTGGCAGATTTTATCAGTTTTTCATAACTCATATGTGCATTTAACAGTTTATCTGAATTAATATAAAATCATTTTTTAATTTTTAACAGTAATAATTGTGTCGTATTAAAATTTATTTGTGATAAAGCTTACCTGTAGTTGAATGAAGAGGTGGCCGAGGCTTTTTGGATTTATGCTTTGCAATGGTTTGAGGTATTGATACATTGTCTTCAACATCTCCAGGATATGTTGGTGATTTCCAAGAGGATGTTTCCATAGTCTGGCGTCGAGATAATCGTCCATATCCTTGTCGGATAAAATTCAAACGAGTCTCTAATTCTTTCAACCTTTTTTGACTTTGCTGATAGACTAAACGATTTTTACGTCTAACAGCTTTGCCTTTTGTTACATCATTGAAGATATCAAAGGCAGCTTTAGCAATGCTTGCTTGTACTTGTCGTTCCAACTCTAATGTCGATTCATCCTAAACAAGTTAAATAATTTGATTAAAAGTTTAAAAAAAATTCTCAAGCTGAATGAACGAATGAATAAATTTAAACAATGGTTTCATTTACTATTCTTACAGCTTCATTGGTTTTAAGCTTATTAATAAGGTTTTGTGGATAAGCAAATGAAGTCCCAACACGCCTACGAAAGAAAGGAGGACTCTCGCCAGGATCTAAAGGAATTTCTGGTGGTAAAATACCCGTGAGCTCGGCTTCATCAATACATAAATTTTTTAATTCATTATTTTTTTGTGCTAGTTTCTCTTCGAGGGCTTCACGACGCTGCCGAAGCCATTGTAGTTTATTTTGCGTGGAGATGTTTGACGGTTCCACCCTCGATTTTCGTTCCGTTTCAGCCATAACTATAATAAAAGCAATTTCAAATCAATTTTACTCTTTTTATACTTTGTGCTCAATATTATTCAACACTCACCCATATTAATGACGATACTTATCAATTTTCATATACAATACATTATTTTTTTTCTTTTTTAGTATTATCCATTGTACAAAACTTAATTTGTATAATTAAAAAATTATTATTCATTACATTTGTCAAAATAAATCATAAAAACACACAATTTTCACCAAAATACAATTATATTTATAAATAAGGCACTAATTTATTACTTAATGTAATTACGTTCATTAATTAAAATATAAAACTTAATGTAAACAAAAAAAAAATTACGATGTTGTTATAATGATTACATCTGCTCAAACGCTCCAATCGCTTGGGTCTACCATTTTCTTTACTCTATAACCTCACAAAATAGTCACGAAAATGATCTGATGAATGAGCAGACAACCAATGGAAATTTGTGGCAGAGCCAAAAATTTTTGTTTCTATTTTCACCGTATGTTGTGTGGGTGATGAAAAATGACCAATTATTGTATTTTTTAAAAATTATAATTTCAGTAAATATTAGGTTAATAATTACTTTTCAAAATTTTAATATAATTTTGTTCATCGTAAAAATGTTAGTGTAAATTTTAAACATATTTATAAATATTTGAAAATATTAAAATAAAACTAACCTATAATTGACAATATTAATATTGAAATATTTCAATTATAAACGATTTTTAATATTGGAATGTCTATAACAAATAAAGAATAAACAAGGATAATTGTAAAAATTTTTAATATAAAATTTATAAATCAAGTAAATAAATAGGTAACTGTGACCTCTCAACATAAATCATTTAAGTTACATCAACAGCAGAATAACCAACAAACGGTAATTATCAAATAACAAAATTTTTTCTGGTCAAAATCACTAGCTCTGTCTATGTTGATAACAAAAAAATAAAAACTTTGGTAAATCATTATTGTATTGAGACAAAATCTTTGTCTTTTATTGTTCTTCATTTTAATAACATTATTCACGATAATTACAATAATAATTACATCTAAAGAATAAAAAAATATCACGATAGATGCATGGTAATACTTGTAATTAAGTCAAATAAAGTCGACAAAGGCTGTTAACAGCAAAGGGGGTTGAAAGTAGAGCGGGTTTTGTGGCGGCAGTGGTGGTGGTTAAAATATTGAAATTGGTTGAATCCACTTGAAACATAAAGGTTACGTGAAATAAATTCCTTTCTTATATTTTTTTTATTATTAAAAGTATGTCAATAGGAAAAATGAGTAAAAAATTAAGGAGAAAAACGCTATAAAACGATTGAATTGAGTTATTCTAATGTTTCATTCAATTTATAGATTCTTGCAGTATGGAGGCATTAATACCAGTGATAAATAAGCTCCAAGATGTATTTAATACAATTGGAGCCGATGTGATACAATTGCCGCAAATCGTTGTTTTGGGTACACAGGTTAGATGAATTAATATTCTTATTTTTCAATTCATTTTTTTTTATTTTATTTATCCTGCATTTTTCATTATTCCAAAATAAATTAGTTGTTAGCTTTTTTATTTAATTTTTCAATTATAATTATTAATAAAACAAGTGATTATTATAATCTTATTTATAATTTTCTGGAGCAAAAATTAAATGATAAATATTTGTTGCAATTTTTTTAGAGTTCTGGTAAATCATCAGTTATTGAAAGCCTTGTTGGTCGGTCATTTTTACCTCGAGGCACTGGAATTGTCACTCGTCGACCGCTTATATTACAGTTAGTTTATACTCCAAAAGGTGATAGAGAACATCGCAATGCTGAAAATGGAACATTGGATCTTGACGAATGGGGAACATTTCTACATTCAAAAAATCGAATATTTAGAGATTTCGATGATATTCGTCGAGAAATCGAGGCTGAAACTGAACGAATGGCTGGTGACAATAAAGGAATTTGCCCAGAACCAATTAATTTGAAAATATTTTCTCCATCAGTTGTAAATTTAACATTAATTGATCTTCCGGGAATAACTAAAGTACCTGTTGGAGATCAACCTGAAGATATTGAAATGCAAATTCGACAATTAGTACTTAAATATATTTGTAATCCAAATTCTATTATTTTAGCAGTTGTTACAGCTAATACTGATATGGCCACTAGTGAAAGTTTAAAACTTAGCAAAGATGTTGATCCTGATGGTAGACGTACACTTGCTGTTGTAACGAAACTCGATTTAATGGATGCTGGTAAGAATATTGAACGAATTTTTTAATATTTACATATGTATATCCAATTATTTTCTAATCATCTACAGTCCAATTAGTTAAACTATTTAATAATACTGACAACATTTTTCAATTTATTCAACTTTTAGGTACTGATGCTATCGATATTCTTTGTGGTCGCGTTATACCCGTTAAATTAGGTATTATTGGAGTAGTCAATCGATCTCAACAAGATATAATGAATAACAAATCAATTGAAGAAGCATTAAAAGATGAGGCTTCTTTTCTACAAAGAAAGTATCCTACTTTAGCTAATAGAAATGGTACTCCGTATTTAGCCAAAACTCTTAATCGTTTACTTATGCATCATATACGAGATTGTTTGCCTGATTTAAAGGTAAAATATAACGTAATTATTAAATATATTTTATTAATTATTTAAATTAAAAATTTATTACGATGATTTTTAGACTCGAGTAAATGTAATGATTTCGCAATATCAAACACTATTGAATTCATATGGCGAAGACGTTTCAGACAAAAGTCAAACTTTGTTACGAATTATTATGAAATTCGCTAGTAGTTATTGCTCAACTATCGAAGGAACAGCTAGAAATATTGAAACAACAGCGCTGTGTGGTGGAGCAAGAATTTGTTATGTATTTCATGTTTTATTTAAAGAAGCTCTAGACGGTATTCATCCACTTGGAGGCTTAACAAAGTGGGATATTTTAACAGCTATCAGAAATGCTACAGGACCAAGACCAGCTTTATTTGTACCTGAAGTCTCATTTGAGCTATTAGTCAAAAGACAAATACGCCGATTAGAAGATCCCTCTTTACGGTGTGTTGAATTGGTTCATAGAGAAATGCAGGAAATGGTACAGCATTGTGGTACTGAAGTTCATCATGAAATGCTACGATTTCCTAAACTCTATGAACGAATTGTTGATGTTGTCACTCATTTATTACGCCGACGTTTGCCTACAACAAATTCGATGGTACAAAATTTAATAAAATTTCTTGTCAATTATATTTTTCCAAATTTTTTATGTTTGAAAATAATTCCAAATTTTTATTTAAATGATATCTTCCAGGTAAAGAATCTCGTAGCTATTGAATTGGCTTATATAAATACAAAACATCCTGACTTTCATAAGGATGCTGCTCTTGTTTCATCTCTATTAAAAAGTAACGAATTGGAAGCTGCCAAACATAATAGAAAAAATGGTACCTTAGTGAACTCCGCCAATCCAGGAGCAGCAATGACAACCAGTGTAGAGTTGGTAAATATTGCTAATTAAATTATAAAACAATTCTTTTAAATGTTTGAATAATGTATCTGAATTAACTTAGCATGGAAAAACGAACAACAAAGATGATTTAATGGCATTAGTTGAAAATAAAGAACATCAAAATCATTGGTTAAGTAATTTATTGCCACAAGGAAAGCTAGACTCTACAAACACAGCAGATAATAGTCCTGTACGAACTAGAGACGGAGCTCGATCACCATCTTCGTATCATGGAAGTACTGATTTGCTCTCTGGTCCTATTAGTGCTAGTGGAATTGATGATATGATACATAAAAATTCATCATCACAACAAAAACCTGTCAATTTATTATCAGAAGTTCCAACACAATCGAGTAATCGTAAACTTAGTGAACGTGAGCAACGGGATTGTGACGTGATCGGTAAGAAACTTTGAGATTATTTAGTATAATGAAATGTGCTTTTTATAAACATTCTATTTTTTTTTTTGTAGAAAGACTTATTAAATCATACTTTTACATCGTCCGTAAGTCCATCCAGGACAGTGTACCAAAGGCTGTTATGCATTTTCTCGTTAATTACGTAAAAGATAATTTACAAAGTGAATTAGTTACACATTTATACAAATCAGATTATGCTGAAACATTATTAAATGAAAGTGAACACATTGCCCTTAGACGTAAAGAGACAAGTGATATGTTGAAGGTATTTATTTTAAAAAAATAGTATACATATTATTTAAATAAGATACTTTGATACAAATTACGATATTTATTAATTATAAATTTCACTTGAATTATGTTTTAATTAATGTTTTTTTCAGGCATTAACACAAGCAGGAAATATAATTAGTGAAATACGAGAGACGCACTTGTGGTAATTACGAAATTGAAACTAAATTGTTTTAATGTTACACTGTTTGTGGATGTTACTATTCCTTGCTGTGCTAGTGTCAAGATTAGATTTAATCGTGTGAAATAATTTTACCATTAATATTTGATTTCGAATTTAATAATCAACACGATTAATTTATTCGCCACACATTGTATCAATTTTTATTTCACAATAAACAATAAATTAATCAACATTTTTTTTATAAAAACCTTGACTCCAAGTCATTTTTAGCTTCCATGTGAATAAGAAGTCTAATTATCATCGAATTAACATTAAATTATTATTAAACAAAGATCAATTGGTGTAAATTGTTTAAAAATTTTACGTTAGAAGAAATTTACATTATCAACTATGGTAAAAGTGACGTGACTGACGTTTTGAGTTAAGTTAGTTAAACCTGTCATGGCTGTCAGTTAGTACTTGTAATATGAAGTTCAACGTTTTTTTACATATTGGGCTACTAAGTTTGCATTTTTAATTGTATACTTTCTTATAATTTTATATGTAAAAGAATCTAAAGAATGTGTAAAATCAATACATTTATTAATATTTAAATTGATTTGAATGACAGTCTTTCAATTTGTAATAATTAATGGAAGAGAGAAAGTAATTGAAGATGGTGAATAAACATGCAATAAATGTGTGTAAATTAACATCACAAGTTTGTTGACATAATCAATTACATAGGGTGATTTATAAAAAGAAATTACCCCAAAATAATTCACATAAAATATGAAAATAATAAGATAATGAATGAATTAATGAATTTTTATTATAATCATTCGTAACCATTTAATATTATCAGTCAACTGTAAATATAATAGTTTAATCTTTACTACCATTAAGTCATTACAAGACAATTCACGTTGAAAACAACTCTTGTACCTAAAACGTAATACTATTTATCAATTATTAATTAAGTGAATTGGCATCATACAAAAATGTTAAACCGATTTAAATCGGCTTTAATTAATGTTGTTGGTGGGAGTGAACTTGGTTTACAATATAACAATGAATCCGAATATGTTAACCACATTCCTGTTGATGTGGAAGCTAAACCATATAGTAGGCCTAGTTTTTTGGGTTTAACAGCTGAAGAAACTCAGGTAAATTTGATTGTTTTCTAAAGTCAACACTAATTTAATGATGTACCAATTAAATTAATAGAAGAATTTTGAATTATCAATCAATCTAAATATTAATTTACAAGTAAATTATTTTACGTTAAAATCATTCTTGTAATAACATATCAATAATTTGATTTTATATGAAAATTACAAATTACTCTAATTACAAGTATAAAAGAAGATGCTTTTACTACTTTTGTAAAAATTATTCTTATTTATTCAATTTAGGTTAGTGCTGATCATAAAGTGAGACCAATCATTGTTCCAAGAGATTTAAGTCGTTTACCATGGTGTGCTGGATATGCTGAATGTATTAATGCTGGAAAAAGTATGTGGAATGAAGATCAAGCTGCAGCAACGAGAGGAGACTTAATATTACCAGATAGTGATGTTTCATTGCCTTATATTATGTTTTCAATGTTTGATGGACATGCTGGATATGAAGTAGCTCTTACTGCTCGGATACATCTTCATAGGGTAATTCTTGTAAGTGTTGATAAATTGTAAAAAATTAATTATTAATTTTAAAGAATGCATATTTTTCCGTAATTAACAGAATTATTTTTACAGAAAAAATTGCAAACTATTCCAGCAAATATATTGCTTGATATATTTGAAGAAAAAATGATCACAAGCCGTGATCTTGTCATTGGAGCTATTGAAATGGCATATAAGGAAATGGATCAAATAGTAGAATATCAAGCACGACATGGTGGTGGTGGTTGTACAGCTATTACTATTTTATTTTTAAATGGGGTTCTTTATGCTGCTGGTGCAGGTGATTCCAGGTAGATTCAATAAATTTTTATTATTCGTATATTGCATATTATTATGCATTCAATAAAATAATAAACCACTATTTGATAATTATTTTCAGAGCTGTACTTGTTTATGGTGATACTCAACGTGCATTAACTACTGATCATACACCTGATACAGAATCGAGCCGTGTAAGAGCTTTGGGATCATTAAAAAGTACTGAATTATTACAAGGTCAATTTACACCATTAGAATTTAGAAGACGTCCATTAGAAAATGAACTTGGTAATCTAGTTTTGTATAGAGAGCCTTATATGAACGGATGGGCGTATAAAACTTTGACGGGATCTGATTTAAAATTACCTCTAATATCCGGTCACGGCAAAAGGGTAAGTACAGATGATTATCCGTTTACTATCTAATTTCTAGAAATTTAATAGTAATGTTTTTTTTTTAATTTTAAAAATTAGAGCAGAGTCATGGGAACAATAGGAGTTACTCGAGGATTTGGTGATCATAGTTTACAAGCTGTTAGTACTAATATCAGTATTAAACCATTTTTATCTTCACAACCGGAAATTCAATGTTTTCATCTCGAAGATTATCAACTTACCGAGAGAGATTGTGTAATTATTGCAACTGATGGCTTATGGGACGTTGTATCTGATAAAGATGCGGGAAATGTACTTAGAAAAATTTTAGCACCTGATACACCATCTCTAGAGTACAGGTAAAAAGAGTTAAAATTTATTTGAAAAATTATTTTATATTGCTCTGTGAAATTGTTCATAGTTGCAAAATATTGATAAAATTTTTTCTTTTTTATTCTTTAATAATAATTAAGCTAACTATTCATTAGTAGTTTGATCGCTTCCAGATTAACTATGGCAGCACAAGAATTGGTTCAAGCAGCTCGAGGTCGTCTAAAAGGTCGTTTGTGGAGAAGTAAACCTGAAAATTTAGTTGACGACGAATATCAATTATGGCCTTTAGCATCTGTTGATGATATTAGTGTTATGGTGATTCCTTTATATCCATACTTGTGTGAGCATAAACAGTGGAAGAAATCTCTTTACCAAGATAGACGATTTTCATCTGATCATGCTTCAGCTGATTCCAACTAAACATTTCTCTTACGATACATTCAGTATGCTGCTAAGTATTCCAATGTTGAATCGTTTAATAATTGTTTAATTTAATGAGGATTATTTTTTATTTAAATCTTTTTTTCTTATTATTTCTTTATTATTATTATAATCATTATTTTGAAATTATACACATAACACAAAAATTAGTAGATACCTGAAAAATGCAAAAATAATAATCAGATGAATTGCAATTTTATTGATGTATATTATTGTGTATTTAGACATTCCACAAAAAATTATAATATGTCATTAATAAAATTTTTCTATTAACTGAATAATTGATTGTTTATTGAGTTTTATTAGGTCTTTGGTAAATAGAGAATTTATAATAGAGTAAAAAATAGTATATGTTTGTTTGAAGGAATGTAATAAGCCAATTTATGTTTGATAATTTTGTAAATATTCGTAATAAATAGTATATTTTATTTTTTACAAAGAATGTAGAAGAATATTAAATGAATATGTTATACGCTCTAATAATATTGTAAAAATTATTTTAATTTGATTTAGAGATCAAAAAAATATTATGATAATAATTATGAATCATTAATATTTTTAATAAAATTTCTTTGTTGTCGAGATTTTAGTAATAATGGAATTTTTGAAACTGAATGGATTTTGTGTGAACAGAATTTTTCTTGACACAGTTTTATCTGGCATCGATTATCTAACTTTGCCGATATTGAATCGATTTCTTGAGATTTATTAATTACTTTATTATAAGTATCTTCGGATTTATCATTTATATATTTTATAGCTCTATCAATTATCTCCATAATCAAAGGCTGAACTTGATAAATTGTTTCACAATCTGGCTCATTTATATTAGGAAATTTTTCTATAATATTCAGCGGTAAATCTTCTAAATTTATCGTGAAAAAAAACATCTTTTTGCGGTTCTCAAATACACATTCTTTGATACATGGAAATTCATGACATTCCTATTTTTTCAAACATATATTTAAATTATATCAATCAATACATAACATGACCATACCAAACACAAATACATATATTACCTCATTGATTTGAATATTTTTAATCTTTTGTGATTCATCTTGCTTTGCTATTTCATTAGCAGGTTCCAAAGGTATAATTTCAGAATTAGATATTAATTCTTCATTGCTTTCAATACTTTCTACAGAACTTATTTCTTGTAATTGTAAATTATATTGGTTTGATAATCTACGAATATTGCTGAGAATTTTGATGATGAATCCACACAGAATAGAACTGAAACAAACCATTCGAATGATTCTTCGAAGAAAAATTAATGATGAACAGTTATTGTTATTTTAATCAATTATACATCTTTTTATAAAAAAATAAAGTATGATTCACTGAATTCATATATAACCATGATGTTTACTTACAAGATTATACTTGTTATAAATAGTAACAAAAGAGGACATTTGCAATGTTTTAATTCATTATGTACAATATTGAGAAATTTCTGAATTTTTGGTATTATTTCTTCATACCAAGTTGTTCTGCGTTCACCATAAATCAATAGATAAAGATGATAATTTATTTTCTTATCTAAATGTGGTAAATAATACATGATTTACTATGATTATTAAGATTTTCAAATAGTTGTTTAATTATATGTTAACATTTATGGTAAATAACTCATAATTTTTATAGATTATGCTGATAAACATTGGACAAAAATTTAATATTTATTATTTATATAATAAATTTATTATAAGCTAACTTCTCATCAAAAAAATAACGAATAAAAATCATTTGTTTTTTTTCATTATAATTAATTATGGAGGATACGTATCAGAAGCCAACTTGACTTTCTCGCAATCATCATTTCCACTTCAATCGTTTTCAATCACGTAACATTTCTAGTTAGTAAAAAAAAAGCTTTACCTTATATCCAGAAATGGTTTTTTATGTATTTAAACGAGATATTTTAATAGCACTTTCTGGAATTGATAAAAAATTAAACAATTATGTTATTCTATTTTAATAATAAAAAAAATAATATGAGTATTTATTCAACATTTCAAAAAAATATCTTTCATTAAATAAGCAAATATTTAGATACATCCAGGGTCAAGTCAGCGATATTTTATTTGGGTTTCTCAAGGCTTCCAAAAATTAAAGTGAAGCATGTTTATTTGCTAATTATAAAGTGGTACTAATGATATCATTACTTATTTTAAGAAATTCCCAATATCTTAACAAAAGCAATTTCTACTGAAATACTCATATGCACTAAGATAATGATACTTCAAGTGAATTTCACAAAGAAGGAAAATATTTGTCAAGGAAACAGGAGATAAAACACTTGATTGGATACAATGTTCTTTGAAATCAGACGATTATGAGTCATGTCGTTTAAATAAAAACACAAAAGTCAAATAATCTTATCTGATGATAGTTTTGATCCACAAGTTTTTTTTTTTGTATAATAAAAAACAAGAAGAATTTTTATGAAATTCAGCAAAGCAATATTTAACGATGAAATGAAATTAGGCTTGAATTATTTATGTTGAAAGATGTGTAATGAATACTATATGGATGTTGAAAGGTAAATTCAGGTATTCAAAGATGTGTATTCCGTAAATGGAGAATTAGGAACGAAAAGCAAAGGTATAGCAAAGCGAGTAGACTAACAAGTTAAAGGAAGAAGAGACCGTGCCTGGCATTCATTGCCCATTCGCGGTTTGGAGCATCAGTGGCCCCATTCACCATGGTGGGGCGTGCTTCGCAGTAAATTAACGTTGCACAGAACGCCTGTGTATCCCAGTGGTACATACGCGATCCTAAGTGAAACGCAAACTGACTAGTTAATTGAAATCTACTTCCGGACGAACTGGACAACCATCTGTTAAAGGGATTTTAGCCTGAATTTACTTGTTTCATGCTTGTCTCATTCTCTATGTTGTATAAGTCACAGAGACAGCATTCATTCAAGTCATTGAGAAAGGGAAATTCATCTTTCTTTTCTCTTCTAGTCAGTTGTTCTAGTTTAGACAGACGTGGATGCACACCATTATATATGTATGCATTAACTTTACATAAGCATTTTGCATCCATAACAGCATATAGAATTATGGACTAAATTTGTCAGAATGATTGAGTAGTTGGCTTATAATTTACATATGGGAAAATTCAATTTAGTAGTTTGAAATTATAATTAATAGTAGAATTTCTTTTTATTACCTTGTATCACTTTATCTATACTTAGTTATTATATGAAACACAGTTATGAATGCACATTTTTTGTGCAGATTTTTATCAGATCAACATAAAGATAAGATAAGGTAAAACATATAAGTATTGCTACAGTTTATATATCTGATTCATAATCAATAAATTTGCAGACAGTTTAGTTTGCTTCTGTTAAATTTTGAAAATATCAAAGTTAATTATTACAGTACCAAAAATGTACGCCAAGTGTTTGGTGATTTTAAGTTTCGCAGCAGCTTTAACAGTTGCTGCTGCATTCAGTCAATCATCGGCTTATGGACAAAGCTACGCTTCAGCATATGCTGGGCCCACAAACAACAAATCTCATCATTTAATTGCTGGTAATAGACTTCCTGGTGATTACTTGGTACTTCGACAGAATATTATCAAATCATCATCATGGTTACAAATTGTAACTGTTGAAAAGACTTTCAACGTAAGCGGATTTGAACGAATCACTCAAGTCCAAGCACTAGATCAGAAAACGAATGGGAATGGAGCATATGCATCTATCGTTAAAGGAGGACCTGGAACCAGTAATGTTACCATTAAATTTAAAAGTCAGAGAAGCCATGGAATCAATTTTATGGTATTGATTTACGCCAGACGTTAATTATTTTAAAATTGAATTTTTGTTTGCATTATATTATGTTACTTAATAGTTGTTTTTTGTTTCATTTAAAATAAATGGCATGTTCATGAAGTTTTAATCGATTTCATTGAAAAATCCTGTGGTATTAGTTATAAGTGAAAATTGATCAATGAATTTATTTTATTTATTTGTTTTTAAATTTTAATTTTCTTTAGTAGGTTTTATACATTGAAAAAAATGAGTGTAATTATGTTTTCAACTTCAGTCTTTTATTATGCAAATTGTTGAATACCCTACATATATACTCTTATATAAGAATATGAATGGGTGATTCATGTTAGCTTTTATAAGTATAAGCTTGTAGAAAGTTTGTACTTCAGGTATATAATATGGCAAATAGTACAATAAAGTGACATACAATATTTCTGTAACATTTTAGATAAAGAAAAACCTTTCTTATATTGATCGTTATATAAATCTTTATATATTTGTGTATTTTTATAACTTGAACTAGATAGAAATAACTCATGTCAATCACATTGACGTCAATTCATGTATACGTTATACTAATTTTCTGATCTATTTTAAATAATTGTAAAGACCTAAAGAGTAAAGATAGACCTGATGATTGTCCGCATGTAATTGTACACAGTATTGAAGAATTATTTTTAGCTTGTTTTACAGCTAAAATGTCTAATAAATGAATATAAATAAGAAAACAATTTTCATTATTTCATCGATAAAATTCTACCCCAATAGAAACAAAGATTGGCCTAATCTTAGCCAAATAATTGATTGATTGTAGAACTAGTTATGATATTAGATTAAAAATGAACTAGAACTATGTCAATCATCGTTTTTACTAGGGTAGTTTTTTAAATATATATTTATTCTCTTATCATATTGAAGTATTGAATTTTTTAAATGTTTTTTTGATATTAATTTTTATTTCTTGGAAATGATGTCTTCCATTAAGAATGATTATTATTTAATTATGAAATATTTTTTTGATCCTTTCAATCTGTCAGAAGTTTGATAAAGGGGCTAGGTTTGCACTCCAGGAAATGATCCACGTTTCAAGCTCGTAACTATTTTTCTGGACGAGGTAGCCAGACACAAAGGTCGTATAGAACTCGATAGACGCATGAAGTCTTATCGATCGTACCATAAAATATTCAATCGAGCCAAGGAAATTCAATACTTGGACGTGCAAAATGGAATAGCTATATTGGAAAGTCACTTCATAGAAAGCTATTAAAAAACTTCATTCAACAAAGTTAAATAAATAAATGATTAACTTTTATATGCATATATATTTATGAGTGAATTGATTATTGAATCATTCAGAAGTGACTATGATAAATTTTTCAATTAAATGTCAACCGTGTTGATGATTGTACTGTAATTATATGAAATTTATTATGTAAATCATTAATAACTACATTTAACGCAAATTTCATAATTTTCAAAATTAAACTGTTTAAAATTTATAATAAAGTTACGGCTGTGGTTACTTTGGTGGTGCGGTTAACAGTCGAACCATAGTTAAATTAGTACGAGGCTGAGTTTATAAACAAGTTACCTGCGGATAAACGAGAGAATTCGAATTGCACCCATCGCGTATGATAAACTCATTACTCACACTTATACATATTATTTAGTTGTTATCAATATTTTTTCAGGTCGTTACGTTTGTATGTTTTTGCAAATTCTTCGGGTCATTGAATAACATGACTAAATCTTGGCTCGTTTACAATGACATTTTCTATACAATTAAATATAAATCAATAATGTAATTTAATGAAATTTAGTTATTAAAATTTTCGAAAGTTATATTTTAATATATCCATAAATTTTATCTCAAAATGTTTCAAATATTTTTTATGCTATTCTCATTTTATTTGAAACAGCTAATTAAAAAATTAATATTTTAACTTTAAATTTGACTGAAAAATCTGTTATCCTAAATAAAATATAATTCTACAATAAATAGTGCATGGATACAAATGGGAGCTTTCTTGTGGTTAGTTACCAATGATTCTCATCAATTATTCAAATTAGCTATTAAAAAATGCTCTTTATCAACTCCTCTCCAAGATAATTCGAATAAACCAATATCATTCTCTTTGTACGTATTGAAAAATAAATAATTCCTCAATATTTCGTTTGTACTTATTTTTTTCTCTGTAAAAAAAGATATGTAAGTGTAATTAATGTATTTTAGATAAAAAATAAAAAAAAAGGCAATCAAGTTTAATTATGTATACCTTCAAACATGAAAGACTGAAATTCTGCTACAAATCGAGCAGTGATTGACGTGCTAGGTGAGGTGATTGGCCTATAAAATCTTTTGTAGAACTTAAAGGTTAATCAATATGACATATTAATATAAAATTTATCATTCGTAAAAAATGTTCTTTTTTGTAGTGCTTATATGATAGACGGGATCTGTATGAAAAACAAAATAAATTTGCAGCTGAGATAGAAAATAATGGGTTGCAGCTACTGTACCTATTATACATACAACAAGAAAATATTATTTTGTGACAGAAAAGATGATTAATATTTTTGATGTCAAAGAAATCATAATTTTTTTCATGTATGCACAGAAAAAATTAAAACTGTTGTAGTCATATATTTTTAATTTGTCACGATATGAAAATAAATATTTTTTTATGCAGATCACAATCAAGTTGCTATGATTAGTCAATTCATTGTGTAACATGATTGGATATATGTAAATTTATATATGATTTAATATCAATTACATGATTCCTTTTGATAGATATTCAAGCATTATTTACTTTTTAACTTGTAATTATATCTACTTTTAAAAAGTCTTTTTAGATAAAAGTATGTTAATTGCTTAAGACGACCAACTTTAACCACACTGGTCATTTCCAGACTCGACCCTTATCGATTCAACATTATCCAGATTCAAATCACGTACTTTTAAACTTTTAGTTAGTTATCAAATTATCTTAAATTTTATTATTATTATTATCATCATCTAAATTTTATCATTACATTTTGTTCATGTTTCTTCTCTCTTCTCTATTTATCAACTTTCATTTGGGCTATTTGTTTCTGTTCTAAATTGATAATAAAAAAACTTTAATTTAAGTTACTTTAGCATAAAAATATTCATATATAGAGTATATTTTGTAATAAAAATCTTTCATTAGTTAAGATATCATTGATCACAGTTATTTGAAATTATTGTTATCACTTTTAGAAGTGTTGTTTTCTAAACAACTTCTTTAATTAAAAAAAACTATTAAGTAAATTATCAATTATGGTGTGTTATAGTTAAAAGAAATAACACATTTAACGTTAAATATGTTATAAACAAAAAACAACAGAAGCCTTGTAGTCGTTTCTTACGCACTTCTGAGTGTGTCAAAATCTATAGTTTATTTACAGTGTTTACCATCAGATCTGTTTATATTTTTTTACTGCAGCATACTTCAATTTACAGTGAAAGAGCGCCAAAATCAAATTTAATATCAAATTATTTTCTGCATATTTAATTCATCTTAATTCACTCAGACGATATTTAATTCTTTATTGACAAAAAAATTTATAAATGAACTAAATAAATGGAAAAAAAGTGTATAAATTGTCGAAATGAAATTTTGTAACACCATGCATACAGAGAATCGTTTGAAACGAACATGTTGAAATCTCAGGAGATGTAATGATTATACATGCATATGTATGTATAAATGGGTTCTGTACGAGTGCATGGTCTCATTGCAGACCGAGTAGTGTAGCAAAGGCGTCTCGGATAGTCTCGTTGAGTCTCATGTCACTGGTGCGTCTTCTTTATCGTATCATCGTGGACTTGTAAGTTTGTGTGGGTCGTGTATGCACTTATACGTTTCTAGGGGGTTGCTTTTACCGTTAGTTGATACCAAGGAATGACACGCTTGCGCAAGAGGGTGAACAAATTCTCCGTCTCACTCGCACTATTTCATTGCCATTGAACGTACCTGGTATTGGGTTGTCGAGTAACAGAGAAAGATGGAGAAAGAGAGAGTTGTATATATAATGTATATAGGGAATACTGGGAGCACGACGAAGGAGGAGAAAAGGGAACGTGCGCGGCAGAAGGTTGCGTGGTGAAGGAATATAGTCCGTCATTCGAAGCCCGCCAACGGAGGAGCGAGCAGCCACGGGATGGGAGCATGTACCAAGTGATTATCGTGAATTTCCGATATTGTATTATTTTTTCTCCAAAAACGCTTTCAATACCTATGAAATAAACATATTTGCCGTTTTAACGTATTTATTTCACTACGGTCAAGTGTCGTGATTAACGTAATATGTGTCGGTTAACTCTTCAGCATCTTTTTAGCTAAACCACTTGATTTTTTGTCTTGCTGAATGTGACTTTGTGACACGTTCAATGCTTATACATTAATATTTATTAATTGATTGTTTATATACCTTCAGTGACAACCTATAACTGTTGTTACATGTGCTTTAATCAACAGTATATTACTGATTCGGTAGCACTTGGAGTTTCTTGGAAACAAACGCTTATCAAGAATCAATGACAATATTTTCATCAGGAAGACGTTTAATATATTTGGGAATTAAAAATGATGACTTTTAACAGAAGATATTTAGTAAAAAATACTTGTTAAATGGTTATACACTATTGTTAGCTGCTACTCTGTCGGTAAAACAGTGCCGATCTTTAATAACAATTGATCACTTGATTGTATCTTGATCTATATGGGCTTGAAGAATTTTACTGGTGTTCTTCCATGTTGTATTGAGTTAATCAAGTATTTTTGAAGAATTTAACGAGTAAATTAATTGATGAAAGTTAGTGACATATCTTGTTTTTGTATTAACTACTAAAGCCACTGGTCACGGTTATATGACTTAATCGGCAATGATTCGACACGAATCGTAAAGTTCACGGGAACCAAGTGTATTAATTCGACGAGGCTGACAACGAGCAAAAGTGTCTGTCGGTATTCTCTGAACGTGTTCAAGCTGAGTGGAACTAAACAAGATCTCCCTGAATTCTTTTGTGAGATCGTGAGACACGACAGAAGAAGACGAAGAAGGAGGAAAATAAAAACAATCAAAGTAAAGAAT